TCCCGGGGATTGATTGTGATGGTGGGTATGCCGAGTACTTGAAGACGACGGCGAGGAGTGTGATTAAGTTGATTCCGAAACTGGAGCCTGTAGATGTCGCGGCGCTTGCGGATGCTGGATTGACGGCTTATCATGCTGTTGCGAAGGCTGCCAAAGTGTTGAGGCCGGGTGATTTTGTGGTTATGATTGGTGCGGGAGGTTTGGGCCATATTGGAATTCTTGCAAGTCATGAAGGCGATATCTGGAGCTACGCTGGTGGTGGTTGATCGGAATGTGAAAGCATTGGAGCTCGCGAAGAAGTTGGGTGCTGATCACACTTTCCAGGCTGGCGAAGATAAGATGGTGATTTCGTCAAGCAACGACCAAGTACAAGTTGGACGACTTCCAAAAGGCGATTGATGATCTTTCCGCCGGCAATGTGAGGTGAGAGGAACGGCCATCTTGATCCCGTGAGGTCATTCAGAGGTTTTGGATGCCCCCACCTCTTATTCATGTATGCAATGTCGTCAATCAATGAAGTCCAGATCAAGTGGTCCATCTTTGCTCATCAAGGTGTTGTGATTCTGACACGTGACCCACAGATGAATAAGGATCAGGCGAGATAGCCGCATCTGAGATGCAGAGTCTTCATATTCATGTCACATCAGACTACAGCATTACTGTGTGCTTCATATCAGCTCAGTGGGTGCGCATATGCACAACACGAGGTGCATGTGGAATCGCCTCTGTGACGCATGAATATTGTAGTCAATATATTGATTGGTATTGATGGAGTCCTGCCCCACCTCATGCGCCCGCCTTCAGCTGAAACCCGCCGATCTCCGTGACGAGAGCTCCCCAAATTCGTCGCGCGTTCCTTTCTGTCGTATGTAAACACCCAACAATGGCGAGCGAAAAGAAAATCGAGGATGTAGAGGTCGAGGAGAGCGGTGAGGAAGAGGAAGAAGGCGGCGTCGATGTCGCCGGAGCTCCCACCAAGAAGAAGCGCAAGCCGCGCRAAAAGTCCAAGAAGAGCAGCGAAACGGCCGTGGCTTCGAGCAGCGAGACGGCGCAAAACTCGATACCCACCGGCGATCTCCAAGCAATGCTGCAGCAGCTGGCAATGGCTCAACAAGGCGGAGGAGCGAGAGAAGGCAAAGCGCCCGAGGATTACAAGTTCTGGAACACGCAACCCGTCCCCAAATTCAAGGAGCCCAATCTCCTACAAACCACAAACGGCGGGGAGGGCGAATCGCTGCCTGAAGGACCCATTCTTCCGGCGGCCGTCTGCAAAAAGGTGGCCAAGCCAGAGCCGGAGAAGTTACTGGATGGCTTCGAATGGTGTCTCATTGACCTCGAGGACAAGGCGGAGCTGCACGAATTCTACGACTTGTTGTACAATCACTACGTCGAGGATACCGACGGCTCCTTTCGCTTCAACTATTCGGTCGAGTTCCTGGCGTGGGCGCTGAAACCACCAGGCTGGACAAAGGAGTGTCACATTGGCATCCGGACCAAGACGGTCGAGGGCAAAAAGGGCAAGCTGGTCGCCTCCATCACCGGCATTCCAGTCACTCTGCAAGTCCGCGAAAAGACCGTCAACGCATGTGAAATCAACTTCCTCGCAATCCATCGGAAACTCCGCAACAAGCGTCTGGCTCCCGTCTTGATCAAGGAAGTCACCCGAAAGTACTACCTCAATGGCATCTATCAGGCTCTCTACACCGCAGGCACTCTCCTACCAACCCCAGTCTCCACCTGTAGGTACTTCCATCGCTCTCTGGACTGGGAGCACCTCTACAAGAATGGCTTCAGTCATCTTCCTGCACACTCTTCCGAACTGCGTCAAAAGTTGAAATACAAGCTGGAGGACAAGACGGGGTTGAAGGGTCTTCGTCCGATGAAGTCAGAAGATATCCCTGCCGTGAAGGACCTTCTTCAAAGATACAACCAGCGCTTTCACCTGCGACCGGAATTCTCCTCCGAGGAGATGGAGCACTACTTCTGCTCCAAGACTTCCAAAGGCGTGGTGTGGTCGTACGTGGTGGAAGAGAACGGCAAAATCACCGATTTCATCTCGTACTACCTGCTGGATTCCTCCGTTTTGAGGTCCAACAAAAAGGAAACAATCCGTGCCGCCTACCTCTACTACTACGCGACCGAGAGTGCCTTCCCAGACACATCAAAAGTCAACCCGAAGCAAGCGCAGGACACCCTGCAGGCACGACTCGGCCTTTTGGTGCACGACSCACTAATCCTTGCCAAGAAAGAAGGCTTTCACGTATTCAACGCATTGACTTTGCTCGACAATCCGCTATTCCTCAAGGAGCAGAAATTCGAGCCTGGTGACGGTAAACTCAACTATTACCTCTTCAACTGGCGTACAGCTAGTATTGACGGTGGTGTGGATGAAAACAACCAGATTGACACGACGAAAATGGGAGGTGTCGGGGTTGTTATGTTGTAGAAGGATGTTCTCTACGAGGCGAGGCATGGGAGGATGGGTGTTGGGGATGTCTCGAGAGGGATCTGAGTAGGGTTTGTTTGATGTAGGGATGGCATGTTCAAGATGGCGGATGTGGAATGAAATGAATGAATGGATTGATATTCTGAATGAACCGTCATGACTCGAAACTTCGGATTGAAAGGACGTGTCTCTTGAAGATTTGATTCGTTCCAGGTACTGTTGTTGACTGGTAAACTCGATTTATGGAACACGACTCCCACAAAACTCAGAGGACCTTGTCTTCAACGCTGCACTCGACACATAACAGCGCCGATCTCGATGGAGAGAGTCTGCACACGGAACCTTGACCGGCAAAAGTATGCGCATCATCATCGTCTTTTCACGTACATCACATATTTTCTTGTAGAACTGCTCATCTCGAAGATCCTCGATTTCCTCCTCCCTTTCTCAAGAATGAGGTGGTCTCTGCGGAAGCAAGGCCCACTACGAGAGACCCTGGCTCCTTTTCGGTCCGTTTCCTCGCCAAGAAAAGGAAGGCCCGTAGGACGAAAAAAACATTCAACACTAGGAATTCCCCAATCGTCACCGACTTGAGTACTAATCTAGCGATTACACGTTTCAATAGGCCAGAGCGGACGGGATGGCTTGCTATTCGTGTAGCTATGGTCGAATGTGTGTGAGGATGAGGTACGATGAAGTATATATGTGAATTTCGTCCATTCTCCCCTCTTTTTCTTCTTCCAAGCTTGCGAAGACGGCCGGCCTAAAGTCCTCACAAAGTCTTTGGGGAAATCCCGAGCGGTTGCTCCTGTTGCTCGTAGGGGTGAGATTCGACTTTCAAATCCCCAACTCATCTGCACTGTCAACCGCTTCCCAAGATCTTCTCGATGCTCTGCTCATCCGCCTCCTCMCATTCTTCTGCGGCAGGATTTTGAAATTCGAAGTCCTCTTTCTCTTCGCTTGAAGCGGTCTCAGCGGGCTCTCCTCTACTGTTCGCTTTCGTGGAGAAAATGCGAGAATATCTGGGGAGTTCTGTAGCAGACAAGCTTCCTTCTTGATCGAGGCACATGCTTGCTTCATTGAAGGGTTACGATTCTCTTTGTCGTCGAACTTCGGAGATTTCAATACTATCGATGCAGGCGTGGGAGGTGCCATAGTTGTGGTAGTGAATGGTGTTTTGGCGACCCATTCACAGATACCCTCTTCCCATCTGAATCGAGCTTTCGCAGTCTTGCTGAATGGTGTTCGTGGCGTCGTGTTGTTACGCCTGGGAGATTTCGTGGATATGCGTTCAATGTAGTCCGCATACAGAGCTTCGTTCTCGCTATTTCCACTCAATTGTCGTTTTGCTGTGATGGCTGCCAGTGCAACATGTTTATACAACGCTGCAGCGCTTGCTTGTTCAACCATTCGTTCGATGAGGAGACTTGTGAGGTCAGAGTGAAGATGATGTTCCAAAGTGGCCATACTCGAAACAATCTCAGTCGCAAAGTCTGCACGGTTGGAGCGAGACGTCTTGGTTGGTGTTAGCATATCAGAGATACCGGATATGCTCAGAGACCCATGAACGCCCTGCGACATCCCGAGAAGAAGCAAAGAGCAGTTGGCCAAGAGACTTTGTAGCTCGCTGGACGGTGGCCCGATTTTAGAAAAGATAGCATTGGCCGCAAGCCTGTGCACAGTATGGCTTAGACTCCCGTGGTCCGTCTGTGAATTGTCCAGCAGCATCGCCGAACCTGCCATGGTGGCGAGTCTGATCACTGTTTCTTTCACGCCAAGTCTAATTCCTGACAAGCAGCTGTCTCCCTGGTCAATACCATGGGAGATACATGTCCAGAGAAGTTTCTCGGCTTCACATGACGAAGCGCGGGTCAAAGAGCGTAGCAGATTATCCCAGAAGCCGGATACCTTATACAAGACAGCCATACGGCTACAGTCTCTTCCAACGACATTTCTTATCAGTCGAAAGATGGATGCCTCGCAATTCTGCTCTCTTCCGAAAGCGGTCAAAGTTGCAAATTGCTTCGCCGTGATGCATTCTCCGGAGTCAAGCCATGCGGCGAGAATTTCCAATCCTTCCGGAATCGAATTCTGACATCCACAATGCTCGATGAGCTGTCGCACAATATTTCCAGAAAGAACACAATCTTCAATGGCTTCACAGACTGCGTAAATAGCCTGGCTCCGTACAACTTGCCGAAGTCCCTTCCAGCCACCATCGTCCTTGGTACCAAGTTCTTCCAAGTAGCTGATAATTTGCGATGCAGAATCAATATCATCATCGGCTTCGTCTTCCTCGGCGAGCGCGATGTATTGTGGCACATTTCTCAAACATGTGCTCATCAATGAGCGAGTTCCGCGCGGCTGAGGCGGCCTTTGGCTATTGGTGCAGCTGAGAATACTGTTGAAAGCGAGTGCAAGCCCACTCTCGGCCTCTTCGAGCGGTGACCCGGGTTTGATCGGCAGCTGCCTGGTTGGGCGAACTTGAGAGGGAGCCGGTCGTACAAACGGCACTGGAGAACTGGAAACCTCGCCACCTTCCATGCGCCTCACAAAAGGGCTCGGAAAGATTATTGCAGATGTTTTCGAAATGTTGCGAGGATTGTCCTGCTTCTTGACTTTCTTCCGCCCTCCAAAAGTCTTTGTTCCAGTTTTGCGCTTTGCATCGCCCATCCAAATAGGATCCCGAGTCGACCAATGACTTGCCACTCGGTTCGCCGCAGTCTGTTTCGGTCTGACTGTCTCCCCAGACATGGTTCCATTGGCCAACTTCCTAATTGCGGCAATCCGGGATGTGATGCTGCGTAACAATCGACTGCATCTCGCCGCTGTCCAGGCCAATTCCTCGGTATCATGGCTGATGCGTTTGCRCTTCTTGTTGATGTGGTTTGAATCTATACTCGGGCTGTGAGGATGATAAGACATGCTTTGAAGCTGTTATGCTACCGCTAACTGACATATTCTTGACGTCTCATGCTTGGAAATTTGAAGATGCAGTCCCAGATAAAGTTTAAGGTTGGTTGCCAGGGCGCCCGGTTGCGCGGAGCTGCCTCCGCGTTGTGGGCCCCATTTCGGCTGCTCTTCGTCTCGACCACCTTGTCGCCGACATCACTGGGGCTTTCAAGCCAGACTGAAGGTTGGATTGCGCTCCTGAGATGCGCTCCGACCTGGTGCACTGGCAGAGATGCGCCTAAAGTGGGACTTTCTAGAAGAGTTGCTTGCGGACGGCAGACAATGGGTCCTTGGAAACGGCGATGGACCGCAACTAGCTGATATTCATGCGTGCTGGATATTCGACTGGCTATTGACCTTACCAGGAAGCTTTCCCGAAAACTACTTCAACAGCACGCGCTATCCGAAAGTCATGGCTTGGAGGGAACGATATGTGTCTGCGATTGCACCGAAGGTCAATCAGCTTGAGGGCCCCGATGCTGTGAAGCTGATTCTCATCAGCGAATTTAATGATGACGAGATTGAAATTGAAGGTGACGATCCTAGCGGACTAAAGGCTGGAGAGACCATTACGATGAAGCCGATTGATACTGGGTATTCGCACGAAGATACCGGGAAACTGATCGGATTGACTACAAGAGAGGTGGCTATCTGCATTGTCTCACAAGAGGATGCGAAGGAAGTGCATCTACATTATCCGCGATGGAACGTTACGTTTGAAGCAAAGGGTCTTGGAAGGTGGCTCTCCAATAAGGAGTAAACAAGACGGTCGAGGGCTTCAGTAGATTTACAGAGTCTGTGAACTACTCGCTACTGATCTGAACCCTCATTCAGACATTATTGGCGGTCAAGCTCTGGATAGTGCCTGAATAATCCATCGCCATAAGGCAATCTCCTACCACTTGCCAGATACTCTTTCAAGCCCTTTTCCTCTTTTAATGCCTCATAGAATTTGAAAAGCTCCGCAAACTCCGTCTTCCTGACTTCCATCTCCTTGGGAAAAGCAAAGAGCAGTCCATCCAGAACCTGCCAAACCGTAAGATCCGCATAAGTCAACTTCTCCCCAACAATGTACTTTCCATTTCCATTGCCCTTCAAAGTCCTCTCGAAATAAGAGAGGAACTTTGGGATTCTCGTCGCTCTAAGATCCCCGGATCWCCTCAACGCCTCTTCCTTCTGCTCTTCGTAGTATTTCATAACAGCAATGGGATGATGCGAGTCATGGATCTCATTGCTCAGATCCAGGGCTGTAAGAGTGACTTGATTGACGTAGAATCTCTCATCACCCTCTCCATTCAACCCTAGCTTCTCGCCCAGATAGAGCAGTATGTTGCTAGTCTGGGATATCACAAGTGGGTTGCCATCTTTGCTAGCTCCTGGAATACGGAGGGCTGGAGATGCGAAGACAGGTGGGTTCCCGGCTTCACTTTCTGTGGAGCTGTTCATGGTGACTTTTTGAACAATCGCATATCCGTTCTTGGGATCCTCGTTCGCTACGTCTGTGTATGGAGTACCGGAGGCCTCAAGCGCGAGACGAACAAACTCGCCACGGCCGGGGATACCAGGGYGGTAGAGCAGTTCATACTGAGGCTGAGTTCGCTGTTTCTTGGTGGTTGGAGACATTGTAAACGGGTGGTGGAAGTTGTAGCCGAGAAGATTTGGCAATTGAGATGGGAAGAATCGTTCTCGTTTGACGCTGGCTTTCAGTGGAATGCGAGCAATGGTACTCTTCATTCGATGACAGCTGCAGGGCTGTACTTTATATGAATGGGAAAGATTGACGATGTTTACATGTATGTGTTTCTAGAAACTACACTATGACGATGCCAAACTCCGGCTGATTGATCGGCCGGATTTACGGAAGAGGTGAGTCTGGTTCTACCCAGTGATGCCTGAGGCAGGAACACTCACATTCCTTTTCGAGTCTTGAACCACTTCCTCTGTACCTCACTGCTTATTACATTAGGGCATCTCAACGCGGTCACAAGTCTTGCCATGGATCTTGTGGAATGTATCGTACGCTGGCAATAATCTATATCCCTCTTCACCAAAGACTTCCTTCAACWTTTTCCTCGTCTGCATTGTTCTAGCAAGATTCTACTCGGAAGGAAATCAGCTGTCCCACAGAAACACCATGCTACCTTCCTAGGCACGATGACTTCTAAGACTGTACATATGGTGAATGTGTTACCTCCTTCTCCGCCTCCCGCCCTCACTTCTTCTCCAACTTGAAATACTTCTGCCACACTTCCTCCTTCTCAAAGTACTCCGCCTCCTTTTCCAACGCTCCCACAAACACAAAGCACCCTTTCCCTCCATCTAGCATCGGTCCCACATAATGTACCCTCTGAAACCCCTCGGAGATTCCTCCAACATCTGTCGTCGTGAAATGTCTGGCCCTACCACCCAAGGTACTTCCCCAATCAGCACTCAGCATATCACTATGATAAAAGCTCGTGAATGCAACAGTCTCCGGCGCATCAGCTTTCCACAAAGGCCACCAGTTCAGCGAGTAAGGATGCTCCTTTCTCAACTGCAAAACCCCTTCAACGTGCTTAGTCGTGACATTCTTCAATGCCGCTCGGATCCGTCCCGCCAGCAAAGGAAGACTGTCTGGCTCCAAGATCTCAGCGATATTCGCTTGAACCGCGAGAAAGTAAGTCAAGTATCCCACCCAGGTCTCCGGAACGTTGAGATACTTTCTCGCATTGTGAGGAATGGTGTATGTACTGGTCATGGAGAGATCAGTAAACTCTCCGAGATTGTGGCGGGAGATGATCAGATTTCGCCAGAGAGCAGCAGAGATGGCGTCGTGGGTGGACACCGGAGTGTTTGTGCTTCCGTAGGCTTTTAGAGCCTCTGCTTTGTCGTGGGAGAGATGGTAGTACAAAGGTTTGAAGACTGGGGTCGTAGCAGGATGGTCCTCTTCATGATGCTCAGCGCCTGGAGTGAAGATTCCCTCGACCATGTCATATGCTGGATGGTGGCTTAGATCTCTCAGCCCGTCATCACTCAAGTTGTCGAATACGTCTCTGGACGTGTTCATAACTCTGGCAGTAGGCTCCTTGGAAGATTGCTCTCCAGCTTTCTTACATTCTTCCGCAAGAGCCCGCACTATCGCGTTCATGCCATTTCCATCAGACAAGTGGTGGTACATGCATAAACTCAGTAAAACGCCTCCGTCGATGAAGCTCAACTGGAACCTAGACACAGCCGCTGGCTCCGGCATAATCGGTCCATCGATTGGCATTAGCTCGCCATCCTTGAACTCGGCGATTGGGAAGCCTGAAGATTCGAGCTGTTCGAACGGTGTGAACGATTTTGTCAGGTCTTTGATAACAAGCTCGATTCCCTTGCCTGGGACCAATGCTCTCCACGGCTGAGAGGGATCGTGTGGGGCTGCGTTCTGTATGATGACAGATGTTGCACCTAATTCTGGAGTACCATTGACGAGGGCTTGCAGTCCCCGCGAGAAGACGTCGATGACCTGCCCATGACTAGTCTGAGGCGAGAGCTCAAAACACAAGACACGGCGAGAGTATATGCCAGGTAGCCAGACATCGTTGGGTGCAAGTTTGAGGGTTGGATCTGTCCCTGTCAGGAAGATGCTTCTTGTTGCCATGGCAAGAGGCAAGAGGGCAGAGTGCCGCTGTATCTTTGTTGGAGAGGTAAAGATGTCTGGACGAGGGTGTCGAAGTGGAGGAGGCTCATATTAATCCCTCGGCCAAGTACAATCCTTCGGGATTCTGATATGCCACATCGGCAGAACTCGTCAGCTCGCTTGTAAGCCCAACCAAAAGTCTCATCGGCGTTGAAGACAACCATCACCAGCCACAAGTGCAGAAAGTGGTACGTCGATCGTAAGTGATAATCCTGAATGCCAAACTCCTATCGCAGTCAGCTGCGGCTGAGTGAGCTTCAGCCTCATTCTGTCCGCTTCTCCGTCTGTGTCTTGAACCCGCAAGGTAGATATGGCTGCTGTCGCGGTTTATGGAAGGAGCTGATCATATCAACATCCCGTGTCTCAGCGTAATCTGCCACTCTCTCGGCTTGGTACCATCTAGCGTTGGAAACCTTTGAGAGCTCATGCTGTTGTTTCACGCGACACACATCGCAAGAGCATCGTTTACAACGGGACAGATATCTGCCGCTTGGGCTCGGTTTTCTCAGAATCAAGATGAGTGGTAAGGAGAAGAGGAGGAGGGAGAAGAAGATGAAACATGAAAGCTCGCGTGAAAGAAGTGCTCGAATTGGGAGGTCGCATTGAAGACGCGTCAGATGGCAATGCCCAACTCCATGTGACAGCAAGCACGGACATGCGCATGCATACCACATCGCGTACTGTCGTGGGTCGCCCCAACAAGCGTGATGTACAATGTGTTAGTCGGCATGGTTTCTTTGTCCCAAGGTAAGAACAGCGCGCTTTACCTCTAGTGCGCACGGGCCGCTTCCGGACCCACTTCCGCCCGTCCTCCCGCATACGTGCCTTCCTAGATTGCTTTACAGCATCAACATCTCCAKCTTCATTGAATCCTCATTGAATGTCGGCTTACAACATCATTGTTTCTTTGAGCACGAACAAACACACTTTCGACCGAGCACTACCAACATTGTAGCCGCGCGCGCAACACTACCAACACAGGGGAGCGCACGCTCACTCCGCATTGTTCCTCCGCACGCCGCCATCATGAGCAACATGAGGGATCAGGACTTTCCAGAGGAGGAAGAAGAGGACGACTTCAATCCGGTACCTGAAGTTGGCTCTGATGACGAAGCAGATGCCAAACCTCAGGCAGTAGATGACGACGATGATGAAGAGCCCGCTGCGAGAGTTCCTGCTGGAGACGATGATGAGGAGCCAAAGGACGAGGAAGACGGCGCCGCGGTCGACAACGGCGATGAAGAGCCTCAAAATGCAGAGGAGGAGGAGGAAGAAGAGGAGGAGGAAGAAGATGACGAGGACGACGAGGACGACGACATTGAAGGCCAACCATCGCGCAAGCGACGGCGGAAACGCCGCAACCAATTCATCGATGTCGAAGCCGAAGTCGACGAAGACGATGAGGAAGAGCCAGAGGAAGAGGACGATCTGCCCGGCGAGGATGTCCACCCAGATGATCTCCAAGAGCTACCACCTGGTGCGGACAGAGACGACCGCATGCATCGCGAGCTCGATCGCAAGCGTGAGGCGGCAGAGGCCATGGATGTTGAGGCGGAAGCAAAGAGACTCAAGGAGCGATACGGACGTCAAGGACGTGGCACTGGATCCGCATCTGCCATTGTACCCCAACGCATGCTTCTACCTGGCACCGACGATCCACGAATCTTCTTGGTGAAGTGTCGGCCCGGTAAAGAACGCGAGATCTTGTWCTCCTTCCAGAACCGTATACTTGAGCGCCAAAAGACACGAGAACCCATCCAAGTGCTGTCCGCTTTCGAGCGAAATGCCACGATTCCAGGCCATCTCTACGTCGAGGCGTGGCGCATAGACGATGTCACGGCCGCGTTTGATGGAATCACTCACGCCTTCATGGGAACCAAGCCAGTGATGATTCCGCTTGAGGAGATGCCCGATCTCCTGCGTACGAGGAAGACCAAGGAGCTGGAAGTCGGCATGTATGTCCGGCCGAAGCGCGGACTGTATGCAGGCGATCTCGCTCAGATTGAGGAAGTCGAGCCCAACGGTACTACTGTAACGCTCAAGCTTGTGCCCCGTCTGGATTACGGCCTTACCGAGGATGCAAATGCTGCCGCTCCGGTGATGGAGCCCGATGGCCAAGGCGGTATCAAGCGCAAGAGAGTACAAAAAGCCACTGGCCAACGACCCCCAGCAAAACTTTTCAGCGAAACTGAAGCACGAAAGCGCCACGGCAAATACCTCTCATCAAAGAACTCGCTGAGCTCAACCTCATTCACATACCAAAACAAGGAGTACATTAATGGTTTCCTGATTGAAGTATTCAAACTCAATGCTTTGCAAACCGACAACGTTGATCCCACTCTGGAAGAGGCCACCCGATTTGCTTCGGGAGGAGAGGACGGCACGGACAACCTCGATCTCGCGGCACTTTCAGCAACACTCAAGACCAGTGCTGGCGCTGATTACCTGCCGGGCGACAAAGTCGAAGTCTTCCGCGGTGAGCAAAAAGGCGTCAACGGACGTGCTGTCGAAGTCTATGGCGAAGTCGTCAAGATGCGTGTAGAGGAGGGACCTCTAACCGGTCAAGTCATCGAAGCTCCCATCCGAGACCTACGGAAACTCTTTAGAGAAGGTGATCACGTCAAGGTCGTCGGTGGGAGCAAGTTCCTCGACGAGGTCGGTATGGTGGTGAAGACGTCGGGCGAGCACATCACAGTCCTCACGGATAGCAATCAGACCGAAATCACCATGTTCGCCAAGGATCTTCGCGAGGCGACGGACAGTGGTGGAGCGATTGGAGTGAGCAAGTATGACCTGTTCGATCTCGTTCAACTCGACGCATCCACGGTCGGATGTGTTGTCAAAGTTGACCGAGAGTCTCTTCGTGTACTCGATCAGACTGGAGCAATACGCAGTCTCTTACCCTCCAACATCTCCAACAAGATTGAAAAGAAGCGAGATCAAGTTCCTGCCACTGACCGTCTCGGTAACGAGATCAAGAACGAGGACACGATCAAAGAGTATCAAGGCGAGCAGAGGGCTGGAAAGGTGCTGCAGGTCCAGCGCGGCWTCGTTTTTGCTCAGAGCCGTGAGATTCGAGACAACTCTGGTGTGTTCGTTGCTCGCACGAGCAATGTCGACACAGTGGCTGCCAAGGGAGGCCGCGTCGGTCCTGATCTTACCAAGATGAACACTGCACTGCAACCAAATGGCACAAACGGTGCACCCATGGCACCTCCTCAGCAGAGGGGTAGAGACAGACTCATTGGAAGAACAGTCAAGATCCGCATGGGCCCTCAGAAGGGCATGATTGGGATTGTCAAAGACACTTCAGATAAGGATGCGACACTTGAGCTGCACGCCAAAACCAAGAAGATCAGGATCGCCAAGGAGAAGCTTGCTGTCATTGATCCTCAGTCTGGCGAGACTATCAATGGTGACGCCAGGACTTTTGGTACAGGTGGTCGCCCGTCTGGCGGGCCTCCTGGTCGCACTCCCATGGCTGGCGGAGCAACACCTTTCCGCGGTGGCGCGCCTCCTGGAGCTTCTGGAGGACGCACACCTGCATACGCAATGGGCGGACGAACGCCAGCGTGGAAGCAAGACGGTGGTCGGACGCCTGCTTATGCTGCTGCAGGAGGTGGTGGCGGTCAGACCGCCTATGGTGGCAGTGGCTTTGGTGGTGCAACAGCGTATGGAGGCCATACTAGCTATGGCGGGCAGACTAGTTATGGTGGTGCCACAAGCTACGGTGGTGGAAGTGTGTGGGGAGGGGCCGGCGGCGGTGGTGGTGGTGGTGTAAGTTGAAAATGTTTGAGGTGTGCTTTACAACCGCTAACGTGAATTCAGCAATCGACATGGAACCCGAACAACGGCGGTCGAACTCCTGGCTACGCTTCTGGTGGGAAGACACCTGCGTATGGCGGCATGGAAGCGCCTACACCCGGCTTCAACTCAGCACCAACACCTGGCCAATACGCAACACCTGGTCAATATCAAACACCTGCTGCATATGCAACACCTGGTGGATTCCCCGAGACGCCCGCACCCTACTCAGCAGAGACACCTGCAGCAGACGATGGGCCTAGTTATAATTGAGTTTAATGAACGTCTGGGAGGTTAAAAGGACACAAAGCTCACGGCGTTGGATCATGTACCATTACTTGCATTCATTGCATAGATAACATCGGACGAGCTGTCGTCTGCAATTACTTGAAATATAGCATGGTCTATCCGTTCGAACGCCTTGAATCACTCCCATTACCTTGTCGCATCAGCAGCGGAGCATGTACAGCATTGTCTCTCCGTTCGCCTTGAATCACTCCCATTATCTTATCGCATCAGCAGCGCAGCGTGAATGGTCCCTTCGACTGCCTTTCTCCCTCAATATGCAGCCCACTAGAAAGGGAAATCGTCCTCGCCTTCGGAGTCGAACATGATCTCTTCTTCCTCACCGTGTGCCAACTCCTCATCTTCAGCKGGGAAATGGTCGTCTTCTCCGGTCATCTCAAGATGTCCCAGCTCATTGTCGCTCTCATMAAATTCAAACAGTTCAATGCGATGTTGAGGACGACGGCTGCGAGCAGGATCGTGGTAGGCCTGCAGGACACGCTGGTTTTCTTTCTCCTGCAACTTGAGTGCCAGCTTTAGAGCATCCAGCTCATGTGCAAGAATGTCGCTCGGAGATGCAAGGCCGACTGCTGTAGCCCTCTTGATTTTTTGCTGGATGGCCTCGGCCGTGTGTTTTGCGTTCGGTTCGCCGCAACCCCAAGCTACTCCGTCGAGGAACGCGAATTTGACGGCTTGTCGCTCCCGTGCCTCGAAGCTGCGAAGACGAGTGGCGAAGTGCCCGGCGAGCTGCTGCCACTCTTTTTCGTCGCGATGCTGAATGTCAAGGCCCCATCCTTCACAAATTCCAGTGACGATAGCTGAGACGTKGCCGGCATTGTAGGGAGACTGAATTCCGAGAGAGTTGACTAGAGTTGCCATTGTTTCGACGGCATTGTCTGAAAGGGCGACTTCCTGTCTGCGTAGTGTTGCAATCTTCGTAGCCAGAGCTGCGCGAGGATAAAGCACATCAAAGCGCATGGTCTTGTTGATTTCGTCGGTCAAAGCGAGGTTTAGGAGATCGCGTGCTTTGAACGTGTGCACGATTGCAGCTTCTGGGATCTTTTACAGTCAAAATTAATTTCAGTCACACGTCAAGTGAGTTAGGACAAGTACCTTCTGCCAAATAAGAAACTCATAGGTCCCTCTATAGTTGCCCGCGCCGCGCGTGAAGGGCTTTGATAACCGGACTTCGTCGTGGAAAGGCCTTGCCCAGAATACTCCTCGATTGTCGAGTGCATCGACGTCGATTACAGAAACATGCCACTGGCCACTGTTGTCCTTGATGGCATTCACAATCTGCTGAACTATCCATATTAGGCGATTGGAGGTTGAGATGAATGGTGTGTCCACAAGGCTGCGATTCATGTGATCAAAAATGTCCGTGGCGTCGATCGAACTGCTTCGCGGGGGGTTTGAAGACAAGGCGTTCTTCTTGTGATGTCGCCTAGACCAAAACCCGTTCTTGCTGTCTCGTCCAGAGGGATCCTCACGCCATAAGCGGAAGAGAAGTTTCGGTAGTGGTGGCTGAGCCCGATGTTGTGAAATTGACGGTACTAGGTCCCGAATGATGAGATTTTCAGAGACTAAAATGGTAGAGCCATCAGGTCGGAGCCTAGCTGACTTAGGACTCTTTGGCTTGGTGAGAATTGGCCGCCTTGGGGTCAATGTCTTCGCGATTTTGGCCGCGGGTCGAGACGGGCGCTGGGGAGTCTCGGGCGTCCACAGTCCAATTGCCGGTCTCTTGCTGAGTGGTGTAGGATCTCCCTGCTGATGATGATGAAYATCATCATTCGAATCGCGAGGTCTCTTGCTGGGTGGTGTAGGGTCTCCCTGCTGATGATGAACACCATCATTCGAATCGCGAGGTCTCTTGCTGAGTAGTGTAGGATCTCYCCGCTGCCTATGGCGGACACCATCATTCGAATCGCGAGGTCTCTTGCTGAGTGGTGCAGGATCTCCCTGCCGATGATGAACATCATCATTCGAATCGCGAGGTCTCTTCTTGACTGAGGTATGACACACGGATGGTTGAGACTGCAGGAAACTGTCAAGTCGAGCCCGCATTGACCTTCTTTTCTCTACGTCTGCTGCAGACTGTGTGGAGGAGCAGATTCGGACCCAATCCTTGTTGAGTTTTTTCCTCTCGTGATATTGCGCAGTGAGACGACGGTAGGGTATGCCGTCGACGAAGCCGAACCTTCGGATCTGATCCTTGAACATGGAGTCGAAGGCTTTGCTGCGTTGACCTGGAGTCCGACCAGCTTCCGGCTCAAATAGCATGTCCAGCAGGAGACGCATGTCGAACGTCCATGTCATCTTCACGGACGCCATGTTGAGACGGTGGCGACGGCAGCGTGTTTGTGACGTTGTGGTTGAAGAGAAGAGACGGGAGAGGTGAGTGTGAAAGTTGAAGTGAAGTGCCCCACTATTGGACAGGGCATCCGCATCCATACCATGGTTCGTATGACGGCTGGTAGGTCCGCCATGTCGATAGCAGCGTTGCGCTTTCGAATTTGCATGATCTTCATCCTCACTTATAGTCACAATGATTCAGGGCCCTACTTCCAGTTCACACACATTTGGGCGGTTGATTCATCTGCGATCAAATTGCCTATCGAAGATCAGTGCCGTGATATGGCTGAAGTATCTGCTGTCACGGTTAAAAATGAAATTGAGAAATCTGACTGACTCAGATGGACATACCAGAGACATAATACACCATAAGGCCCATCATCTCTCCGCCTCCCTCACCAACTCTTCCAAAGCAGCCTCCAAGCCTGGCATGTCATTTCCCATGACAGTCTTGCACCATGCATCTCGGACCATCAACACAGTGACCGGAAGCTGATTTGGGCTGAATTTGAAGAGCATGGAAGTCTCGGTCTGGAGCTCCATCTGGCAGAACCGTATGTTGGCATGTCTCCGGGCCAGTTCTTCGTATTTTGGRGTGAAAGTCTTGCAGGCGGGAAGATTGCTGTTGGAGACATATATAACTGTTGGGGTTTGCTTGGACTGCTTAACAGCATCGTCATGCTCTTGCTTGCTTGTGATCTGTTGGATTGCCATTACGCTGTTCTGTACAGATTCATGGGATGAATGAATGTCATGCAGTTCTTTCTATTAGARGAGGAGACAACTCCCCTCTTCTTTTGCTCCGTTCGTCCTTGACTACTCGAATCATAGCTGCATCATGGATCATGTGAGCCTGAGCACGAGCTCGGCCTTTGAGTACACAATGCATCTCCCGCTGTTGATGGACCCCGACATTCGAGGACAATAATTGTAAATTATCAGAAGCAAGTGCAGTCCGTATCTCTCCAATTTGGCTCGCAAGGATCGTCCGGACTTGCCCGGCATTCACTTCCTCCGTTCTCTCCACCACAGACGTCACAGCAACGCGTGCTGCTTGATCAACACTACCTTACTTTAACAATAATGTCCCTCTCAACACCCCAACATCCATGGCCTTTGTCTCCAAATCGCGCAAAGTGCGCTTCTCCCTAAACCTCAAAATCCACGACCTCAACAACGTACCCCTCGTCTCCGGCACTTCCTTTATAAAATGGCACCTCCCCGCCTCGACAGCCGCCGAACATCGAGGCCGAACAGCCAAATCCCCGATTAAAGACCACCGCGTTGTCTACGATTACGAAAAATCCACGACGCTGCGACTAACAGTCTCCAAATCCGGGCAACTGCAAGAATGTAACATAGCGTTCGAAGTTCAGCAGGAATATTCCGCCGGAGGCAGAGGAGAGAGAATCACATTAGGACATGTGACTTTGAATCTCGCAGAATATGTGAATGCTTCAATGGAGCCAGCGAGTCCAGGCAAGGATGGAGAAGAGGGGATTACGAGGAGGTATTTGATGCAAGAGAGCAAGATCAACAGCACCTTGAAGATTGGGATCAAAATGCAATATCTCGAGGGCACGAGAGATTTCCATGCTCCTGCATTACGATCTGCGCCTGTCTTTGGGGGAATCGCAGGGATTATCAGTTCTTCCGATCCAGTCAATGTGGGCACGATACAGCAGCGGGATGAGGCTTTGGCGCGGGGAGTGGGAGACGGGGAAGATGCGGCTGCGATACCGAATCTCTCCATGTCTACGAATGGGAAGGAAGTTGGGGAAATGCAGGACATGTATCGCAAGACTCTCTCTGCCTTCTGGTCGAGTCAACCAGGGGAGTTAAAAGCAGATGAATGTATCGAGGACATTTTCGCTGGGGGAGATGGATGGGGAAAGGGAGGGAGACCAGGTGCCATCAACACCGCTGCTGCGAACCAGCAAAGTGGAAGTCATCCGGGTTCGGGTGCTTCCACTCCCAACAATCCTGAAGACAACCTGAACATTTCAACGCGAGGCGAGGCGGGCAGGGGATCGAGTTCCATAGGACCCATGTTACATCGGCATGACTTCTCCGCATCGAGGCATGGCCATCATCATCATCATAACAAAGCGCAGAGAAAAATGGCTGGGGCAGAGGAATTGGATGAAATGGATGTTAGGGATGATCTGAGAGGGTGGAGGATTGGAGAGGCGGCTCATTCTTGATGTTCACTTTGACGAATAATGAAACTAAGGTCTCAGCAAATGCTTCATCAAAGTCTTTCGGTCCACATCACAGTGTTAAAACGGCGGCTGTCTGCAAGTTGGTCGACTGGGGCATCGGAATGTTTGACATGTTGTAGTCCTTTCGATCTCACGTCCCGCTCTGACACATCGAGGGGCTGTACGTGGCGGCGATATGCAGGCAATAGCTGACAACTCATCACAACACAGTGAAGACAACCAAGATTAAGAAGCTTATTTCTCTTCTTTTCCTACATAATTCCTACCTCCTTCTTCCTCTGTTCTCCTGAAAGACGGCCTCGCCACGTTTGGTGAGAGTTTTTACATCATCGTCAACACGCTTGGGAGCGTGGACTAAAACGCCAGACCCGATGCAGGTCCTGTACACCATGCATGCGCCCCAAAAAGATCCTTAAACTCCAATATCAAAACAGATGAGGTAACCCTCAAGCTTTGACACCATATCCACTCCCACTCCTCGTATACATTGGCCTCTCAGGCGCTCTTCTCCCAACGGAGCTGTACCCACTCTGAACTTTGATATCCTCCGGTTTAGGTTTTTTCGCGTACCGAATGCCTTCATCCACAGCCGCGGATCGGTGTCGAGGTGGTACACCATTCTTTGTGGTAGGGACCTCTCCGTAATACAATCCTTCCCTAGTCGGAACTTCGCTTCGCATAGACTCGCCCCGAGGCATTGCAGGACGTGACGCACGGTCGTAGGCTTCTACGCCTTGACCGGGACCGGAATACATGTAGCTTGTCGTACGGGGTGGCATCGCTGGTTGGGGAGCAGATGGTTGTCTCGCGGAAGATGTCCTTGCAGAGCGACCATCCCGACTTGATGGATCCCTCGATCGTTCTTCACGTTGTTCTCGGACGTCACGAGACTCCTTGATAGGAGACGGACTGCGTGTAACGCGGTGAGGCACAGTAGGGCGGGACTTGGATCCAGGCTCACGAAGTTCGGTCCGGTAGCCATCAGGAGTGGGGTATTCTGCATCATCGGCATATTGCCTGCTGTAGTTGTACTTGTTCGCTGGTGGTGTAGCATGGTCCGGGGTGGTGGCAGGCGTGGCGAGTCCTTCGGAAAACTCCGTCTGCCGCAGATGCGAACCCTTCGTAGGAGGGGCGTTTTCCGCCGCACGAGGAACGCCATAAGGCATCGTCTCAGATCGCTTCACGGGAGAAACGCGAGGCGCAGGCTCTGCTTCCACTTGCATAGACTGCGCACGTTGCTTTTCCATTGCTGGCATTCGAATGTCGGATGGTGAGGATTTCGATGTGTTCAGCATCGGTGGTCTGCGATCCGCAAGCTTCTCTGCACTTGATCGACGCTCTGGTTCGCGCCGGTGCGAGTACTCCGCACGAGGAGGCTCCACATCCTTCGACTTTGGTCTTTCCGACGTGCGACGGACAACAACAGCTGGCCTTCCATCCCTACCCTTGACATATTCGACCTTGTCCTTGGTGGAGGCCATGCGTGCGGCGGATGGGCGACGTTCGGCCTCTTCCCGGGGATCGGCCCTCGCTCGAGAACGAGGGGCATCCTCCATCGGAGGCTCTGTTCTGGGTCGGACGCGGCTGGATTGAATGTAATCACGGGCGTCGTCCATCTTTCGCGTATAGACATCGTGAGGCTCAGCGGCACTCTCCTTGCGATGCCTGTAGACTTCTTCATAGTGTGCTTGCCTCGCCTTGCGCATTGCTTCCTCCTCACGCATCCTCCCCGACCTCCTCGCATACTCATCCGAGTCACTCTCCGAGTCATCGTCGACACGTGGAGTGTACTTTGTTTCGCGATCCTTCCTTGTCTCGCGGTCCGTCTTGCGAGTCTTCTCCTTCCGCCTCTCTCGCTCACTCTCCTTGGCATCTCTTGTGGAGGTCCGCGGCTTCTCCTTCGCTTCACTCCGCTTCGATGGACGCTCGTACTCGGGCTCCTTCCTCGCGGGCGAGGGTCGTGGCCTGGCATCAAAGTAGTCTGCGGCAGCATATGAAGGTCTCCTCTCCTCATACTGCGGCGGCATGCGCTCCGAAGCACGAGAAGCATACGCCGGTCTCGCACTTGGCTCATGTGAAGATTTGTACGATGGTCTTGCGGCGCCTGCGCCTGGCCTCTCCATCGCATCCTTCCTCAAACTTGCCAGGCGCACCTGCGCATCATATCGCCCTCTGCGATCCTCGTCAATCAGAATCTCATACGCCGTCTGAATCTTGTGGAACTGGTCCGCGGCGGCTTGCTTCGCGGCTGGGTCGGTGACTTTGTCAGGATGACACTTCAACACCAACTTGCGATGTGCCGTCTTGACCGCGGCTTGAGTGGCATCTTTGGGCAGGCCGAGTGCCAAGTATGGATCCGGTGGCAAGTCCATTCTCCGCTATTGGTGATTGGGTGAAGATGGAGGATGYCGTCGTGAAGGGAATGGGTGACGCTCGCTTGGTGATGGTYCGAGTGGATGCAGGGATCGATGGGTGATAAAGGATGATGATGAGGTGAGCAGCAGTCAGGGATTCCTCGCAGATCCCAGACGTATATTTAGTTCCGTGCGGCGGAGTTTTGTCGTCGAGATGGCGCAGCGTTGACGCGGTGTGATGATGGTGTCGAGTGGGATCGCACGGCAATGTTGTGCGCGGCAGCGCAAGTGACGTCGGCGGACGGAAGAGAAGGCTAGAGACTCTGACTTTTGAGTGGCGGACAGGCTTTCTAAAAGCAAAGCAAATCCTCACTCGCAGTCCTGTCGTAGAGCTGTAATTATGAGAATCCCTCAAAGATATAGCGACTAAACTAGGCGCAGGTGTTCACGCGTGTTTGTTGGGTGAACGTTGTGTCTCAGTTGAGCCGATGGACGAGCTGCAAGGCAGTGCAAGCTGGGTGCGGGCTTCGATCTTCCGGACTCGTGGTGGGTATGGGTGATCTCCAGGGGCGGAAGATTCTTCGCAAAGGGTCCCTCTGCGTCTGATTCGTGTGGATGTTGATCTTATAATTGTCAATCTTGTGCGTCGGATGAGAAGTAGAGGCGGAATCAATGCACTGCAGAGATGGTCGGGGAAACCGAGAGAAACAGCGGTAGTAGCAGCGGCTCCGTTTGAATAATACAAAGTCGGTCACACAGCCAGCCGGCGTGATGAAGCGGCCGGGCCAGCGAGCAGGGCAGGGCGCAGGCAGGCAATCGTAGACCGCCTAATTTAGTCCTAGTCCCATTAGGTTTTGTTGGCTACGTGGGCCACTGGGCGAACAACTGTGGATTTTCCTGCATATACCGCACACTCTACCGACACAACAGGGCGAACCATCTTCGATTGGCACAAAGCTATAACAGACCGCAAGCCGGCTCCGTTCCTACTGGGCACACAGCCACATCCACCCAGCAATTCCTCCAAGAATCGACATGTGCTCAGCCAGAGCAAGAAGCCGTAGACGCTGGACATCATTGGCGGGGCGCCTCTCTCATGCATGTCTCGTCACACATTTACATTGCTCCCACTGGATGCACTATTTTCTCATTCGCATGCCACGTTAATGTAGGGAGTAGACAGCCGCCCTTCTAATTCTGAATCAATCGTCGTCCCTCACAACTCGTCGGTGTCACCTTACTCCGCTTCTCTCCACACCTCCTTCACTGTCATAGACTAAGCGTTCAAGTTCAGGCGAGGTATTTCCGTTCCTGCGGCAGGGATCTTATACTGTAGCTGTATCGCGTGTTACCACGCCAGAATGCCTTTCCTGTGCTTAATGTGAACCACAGATACATCTCCCAAGCATTGTCATCTCCCCTGGCTCGAAGTAGTGTTCTGTGCCAATCACAATCGTCGCGGAACTTGCGGAGCAGAGAGTCCAGGGGCATTCGAATGTGAGGCGGTGGGTGATATTGTCAGCTGCCCGCGTACCACACACACACACACATCTAGACCGAGACGTGTGGTTTTGTCGTCAACGTGTCAGCCAGCTGCTGTCTCTCGATCCGCTTGCTTTGTTCACGGAAGAGATCTAGACCGAATAGCGGGATACATGCACAAGCTTGACCATCAACCAATCACCCCACGCCGTACATCGCGATTAATTCTCGCGGCCTAGATAAAAGCACGGGAAAGCGTGACCTTGTGCCTATCTATGCCGCTCACGGGCTCACAAAGCCGTCACGAATCGTCGTTTCACACTKGAAACACGATGGACATCTGATCTCCGCTTTTGGCAAAAGATCCTTCTACCTGAATCGTGATGTACACAAGTGGACCCCGCGAGAACCGCGGACGTCGCTAACATTAATCCAACCACTGACTGCATGCATAGTCATACTCCTCCGTCTCGAGTCCGTATACTTTGGGCAGACCTGCGTCCATGATCCTACGCCGACAACCCCATTCGCCTTGAACTCCATTCGCCTTATTCGTAGAGGTAAAAGACCCTGCAGTCAGTAGTATGAGTAGCATCGCAATCACTCTCCACCCCAACGCATATGCAATTCGTGGTTGGTACCTGATGAGCTCGCGTGCGTGAGATCGACAAACCGCTTGTCTTAATCGTGGTTGTACTRTAGATCTTCGTTCCTGGGCGATGATTTGTGTGACGTTGGAGACGAGATAATTGTGTCCCGATGACAGCGACAACGCATGCATGAGACGCTTGTTGGAGTGGGACAAGACTTCATCATCTGTACCCACTCGGTCCAACCTCATTGATCCAAGTGTAGCGCCTCGCAATGTTTCCTCATCATCAGTACAGCCGATTGCTTGGTCATCTCGTCTCCCATCTTCACGTGATACTATACACATCAAGGTGCTCGGCCGAACCGGTGTCAATGATGGAAGTCATGGTAGGAGGTGGGATGATGATGTGAAGGAACGACGAGAACATGGATGACCTTGAGCCATCTAGGCGGCTTTGAGACTTTGCCGCTTGGCGGGCAAGCGCTCTCGCGGCTCGCTCCACCCTTTCCAACGTGACGCTGCCCATCACCGATGAAACCCACCCTCATAGCATCATCGTTCATGCCTTTTGCTTCGTAACAATTGATTGATAGCTTTGCTATTTACTCTCGCTACCATGGGTACTGTTGCGCGCGCGTACAAATCACATGCTCATCCACCCCAAGGGCTCCCCCGGGTAGGTCAGGCGACAGCTTCCAATATCTGGCTCTACCTTTTGGTAATGATAGCTCCTACGCAGAAACCTCTGTCCGCACGAGGTAAACTATGAAGCTGGCCGCACCTGGCATGCCTCCCGAGCGCTGCGTACTCGTATCTTGTACGCCAGGCACTCCTCCTTAGATTGCATCGGACAAGATATCCCGAATGCTGATCTGGTCGCTTTCCCACGATCTACCTATTACGCACCGAGGAAGTAGAGCGATGCGAGCGGACATTGGGATGATGGATCGCGTGGCGGTGGAAGATACAACATCAAACGTACTCCACTGACTCTGGGGAGTAGCAGCTGCCGCTTCTACCGGGACTTGAAGCCCGTGGACCTGGCTCAAGAGCTTGACCTCAACAATTTCGTGCACGGCAGTCGGGGACCAGGTTGCGTAACTTGCCAATTGCTTGCGCCGACACTCGACTTGTCCGATCCCTCGCTCTTCGGCGGAGAAGGGAATGGGACGAGTGTYTCAATCTCGGTTGTCGGGCATCAAAATGTGTTGGACCATGTCGAGGGAAGTTACTCACGAGGTCTTGCGTAGCTCTACACCCCTCGAGGTAAGTAGTACGGATGTTTGAGAGAGTATCCATACCAGCCATCAACAAGACGTTGGTGTAATTTCAGTTCCACTACACATTGACATTACATACCACGGACAGCGATCAGCATTACATAGGCTTCGCAGGTTCTAGAGAGCTTTCTTCGGAGTTCATTAGCGAAGGGTATATCTAAATAGTATGGCAGACACGACCAATGGCTTCGATACTAGAAAGCCACTTCGAGACATGTCACCTATTGCCGACGAGCTCAAGATGTGGGACTTCCCCAGATCATGCCTACAAACCTTTATATCCGGTAATACGAGGTGCCACGAACAACAAGACTCGCATTGGTACCTGTCGATACCTCGGGCGTGTTGAAGTTACGACTTGTGGGAACCAAGGAGCAATTCTCCCACTCGAGATGCACAGCGTTCATTCACTATTTGGGAGGTCATTCCCATCTGATGCTGACCAGCAAGAACATCAGCGCGTTGAAAGAGTGCATTAAATATTCACAGCTGCTACGATAATTCTCCTACAAAGGCATGTAACAACGATAGACCTGGGTCGCGGTCATTTTGGGACAGGTTCTCTATTCTATATGACCATCAGGACTGGGACGTTTGGGAGGACTGTGAAGACATTGGAGAGCGGGACAATTGGGAAATGTTGTTCAAAGACTTTGAATTACGGACTCTGCGGATAGCATAAGAGTACACGGGCTCACGCATTGGATTCAAGGTGCCTGAAAGTGTCCCCGACGCACTTCGCATGTTAACCTCGAGCGGATCTCCCAAGACCTCTGCTATGCTGTAGTCTCATCAAACCTGAGTGCTATTCTTCTTGAATTTGATGTCAACGACAATCGGCTTGTGGAAGAACTTCGCCCCACGCCCGTGTGAAGTACCCATGATACTCGCATTGATAATTCCAGTCTCCTCACCAGGCTYAAGATCGGTGAGGTCGAACTTTGACATCTTCTTGTTTCCTTGCCCGGGGTCCTGCCAAGGTAAGATACCTGGCGGACTCGCCTCTTCCCTCCATTGAATCAGAGCTGCGCCTCTCCCTTCGTGACAATGTCCAAAGACATGCAGACTTGGCCGAACTCGTGACAGGGTTTCAGACAACGCAGAGCAACCTCCCTCTTGCCAGTGCTTGCTCGCGTCAAGAAGTCCAGCGGGTGGTGTATGGGTGATGAGAATGTCAATACCGCTCGGTACGGCATCCCAAACAGTCGCAGCTGCATTGCTGTCGTATTGGAAGGCCCAGTTCTGCTTCCCTCGATCTGGCGAGAACGGTGACCCAAATACTCGTATTGAAAGATCCTTCTCTGGAAGATGGACCTCAGCGGTGGAGTGTTGCAGATAGACAAAGTCCGAATTGTCAATCAGAAGGCTTCTGCAAGCTTCAACTTCGTCTGGCAGAACATTCCATCCGCTTTCATGCTTGAGCGAGTAGCTTGGATCCAGCGACAAATCATGATTTCCTGCCACGATGATCTTGACGGCGAAAGCTGCTTTGGAGAGCCAGGAGACTGCTTTCTTGAGCTCCGTATAGGAGCCTTGATTAGTGAAATCCCCAGCGTGTATCAAGATGTCGCCGCTGGGTAGAGTGAAGCCTTCACCAGGACCATGGTTGTGGGTGTCGGAGATGCACACGATTCGTACGRTCTCMATGACATGTTCGAAAAAGACTGCCGGGTCTCAACGCAGCAAATTGATGATCGTGCTGACGAGAAGCAAACTAGGACCGCCTAACGGGGTAATCTTGTAGAGAGTACGTACGATGGCTCGGATTGGTGTCGCTTTGATATTATGTCGTTGGTTTAAGGATTGTAGGAGTGAGGGTGACAAAACTTCGATCCAACCTGGAGATTTGTCTTGACGATTCGTTCCATCAAAATCATCATCCTCAACGCCGCGATCACACAAAGAGGTATGTATGATGAGAGACGGTCACAGTGTAACGAAGTGGATGGAACAAGAACTCTTTGGCAAAAAGAAACCTGCCCAGGGCAAAAAGAACCGCCTCTAACGGAGAAAACCACCCCCACCCGCAAGCCCGCGTGGTTTTTCTTTTATCGCGGCACTCTGGCCATGTCTCGCTCGCTCAGCGCGCAACGGACCCTTGCACAGCTTCGGTCGTACACGCTGCCATCAGTCTGCTTTTCGCACGAATCTGACGCTTCTGCAACTAGACCATTCTTCCACTGGCAAGAAAATAGAATTATCTACGGAATATGACCGTTAGATTGGGGGCCGTGGATCGACCTAGATTGCGGCCTTGGATCAGGGGCTGGGAGAGCCGGGGGAACCTCCCAGCCCTGATCCGAGGTGCAGCGCAATATCCCAGACAGTGAATGCCGTCTACGGGCAAAATGAGTGAACCTGGGAGAAGAAGGCAATGGCAAAAAGAAGACCGTTCACGAAATGGTAGAGGGAAGCTTGCCGCATATCGGTTTGCACCTTCCACGAGGGCTGACATTTGCTTCTGTAGCGTCTGCACAAGCCGGTCGTCTCGTCGTGCATTGATGGCAACGTATGGAGTCTCGCACGGTAGTGTCTATTCCTCTTGGGGAATCTTGAGCATGTTCGCAGTGAAGGTAGGTTTCTATTGCTCGCAGGGAACGGAGTTGCACCGCAGAAGCCGTGTGACATCGAAGTTCGCGAATCTTGACGCGTCCATCGTGTCTCGGCAAATCAAACATCCGCTGTGCTGACGACTGCCATATTGCATCGATAAAGTGTCCTTCCCAACTCGAAGTAAGTACGACACGGTTCCTTCAGTCACTCGCACATTTGCTATTCTCCTCCCCTACACAACAACAATATCAACGACAACAATCCCTCAAGATGTCTGAACCAATCCTCCCCGGCCGCCTCGTCCGCATGCGAGCTCTCGGACCTGCAGAACTTCCATCCCATCCACTGCTCGCCTCACAACAAAGCGCCGAACAAACTGCACCAGTTCCCGCGAACAATTTCGCCCAAGAAGCCCTCAACGAAGCTCATCAATTCGTAACCTCGTATTGGCCTGAGAAGTTCACCATCAAGTCCAAGACCAAACAATCATCCCCCTCCACCGCTCTCGTCGAACTCCTCTCCCACGAGATCCCTCCAAAACTCCTTCCACCCCATACAGCTTCTGAAGCCTGGTTCGCACGCACCAGCATTCACGAGAATGCCGCCAAAGCTGGAACGGCGAGTTGGGAAGAGTTTGATGCGGGGTTGAGGCAAGATCACAGCATTCACGAGACGGATTATACACCTGATTGTATACATGCCCACCAAGTCTTAACTTGGGACGATCAGTCTGGGGGGGAGGTTGTGGGATGGCAGGACGTGCACATGAACATCATGGAGATGTGTCATCAGCTTCCTGCCCCGTTGAATAAACGAGTCTTCTCCGTTCTCGTTATCACGGGAAAGAAGGGCGACGGAGAGTTTATTGTTGTACAGATCCCTGTTGACACCAAGGGAATGCCGGGAACAAAGTATCGCGATGACAAGGCCTTCACACCCGGAATGTACGTCAGTGTCGAGAGAGGTGCGCTGGAGGACAATGGAGCGAACGTGAAGTGGCAGATGGGAACCGCGAGTGATGCAGGAGGAGTGTTGCCCATGTTCTTGCAGAAGCTGGGTGTTCCGGGGGCGGTGGTGAAGGATGTGGGGTTGTTCATTGGGTGGTGTGAGCAGAGGAGGCAGGGAAAGGCTTGATTGATGAGGAAGTGATAAGGCGTGAAAGTTCGACGGTGCCTGAAGTGATGATTCGTGATTCAGAGTGGTGATGCTAAGGCCACAGCGGATAAATGCCCCAGATAACGCCTCGCTAATAGTCCACATAATATACAGTGTTATGTCACAGTTTTTCTCCTCCCCTTTCGACCACGTCGGTATCCGCTGGTGTTTCCTGACTTCTTGGCCAGCATTCAAGGCTTTCCCTTCTGCAAGCAAGCAACGGGCTCCGGAGCAATTGAACGGCTCCAGGTCTAGGCCGGCGACTCCGTTCTTCGCTGCCTCGAATGGCCGGAGAGGCGCTCTCCATGTCCGTCTCTCTTGACCACGCTATCCTTCCATGCTCACGAAGTCTTTTCTAACAGCTCCTTCGCCTCGTTGATCTTCGTGGCCAGATACGGGCTACCTCCTCGATCCGGGTGGTTCAAAAGCATCATCTGCCGATGCTTCTTTCTGATCATGTCCTTTGTGATGCCTCGTTCTCTGCGCATCATCACGTTAGTGTCGACTCCAACATGAACCGTCTCGGTGGTATGCGTACGAAGTCTCGAGGATCAAGGCCGCTTCTCGTCGGTTCATCGTCTTCTCAAATCCACCTTTGTAGTATGCTTTGCCTAATGCGCTGCCTCCTCTTGATCTTCGGAGAGCAACGAGACCTGCGCGACCCTACATGGCACGGTGGTCAGTTTTCGCTGGGTGATGGAGTCGCATCGCATCGCATCGCATCGCATGTCGTGGATTGGACGTACGAAGAAAGCAGCTGCGGCAACGCCGACGCCGACGGCAAGAACAGTAGCCATAATGTGTGATTGGGAGTGATGTGGTTTGCAGCGGGCTCTGAAGATGCGACAGAAAGATGCTCGTTCCATCGCCTTCACATCCGGCACCGATCGCCACGCTAGTCCACTAGACCCTGGATTTGCTTCAACTTTTCCATCTCCAGCATTTTTTTCCACCCACGAACACCTCGACACCGCGACACCGCTCACGACCGCCGCCATGAGGATCGAAACGTGCTATTTCTGCTCGCAGCCTTGCTATCCATCCAAGGGCATCACGTTCGTGCGCAACGATGCCAAAGTCTTTAAATTCTGCCGGTCAAAATGCCACAAGAATGTAAGGATACCACCCTAGACAGACCTCTCTCTCTCTCTACATGCGCTGACAAGGTTTCCTACAGTTCAAGATGAAGCGCAACCCCCGCAAGCTCGCCTGGACCAAATCTTTCCGCCGCGCCCACGGAAAGGAAATGACCGTAGACTCCACCCTCGCCTTTGCCCAACGCCGCAACATCCCGATCCGCTACAACCGCGATTTGGTTGCCAAGACTCTGGAGGCTATGCAGCGCGTGTCTGAGATTCGCGCGAAGAGAGAGAGACAATTCTACATGAACAGGATGAAGGGCAACAAGGCGAAGCAGATGGAGGCCGACAGGAAATTGGTCGCGGAGAACCAACATCTGTTGCCTCCAGAGTACAGGGATCAAGTACAGGAAGTGCTTGAGGAGGAGGAGTTGGAGGGCATGGCGCTTGATGGCGAAAAGGTCGAGCTGGATGAGCAGGAGACTACTACCGCGGCGCCTATCAAATCAGCACTCAAGGGCAAGWGGAAACAGCGCATTGTCAGAGGCGAGGGAGCGGAGGCCATGGATGTTGATGGTTGATTGGGTTCGTGCTCATGTTGAAGTTTCCTTTCCGGCAGCGATGGCGCTCGGGCGTTTGTACTTGTGTGTGGCACTTTCACAAAATGGGTAACGGAACGTGGGGATACGAGGTGTGCCTGCGATTGATCGAGGGGAAACGAGATCTTCTTCCGATTGATGAGACCTTTCCGAACAGTTCGCACCGCATGGCGAATGGATGAATGCTCATGGGTATCTATTCGAGGACGGCGGGTTGGTTGCAATGGTCTGCAGTGTAACCCATCCATCAATCGCGATGCCAACAGCGTATCGCTGATGCAAGATGTGAAGTTGTGGATAGACAGAACGAGCCCGATCCACGGAGCCATCTCCTCCGCACATCAGACGGAGCTCGCAAGCATCACCGACCGGAGCTCGCCAGCATTCAAATGATTCATGCCTCCAGGCTCCAGCCTCCGCTTATGTTAGATGCAGATAGACCAATCACCGTTTAGACGTGCCTGAAATAACATTCTCACGGTGCACTACGCGGGCGGGGAAGCACGATCACACGACGCATGCTGAAAGAGCTCTCTTGTGCAGCCAAAGTGGTCTGGTGATTGCACAAGCTTGGCGAAGAGGCGAACAGGCGAAGAGTCTTCGTTTCCGCTGGGATCTGCTTCGCTATCTGTGCGCAAGGTAAAGCAAAATTGGAAAAACTTGGTTGTTGAGGTGCGGAGAAAAGTGTTTCACTCCGGTCGTCATGATGACTGACTGCTAGTGGAACTTTGAGGAGTGGCGGAGTCTCGACCGATTTTGTTCGCTGGAGTGAATGGCAGGTTGTGTTTGTGCAAGGTCCGTTCGTAGATTAAACATCTGTAGTTGAAAGAGGTACGGCGTTTGATGGGAGTACTTGTGCTTCCTGTACCATGTACCATGTGCGCTTGGCGGGTAACGCGCCGTGTGGGGAAAGCTGTGTGAAGCTTCCGATATGGATGTGGCTGGTATACGCGCCGATCGAATGCCGTCGAGACAGCTCGAAACATCAATAGAACGAGCACCAAGGGGACGATGAACACCTGAAGAGTGCGGTTTCCACGGAGATGGACCTCTCCTTCGATAGCAGAAGCTTTCGTAGCATCATTATAGTCGAGGCATTGAGTGGTTGTCTCCACCAATAGTGCACGGAAAACAAGAATAAGATGCAGAACGTCATGCCGGCCGTGGATAATTCATTGGTTCTTGCCAGCCAACAAGGTTTCCCCACTCGCAGCTTCCCACCAGCCGTCGCCATCATCCTACTTCTTCCCTCTTCCTCTTCTCTCTCTCGACCACCAACAACACAAGAAGTACTTCCATCCACCGAAGTACCTCCACCACCGCAAGCATGATCGATCCAGTTCAGGCATTCGCCGCTGCGGCTTCGCACGCACCTCGTGAGTATCCATTCCAATGCCGCTKATGCGAAGCAAACAGCTCAAGCTGACTGCCTCCAAACAGWCCCGACTGTTGTCCCAGTCCCATCCATCGAGTACCAGGATGCCACCGAGACTGGCATGCGTACCCTTTGGTGAGTTTCGCGGAGTTTGAGAAGCTCAATGTCGTCGTTCATAGCTTCGGTGAGCTGTTGACGACGATGCTAGAGCTCTCAGGCACACAACATACCAGACACAAACAGCTGCTAACACCACATCAGGGTCGTTTTCGTGGTCATGCTTGTGTCCTCGCTCGTCTTCACCGTCATGGGATGGAGCGTCCCAATGGTAAGCGCTGATTGCCGTCGCTGCTCGAAAATCCCGCATACTGACTTTGCTTCAGTCCAAGCGTCTGTTCCACGTCATCACCACCATGATCACCGTTTTCGCGACCCTCTCCTACTTCGCCATGGCCAGCGGCCACGGTATCAGCTACCACCGCACCACCGTCCGCGAGTCCCACAAGCACGTCCCAGACACGACCTCCGAGGTCTACCGCCAGGTCTACTGGGCTCGTTACGTCGACTGGACTCTGACCACCCCACTCTTGCTCTTGGATCTCGCTCTCCTTGCTGGCATGAACGGTGGCAGCATCTTCGTCACCATCATCGCTGATGTTATCATGGTCCTGACTGGTCTCTTCGCTGCCTTTGGCTCCGAGGGTACTCCTCAGAAGTGGGGCTGGTACACCATTGCCTGCATTGCCTACCTTGTGGTTGTCTGGCAGCTCGTCGTCTCCGGACGCAAGACCGCTTCCGCTCGCGGTGGCAAGGTCGGCAACTTCTACGCTGCCATTGGTCTCTTCACCCTCGTCCTCTGGACCGCCTACCCAATGTAAGCTCCTTCCAATCTTGTCCGTCCAAAACACAATCACTAACATCTTCACAGTGTCTGGGGTGTTGCTGACGGTAGCCGCAAGGCCAACGTCGACGAGGAGATCATTGCCTACGCTGTCCTTGACATCCTCGCCAAGCCAGTCTTCGGTGCTTGGTTGTTGTTCACCCACCAGCGTACCTCTGAGATGAGCGTCGACCTCGGCGGCTTCTGGTCGCACGGTCTCTCCAACGAGGGCGCCATCCGTGTTGGTGACGACGATGAGGGTGCTTAAATGCATTCATCATCAGGATTCGGACTCAGGAGTCGAGAAGCCATTGCGGCCCTCGTCTCAGAGTTGCAGAATGACAACAAGACTGGGGTTCTGAACAAGAGGAAAGGGATCAGGCGGGCAAATTCATCACGATAACGCAAAAGCACTGCTAACGGGATTGATTCGGAACGACTAGCATCATCGTGCGAGCAACGGGTAAAAGCGGAGTTCTAGGTATTTGCTTTCTGAAAGCCTGCAGCTGGCTCATCAAGCGTTCCTATTGACATTGTACAATGAGCGTAGTTAATGAGTAATTGCAAGAATGAAGTGTGTTGGTACGGAATCGTTTCATCGTTCTTTTGATCTTCACGATCCGAAACCCATGTGACGACTGAGGCTGAGGTGCCTGCTCGTGCATCGGTTGCCCCGCAACTTCCGTAACAACGAATAGTGAACTCAGGTTAACATCCAGCATTCCCTCCTGTTTCGCATCCGTCCTCACTCCTCACCTCTGTCAGATTAACTTATCAACACAATCCAGAGCAATCAATCACACACATACACGCACAAGAATGACAACCATCCAACAAGAAGAATCCGGCGTGGACACCACCGCGGGCCTGAGTCCTCTGGAGCGGAGGAACAGTCTGGAGAAGCATCTTCAACACCGACCTGATGAGCAGGATTTGAAGGTCAGTCATTATACACATCATTCTCCTTGGACTCTGTTGGGAGAGGTGGTTGTTGGGAGAATGAGGGCTAATGCTGTAAGTTGCGGTGTAGGATCGACACATCCTTTTGGATACGACTGCGGCTCCCGCTTTGCAAGCTAGACAGGCGGAATTGGAACGGCAGAAGATTACAGGTGAGCTTTGCACTGTTTCGAACCACATTGGGATGTGTTTGGGCAATGGTTGCTGACCTTTGGCTTGTGCAGATAATTTGAAAAAGGTATGAAGAGTCGCCACCCCAACACGAGGTTCTTGGTATTAACTCTGCGTGTAAAGGGCCTCGCAAAACGCCCTGAAAAGGACGATCTCGTATCAAAGAACATCCTGCCGGATTCGAGTGCTGCGCCGGCCATTCAGGGACAGCAGAGGGAGTTGGAGAAGCATATGCGTGCGGACACGCTGGAGAAGGCGGTACAAGGCAGGCCGCAGAAGGATGAGTTGGTCAGCAAGGGAATTCTGAAGGAAGCAGAGTAACTCCAGTACGAAGTAACTTGGAAGAGTGACGGTGAGTAGCTTCGGGAATGAAATCAGGCTGAAGAGTCTGGAAGCATGAGGTTCGGAAGCGAGAAGTGCAGACGGTCTGTTTGAAGTTGACATCGATCCGCACCTTGTGGAGCTGATTCCTTCGTGTAAGCCCCACTGCTTTACTCCAAGGGCGTAGCAAATATCACGTTGAAGACGCATGTACATTGGTATTGCTCATGTGGGTCCTGCAAGGTTGGGAAGTGCATTGTTAATTGTCAGCAAGCTTGAAAGCCTCTTGACGCAGTTGAGGCCGCCCGGAGCGGAGAGGACTGGGGCGACCGCATCTCTCTGTCGCATCTCCGTTCAGCATCCAAGTCCTGGCTGAACACCGTGTGGATGATAGCGTCCATGAGTCTGATGAGAGGGGAGACGACCGTGGGGAACATCATCCTCCTCGCAAGTTTGGACGGCGGCTCGGTGGTATAGTTCGCCTTTTGGCGCCGACCGGTCTCACATACATGCACCTATTTATAGCTTGGTTTGAAGTTTGCATTGCCGCATCGAAAGTTACCACGAATGTATCGTGAGATCGTGGACGTACTGCAGTAGAGTCGTCGTCGCCGTCGCACTGTGAGTCTCCAGGACATGACAGTCAATCGCCGACCTGTCGTGGACACGACAAACAAGACAGCAGACAGAAAGTCAAACAACCGCCGAGAGCTTGCGATCGACAGAAGCCGGTCGTGCTGGGATCTATTTTGGGCGACAAGGGCATTCGGTTCACTCGTATCTCGCGTCGACCTTCGAGTGCCACAGACTGAGTCCGGAGACAGGCCTGGCGAAGATTCGCAAACAACCGCCGACAGTATCGCATTTTCTTCCTCCTCGCGCGAAGCCAGATTGGATCTCCTGCCATCACCTACAAGACGAGATTGTCAGCGGCGAGCCTGCATCTTTGCGATCTGGAGATCCTGTGGAGAAGACGGAACGTGCGGACAACAACAAAAAACGAACCCAGTGTCCATCCTTTGTCCACTTTCCGGGCGCGATCATTAGAGGCGCATTTGGCCGTCTGCAAGAGACTGAAGACGGATACGGGAGCAAATTGCGATACGACGACGCAGAAGACGCTGGGAACAATCGACACATTCACGCAGCACACAGGCGCTTTCGCTCACTACGGGGAAGCACTGCGAACTGCAACCTTGCACACGGCTGCATCAATCTCTCTCCACGCTTCCGACTTTCGCATCGGCTACGACAACAGATATCCTCAGACGGCGCGATATTCTCGTGGTGGGCATTCACCAACCCTTGGTTCAGAGCTTCAGAGCTGTGCAGGGTAAGAATCTTGCCAGGGGAGCTCTTATTGAGGCGGCATWTGCGACTGGCAACATTTGGGTCCGACAATCGCCTGWCTCGCCCACTGCTGCTCAGTCGCATTCTCTCTCAGTGCCCCTCTTATACCAGCCTTTGCTTTGCCGGTGGTTTGCAGTCGCTGATTGGTCGGTAGTGGATTTCTGGTGGCGCGAGACGCATGATTGTGATTGGAAGACGCCCGTTCTCGAAGCACCAAGCACGTCGCACGACCTCTTGCGAGCGGTTAACATACCTGCATGCTGCAGCTGGCCTTGCGCGCGCGGCCAAAGTCACCCATTTTCTCCCTCTTCCGGCCTTTTTGCACTCTTTCCCTTCACGACCGTTGCGACCGTTGGGCCGTTCTAAGAAAAGCTCCTGCGCCTTAATCTGGACATCCACAACGCCCGCGGCGCATCGCCGTCGTCTGTGTAGCATTTGGCGCCCGTCGAGAGCTGGCATCTCACCACTAACAGTCCTTCCTGGCGAAGGCTTCTCGGTACGTCTGCCATGTGCGCGCGAAAGCTGAACGCCATTCCCACCCCACACTTCCTTTGTACTGCAAATGTGTCGCTGTGCCGCCTGTCTTGAAGGTACCTGTGTCACGGCTACCAAGCGCCATGAATCAGATGCAGCAACAGCAACATTCACTGCAGCCATCTTTCACTTGTTCATACCCTTTGTCATGCTCCTTCCYGTCCATCACTCTTGTTGGATTTGTTCGACCCAATGTCTAACATGACATCTTATAGATCTTTAATAGCCAACTGGCAACCGAACATTGACTTCCGCAATCCCAATGGACGATATTGGCAAACGCGAAGAATGAACGGCCATTCACTTGAAACGCCGGCATTTTCACTCGGGTCTAATCATTCACCTCGTTCACCACCAGCAAACATGTCGCAAATAGACAATTGCACAAAACAGCCACCTCAGTCCTCCTCCCACACAAACACAATACCTTCTTCCTATGACAACGTTTTCCGGAAATTCCACAATCACACGCTGAGCGATTCTACCAACACCGTCGGCTCAAACGACTCATCACCTACGACCACAATATCTACTGTTGACGACTCGAGCGCGACAGAAGCTTCACCTGGCTCCTCTCCAGAATCGCCACCGCCCACCACATTCGCTGTCGGAATGCTTCGGCCGCGGACCGCCAATGATCGAAGCACGCCTTTCTTCGAATTGCAGAAGCAACCCCCGCCAAGAAAAGGCCGCAACCTGAAAGGTCTGGCTGTGAACACCACAAGACAAACGGCGACAGCGAAGGGCGCCTCTGCATCAACGACAAGCCTGCCACTTCGGATTCAGGCCGACGATGCATCCAGCATACTCTCACCCTCATTTGTGAAGCCACCTACCCCTTCACGGAGAAAGCCCAGCAATTTGGGACTGACCATATTGACTCCTGGTGGAGCCAAACCTCCGCCACAGCTCGTTCGTCTGACAATACCTGGAGCACCACCACCAACYCCTGGTTTCCAAAGGCCTACTTTGAGACACTTCCAATCATCTCCTTCATTACCTCTAGTGTCTGGTCTTGGATTGCAGAGTAGCAGAAGTTATCAGCAACAGCGAGCTCTCGACACGATCTTCTCGCCCGTGGAAGTACAGCCGTCACCTCAAATTGATGAGGAGGAAGAGGAAGAACAGAACTTTGACATTCCTCTCTCGCGGGAAGAAAAGCCAGAGGCATATCCTGACGGACCGATCTGCGTTTACGATCCCAAGATTGACCTTTACCTGGAGCCTACCGCCGAGCAGGCCAGGCAGTACGATGTGATTATGAATGTGGCAAGTGAGGTTCGCAACCCATTTGTCGTTCACAACGAGCCAGTTCCGGTCGAACCTGACCTTCGACTGGACGGTGGGGGTGGGATTCAGTACGCACCGAAACGCGATCGTCTTGGTGTGCAAACTACCGAGGCGAATGATGCATCACCAACAACCCCCAGGGCAACTCCCATTGAGCCTATCTTTCCCCCCGCCGCGCAATCAAATTCCACGATGACCAAAGAACCGGAGTACATTCATATACCCTGGGAGCACAACAGCGATATTGTGCCGGATCTCTTCCGGCTGGTAAAGGTCATCGATGAGAAGGTGAATGAAGGCAAGAGCATACTCGTGCATTGCCAATGCGGAGTCAGTCGGTCAGCCAGTCTTGTGGTTGCTTATGGCATCTACAAGAACCCGGACATGAGCGTGCAGGAAGCTTACGACGCTGTCRAGAAGCGGAGTAAGTGGATAGGGCCGAACATGAACTTGATCATGCAGCTTCAAGAGTTCCGGTCAAGTCTTTCCCGTGGTGGCATTCTTGGAGATAGAACTCTGAGCCCGCTTACCCCAGGATCTGCATTGAGTGAGTGGAAAGGTCCGTTCTCTAGCAATCCCACGCCGATGCCGATGCGGGAGGTTCCCATGTCAGCTGTTGTCGCCCCTGCGAATCGTGCTGTGACGGACGAGATGCCCGCCGTCAGTCCCGGTCCTGCCTCTGCGCCGCTGGCGCCATGGGCAGTCAATGGCAAAGGAGTGAGCTCACGAAATCGCGCAATCAGCGCGGTGAAGCCAGCAACAGCCTATGTGGATCCCTCAGGGCATGTTGTCGTGCCTGTACTAAAAGTCATCACGGCAGACACTGCCTTTGCACGAACACCGGCCATGAGACCTATCCAGACAGAGGAGATGCCGTCCGCGGAGCCACCATTGAACTCACCTCGTTCTGACCACTTCGCCATGATCCCACTCCAGCCTCCCGCAGAGGTCGATCCAGCAGACAGCTTTGGACTCATGTCTCCGACCTCTACGGAATTCTCTTCCTCACCCTTCGACAGGTCCACACTCTTGGCTTCCTTAGGGATGGGCTCCATGGGTGGAGGCCAAGAAGACGCTCCGAGGCAAAGGAATTCTCTTTCCCTGCGTCGCCGAGCAAATTCTTCGCAGGTAAACAGTCAGCAAAGGGAACTACATCCAGGAGGAGAATCGAGGCTCGCAAAGAAGATTTCCTCACCGAGCTTACGCGAACAGCGACAACTTCAGACCTTGCAGGCCAAGATTGAAGCGAGTCTACCCACGCGGCAGTTCGAACAGCCAGTGTCAAGCGATCTGGATACGTTGATGTCGCCAAGGGCCACGGAGTTCACGGAAAATCCGTTTGCACTTCCTCCTGTTGGTTTGGCTTCTACCACGGCAACGGCGGAGACCACATGTCCTGCTGCGGATCCAAGAAGCCCGGCGCTAAAGGGCGCGAACCCTATTAYGAGAAGTATCCTGGATGTGCTGTGACATGTGATGAGGCATGGCATTCATGGAGCTGGTTAGATCGAGGCATGCGACATGGCACATGAGCAGGGAGCTCCATTACTTTGCTCCATGGCATGAAGAACTTCTTGGGCAAGGCTTTTTTTATGGACAAGGCGCAATGGTATCCGAGGAAGCGAGAGCGCTTATCATGAAGAAAGCGACGATACGGCACACTCGGCGTTTCTTCCTCTTCTTTGGAACGATGAATGGATGGGTTTTGCCAGCAAGAAGCTAGCAGTGTTATACCCAAATCATTTTTGATTGTTCTTGCTGATTTTAACAGCACGGCAAGACTTCTCTTTTTATGATGAGATTTGGAATGAACAGAGGTGAGGGGCATCACCTTGTGGGATGGGAGATGTATGAGTAGCGAAGATACCTTGAAGCAAAGAATCAAAGATGAGAAGGGATTCGGCTTCTCTCGCAAATACTTCCATTTCGTGAATCAGCGTTGATTTTGGACTCACCGGTGCGTTTTCCTGTGGCAGCCAGATTGTGTGCTTGACATCAGGTCTTAGCACTGCCAATTCAGACCTCATGGCTTCAAGCCTCGCACCTCATGCTCTCTGGGCGACACGTACCACCGCGCGGAAAAGATATCTTGCAAGGTTCCAGGCCATATGTTTGTCAACATTATAGCGCTTTCGATGTCAACACCCATAACCGTACCTTGTGTCCAGGATATACATTTCGATTTTTGCCGTCATCCCATTTTGCCGAAGTTATTCCGACGCGACTTCTCAATTTGAACGCTTCTCTCAAATAAACCAACTCCACCAACGCCTCAAAATTCAACAGCACGCCTTGCTGCTACCATGAAGAGAACGTATCACGTATCAGACTCCACCGAGCGACACAATGGTAGTGCAAGTACTCTGTGTCGCTGAAAAGCCTTCGATTGCCAAAGCAGTAGCACTTCATCTTGGCGGCGGCCAGGTGCAGACGGTGAGTGGTCCCCATGTTGCATTCAAATGCCAAGTGCTGACCGTAGCGACAGCACTCCATCGCTGGCAATGTCTACACCAAGAWCTATGAGTTTCAGTACACCTTCCCGCGCTGGGGAGCTTGCAATGTCACCATGACCTCCGTAGCCGGCCATCTGATCGATCGCGACTTTGACAGCAACCACCGTCGCTGGCATTCCTGCGATCCGTCTGCGCTCTTCGAAGCACGCATTGAGTCTTATGTCAACAATGACAGGAAACCAATCGCAAAGAACATCGAGACCAAAGCCCGGCATGCACAGTACCTCTACATCTGGACCGATTGCGATCGTGAAGGCKAACACATTGGAACGGAAATTCGCGAAGTTGCATGCAGGTTCAATGCTCGTCTGAGAGAACCTGACAAGACTGTACGCGCGCGCTTCTCCAACATCGAGCGCGCACATGTGATCAACGCAGCTCGCAATCCCGTCCCTCTTGACGAAGCCCAAGCCAATGCCGTCGAGTCGAGAATTGAGCTCGATCTTCGTATTGGGGCGTCTTTCACTAGAAGTCTGACTTTTGCCATTAAGCATCTGATACCCGGCAGAGAGTCTGTGATAAGCTATGGAAGCTGTCAATTCCCAACGCTTGGTTTCATCGTAGAACGCTACTTTCGTGTCAAGAACTTCCTACCTGAGACCTTCTGGGCTATCAAGGTCATGCATGAAAAGGACGGAGTGCAAGTGAGGTTTAACTGGTCTCGAGGGCACTTATTCGATCGCATGATCGCTGTCATCCTCTTTGAACGATGCATTACCGCGCGTACTGCAAAGGTGACCAAGGTTCAGACCAAGTTGACTAGTAAATGGAGACCTCTACCGCTCACAACAGTTGAGCTTCAGAAATGTGGCAGCAGGTTCCTGCGCATGGACAGTCAAAGAGTCATGCAGCTCGCAGAGGGTCTTTACCAAAAAGGCTTCATCAGTTACCCACGTACTGAGACTGACCAATTCGACGACGGGATGAACCTGCAGACCATCGTCCAGAAGCAAGTGCAGAGCCCGGCATGGGGAGGCTATGCGCAAAGACTACAGGATGGAGAATTCCTCTGGCCACGAATGGGTCGCAATAACGACAAGGCACATCCTCCGATTCATCCCGTCAACTACGCCGCTCCCAATGTATTGGATGATCAAGAACGGCGGGTCTACGAGTTTGTCGTCCGCCGTTTCTTGGCCTGTTGCAGCAAAGATGCTCAAGGCTCCAAGACGGACATCAGCATTCTTTATGGTCCCGAGACTTTCAACACCTCTGGCTTGACCGTGCTCGAGCGCAACTATCTCGACGTCTATCCATACGATAAATGGACGAGCAGTCAAGAGTTGCCACGGTTCACTGAAGGAGAGGTTTTCGTGCCTACCGAAGSTCGCATGCACGAGGGCCAGACAAGCCCGCCCGGATACCTGACCGAGCCTGAGCTGATTTCCCTGATGGATGCGAATGGTATTGGTACGGACGCGACTATGGCAGAGCACATCGCCACAATCAAGACACGGGAGTACACCATGACAAGACCGCGTGGAAGAGCTCCTCAGCAGGCAGATCAAGAAGGACAACACTCTGATGACGATGCGGAGCCCGCTGAAGAGCCCGCCGGTCGTGGTCGGGGTAATCGGGGCCGTGGCGGAAGAGGACGAGGTCGTGGTGCACGTGGTGGGCGTGGCGGAGCAAACAATGGAGGAGGCGGAGCTGGTGGCAATGGAGGAGTTCAAGAGTTCATTCCAACCACCCTTGGATGCGCCTTGATTGAAGGGTACGACAGCATGGGCTTTGAAGTCAGCTTGTCGAAGCCGTTTCTACGCAAAGAGGTACACATCCCAAGTTATACGAGGCCTTTCCAAACCAACACTGACATGCGACAGATGGAGCTTAAGATGAAAGCAATCTGTGAAGGGCGCAAGACCCGTCGTGAGGTCGTCCAAGAGACCATTGAGCAGTACCGCAATGTGTACATGCGAACCCAACAGCGGCTTCCGCTGCTTCACGCTGTGAGTTCGCCGCATCGTGGCGATGACACAAGTGCTAATCTTCCACACAGGCTATTGTCAAGTATCATCCTAGATAGCTTCACATACCAGCCTTGTCTGCTTAGTCAATGCAATGCGAGGATTGTGGTTCAAGGCTGCTGTTGCATGCGAGAGCCTCGGATCCGATGAGTGGAACTACCACTATACCGTGCCCACCTTACATATGTATGGAGATGTTCTCATTGAAATGGACACAGAACTCAACTTGTTGTCTCCTGTCGTTGCAGAGCAAAGCTCCTGTATCCTTCATGTTGAGATGAATAGTGCGTATCACCCCGGTCGCCAGTTTGATTTTGAATTGAAGACCACTCTGATGGGATCTGCTTCGGTGACCATGATCGGACAGTATTCAACTCAACATCAGAACTGCCCTGTAGATATCGTTCATGGTGGCTCCAATTCAGGGGCTCTGTTTTAGGGTTAGGGTTGGGGTAGTGTAGCATCTCTTTCGACGACGACCTATCGCCCATCCCGCTATGATATCTCTCGTGGTGGTCTATAGAAGATAACTAGGTATTCACTCGATGTTCGCATGCCCCCCGGGAGCCCACACGTAGCATGGTCGGTGTTTCGTGCTTTCCAAGGTACACAATATGCAAGTCTTGAATGCACCTGAACGGCTCTTAATCCATTTTTGATGTTATCTATAAACCATCCCTACAGACAAGGACTCATCAGCGAAGAGCGTCCACGATCACAAAGGCTCAAGATTACGCGAATATGTAAGCAGGCTCTGCAGCTACAACTTGCCCGCAGCGGATTCATCAGATACTTTAACAACTATCTTCCCGTACACCTTCCGAGCCTCAAGATCCTGCAGGGCTCTACCAATATCTTTGAGACCATCATACTTCCCGTACATGATAGGCTTCAGCTTGCCGCTTGATAGCATATCCAGGTACCCGGTCCAGATCTCCTCCAGCTGCTCAGGATATCTCCTCCCGCTCTCCCCAAAGCGATACCCGGTAACAGTGATGCTCTTCAACAAAAGCTTATTCATCTTCACATCCTCCATTACCCCACCCCTTGCGGCGAAGCCCAGAATAACGATTCGGCCAAAGTACGCCACACTTCGAATGGCGTCGTTGACCATTCCCGTATTGTCCAAGAACACATTTGCGCCTTCGCCTCCGGTGAAGTCTTTGACTTTATCGATCCAGCCGTCTTCCAGCACAAGCACAAGGTCAACATCCATATCTTTGCGCATGAGTTCGGCTTTTTTGGCATCGCCAGCGAGAGCAATCACCTTTGCCCCAACAGCCTTGGCAACCATACAGCAGACACTTCCAAGTCCACCGCTAGCACCACTAACCAGAACCGTTTCTCCGGGCTTGACATTTGCAATCTGAACTACCGACGCATAGCTCACTGCCTGTCCCGACATGGCAACTGCGGTGGCCGTATCCAAAACGTCCGGCACTTTACGGATTGCCCCCTCTGAAACGCATATGTATTCAGCGAAAGCACCAATTGCGGCGCCAAAGACACGGTCTCCCTTCCTCAGCTTGCCAGAAGAAGGTGCAGACTGAACTACACCACCAAAGTCGTAACCAAGCACAAATGGTGGATGACACCACCCTCGCTTGGAATTGTTCTGATGCTTCCCCTTCGCGTGGAGAATGTCCGCGTGTTGCGGGGAACAATACGAGATCCGAATGAGATATTCGTCATGTTTCGGACTCGGGACGGGAATGTCACTGACTTGCAGGTCAGAAGCCTCTGCAGCAAATGCGCGGATATGGATTGCTTTCATCGTGAGTGTGGTTGTGGACGGGGAACGTTATCGTCCATGTTAGGAAAGCATAAGCAAGCCTTTGGATGCACGGTACGAGTAGCCGAGGTGGTTGTCTCGGTTGGTTCTGATATAGGCAACCAGCGGAAGCAGGACCGACGCGCCGGGTTCCAGCCTGGCGGGCCGCGCCCCGCGGGCTCTCGTCGAGCCAGGCGAACTCCCGAAGAATCATGGCGGCAGATGTGGAAACTTTTCACAACCGTTAAGATCCGCGCCACGGCCCACGACGTTTTGGCAGCACCGCCGGCGACGGACCACCGTGGAGTTTCCGTGTCGAATGCAGGTGGCGAGGCTCATCACGCCCGTTGGCTGCTGATCGAAGTTAGAGCTGGAGATTCAAGCAACTGCTCGTTTTCGGGCACTTGACTCTTGAGACGACGACCTGGTTCTCAGGTCAAATCTTGCGGAAGTGCTTCCCCATCGCCGAGCTCGCGTGTCCCGATGATCGCCTAGTGGCTCGAGAAACCCTGGCAAGCAAATTCGGAACTTGAGCTTCAGATTGCTCTGCAAATACTCGTGCGAAACACACGATTCCTTCGAGCCGGGACAGAACAGTCTTTCTTTGCACCCGTGTGAGGCATGGCAATGGCTCGACGCCGGTGCCCCGAGATGTTGGCTGATGTCCCGATCGGCATGCCGGGCATCATCGTCATGGAAGAAGCAGCTTCCACTGTGCCAAAGCCCGAAGAGATATACCGATGTTTTCGCAGCTGACTGACGCACGCAACATCCCGTGGAAGTTAACAGGTCAGGACTCGGTCTCAGGATCGAACGCAGAGATGATCCCAGCCCTATTTCTGCTAAAAGCCTCAAACCGTACACGTTTCCATCCGGAATGTCCCCGTGAAGAATGGAAGCAGATTCTTGAGCTTGGAGTCAGGACTCCCCATGAATTGGAGGAAGGCATGGCCCTGTAGACCGATTAGATTGTTCATCCCAACATGGCCGAATGTGGCTGGCGTTCACTCCCAGACACAATTATCGGATGCTCCCCGAGCGGTCCAAACATGATGGCGTGAAATCAGGAATGCTTCATGGCGACTCTGCTCTATCAATTCCGGACGTACAGCACTTTCTCGCCTCGGGATTTATTGAACCGAAGCACTTGATCGAGCGATTCGGACTTTCCTCTCAACCATGTTAGTTGGCTTCTAACCTTGCCACTCCGACGTCCTTTCAACATCGCAATCGACTCCGACGTGGCGAGGCTCTGTGCACTCAGGGACATGGTCTCATAAAAAATCGACACCAACGAGCGTGCTTCTGAAAGTACACCCCATGCAATTTAATTCTCCTTCTGAGTGTACAGGCCAGTCGCCGTACGGAACGTGCGCCGGCCACGTGTTGAGAGAGGATCCCTACAATGCGATTGCCCGCCTGTATGTAACCAGTCGTTCCCGTATCGAAGATCCACAGAAAGCCAGCTTCTAGAATAGCCGGGGTGGAGTGACGATTCACGAAAGGAGCGTCTATCTGTAGGGATGTACGGAGTCTTATCATCCTGGCTATTCTGGTGGAGAATGTGGCCGGGATGAAGTCGACGCGCACCTGCAGACCATGTCGATTACCTGGTGGTGCAAGCGCGGCAAACAGGCCCCTAATGACAGGTCGTGAAACACAGGTTTGTCRACCACGGGTGGGTGTGACGTTTGCGACTCCCGCTGCAGTGCATGAAAGTCGGACAGGTCCACAAATACGACAATCCCACGACAATCGCTGCAGCATTGCAGGCGTTCGCATAAACTCTGCAAGGCCCAAAGACAGGGATGCGCAATCTGGGGCAGCGGGTAGAGTGACAAACTGGCCATCGCAGCAAACGCGCGGTTACACCGCGGAAACAGCATCGAACCACACAACCATTCATGCTAGTCACCATTTGCGGGTGCACCACAATGGACAATGCCGCAGACCATCACGCCGCCGCGTTGATCGTTTGTTCACATCTTCACGCCACCAATCCGTTCCCCTCCATACCGATGTTTGCCCTTGGCTTTCCACAGTCGCGGACACGTCGGAGGGAAACAGGGTGGATCACGGCACTGGGTCTGCAAGCAATGTGCAATGTCGGTACTCCGGAGAGATAGACCAAAGTTCGCAGCCTTGTCTTTCAGACTGAGCTGACAGGGCATTTAACTTTCCGGGCCGGTCGTCGACTCTTCGGCAGGKAGAACGTGACACTTCGGCGTCGCGATCGAGTCAACAATACTGGTGGCCGGTCACTGTCGTCGGGCTGCAAAAAATTTCGAGCGCGGAACGGTCGAGGTCAAGCCGCCGCGTAAGATCGGCCGGGACAGTTGCAGTCCAACTCTGGCTTTCATCCGCGATGCCGGTGGTTTGGATGTTGGGTTGACTAAAATTCTGATTGCACTTTAGTGCGATCTGTCCGGGATAAAAATGATAGCGACGAGCGTAAATATCGGAAGCCGACGCTAGAAAACGACTAGACCTCGCTAGAAGCACTCGGACTGAAGATGATCCCTTTGTTGTACCCGAGGGCAATCTGCACAAGCATCTGTTGGCGCGAGATGAACAGCACGGCAAGACAAAGAATCGCACGAATCTCACCTCTGGCACAACGTAAGAGGTAGCAAGAGCCATTGCGCCCAGGTGTCAGTTTGTCCGTCGCGTCTGTACGCCAGCCAAAGAGCGATTCAGAGTTTGCCGGCACGGCACACGGTACTGTTGGTGGCGCCAGGGCACCGCCAGGCTTATGCAGGAACACCCGCGTACAGAACGTTGCAGATCCTATCGACCCACTCCGCTTCTGGAGCCATCCCTGAACCTAGTCGGGGAACAGCAGGGGAGCAGACGTTTTGAACTGGCGCGGGTGTCTGATCCGACAAACAGTCAAACGCACGGGGCCTGCGTCATGTAAGAGAGTTGAAGGAAATTGTTGTCTCGGTCTGCCAGGGGGCAACTCGAAAGAATTTCGATGATCTCAGCGCCATGTTCCCTGCCCTGGTCGTTTGGTTCTACACATATTGCTCACCCACGTCGCTCCTTTGAAATTGTGTACATCTCTCAGAAGCTCCATCGCCTTGCCTGTGAACAAAAAGGCTTGCACCTGACTCCCTTCCGAACGCCAGCCAAGCGTACATATTGCAAATCATTCGGGACTACATTCCTGAGCTCGCCTTTGATACACCCTGCGCCAACCAGCCGATACTGCTACCAGAGGCACGCCTCGGGACCCATTCGTCCGTCGCTTGCACAACGCGCACCGATCCACTGCCAGGCCCTCGCTGCCCTTGCGACAGTAAGTGGCCCGCTCCCTTGTGTTGTGCAACAGAGCATTCCGCGTTGGGTATAAGAGCTGACCGTGACCAGCACACATCGACATGATTACCAGAGAGGATCCCACAGCAATGAACATGGGTCGCGGCGCATATGACACGACGGGGTGAGTGGTCTCGCCGTTGCCATTGGGCACGTCAGCCGCCTATAGATTTGCATTCTAACCGACGTCGCAGAACTCCCAAACCAAGACCGAAGCCCACCACGAAAAGACGATAATGTCGTCGTCTCCCAATGCCTCCGCCATTGAATCGAATACTCTTGCGCGACGCGATGCGGAGGGAAGTTGCCAGCAACTTCGCAAAATCGCACGGAAGCTCCAGCTCCACGGGCTCCACCTTCGTGCAGCAGCTGCACCCCAGCTGTTCTGCTTCACAAGCGCAAAACCTCACTACCGGCAACACCACCTCTCTTCGCGCACATCCAACCACTTTCGTTTCGACAACCGAATTTTTAGCAGCGGCCACTCTACTGGCTTCATTCCCTCGCATAATACCCATTTTGAGCGTTGCAGTTTACCGCGAGCACCCGCATTCGCCCTGTACCTGCCACACGCGGCTCTACCATCGATACATTACGACTTTGGATCATTTTACGGCGTTGGGGAAAGACAGACACGGGTGGCAACACCCCGGAGGCGTATTTGATTGGAATTTTCTCGTTATTTGGCGGGCAACAGCATGTATACATCGGGCAGCATTGTTCATTGGCGTTTTGGGTGGTCAAAAAATGAGCCTTTTCGCGACACGCAGTTGCGTGCGATTTCTGGGGCACATCTTGGCTGTCTGAACACATTTGCTTTAGGTGTTGGAAAATAATCGTTCTTCCTTTGGATGCTTGCGACGGCATCATGGGCATAGCGATTCCCGTTTGTTGTAACTAGATACCCCAAGTTCTTGTATCGATTTGACGGACACTTTTGACAACATATTCAAAGCACCAGACTCTCCAAAAACATCTCATTGATCGGAATATCCCTCAGACACGCCCATGGTTCCTGCCTCACCGCAGTGCAAGTCTGTGGTGGGCTACACCGGCAGATCGATCAATCAATCTGCAGCCATCCGTTTTTGGGACGTGCCATCTATCGTGCTACCATTGACCAAAACCCGAGACGCATGATCTGCAAGCTTGTATACATTGCAGTAGTGTGGTGGACATTGCCGATGTTCCGCGCCTGACACACGCCTGGCTCAACGGCTTGTGGGGACATCACCGCCGTTGCAATATCAACCAGACCCAGAGACCTGGCTTGCTCCAACGATGGTGCCACTGATGGCGGTGGGACGTGGTCGGAACTTGGCGGGCACACCTGCATCTGCATCTAACGCAAGGAGATCTCTGTGATGACTCGCGATCGATTTGTAGTACTGTACGCTACGCCTTGCATCTGCTTCACAATGGCTCCTGATCTAGGGCTTCTGTCACATGTGACTACTGTCTCTCCACGCATCGGAGTGGAACAATCAATCTCCAAAGAGCGGTCTAACGCGCTTTGCATCTTCTCGAACGGATTGGCCAAGAACCTTGCGGAGCGATGGTTCACCGGCCCGCGCATTCCATCCTGTCGGGTCGAAACGCTGTATCAATGCCTTTCATGTGGCTTGCTCGAAAAGAATCGACGCCACACCATCGTGAATGTGTTGATGAATGTCCGGTACCTGGAGTGAAGTCCGTATCACAAGCGCCAAACTCGGGTCACTCTTCCCATGGTTTCCATCCGGCTCCGCCTGGATTCGAATGGATGGCTTTTCGGTGGAGCTAGCATGTGGTACACGGATCTCATAGTGGCCGTCATCACTCAAAGAACTGTCAAGAATGGCGGAGAAAGCCTTTGCAAGACCCGAGACGGAACCCGCCTTTCGCAGTCGCACACCGGCCATGCCCAGCGCCCCGCAAGGATGCGTAGTATTTTCTGGCGTAATGGCAACTCTTCGTTGCCGTGGTGTTAGATCGTGACACCAAAATGGCACATTTCCACGCTCAATGTTGGTTGGAAATGTGACACGCCATTGCAACTCCACTCCATCAGGTGTCAGCCTTCCGCCCTCTTGGGGATCCGAATAGGAGATGTCTGTTCCAGTCTCCGACAGCCCCCTCCTGATTGCGGGCAGTGTTGGAAACTTCTCGTCCTTCGTGGTAAAGGCAAAATCCACGACTCCATACGGCTTGTCCCTTGAAACATGGCTGTCAAATCCTGTGTTTGAAGGAGAGTCATCGCCGAAACTCACCACCAATGACCTTTGCGTTTCACTGGATCATCATTAATGAATGCTATCAGCTCCAAATATGTTCCATCTTTGAATAGTACAAGTCTATTCTCCGTCTTTTGATCGGCGTGAGTTCCGCCAGGAGATAGGAAGAAATTGTCTGTGATCCATGATGGAGGGGCTTTGAGGAGCTCGTAAGGCAAGAGCATCACTACATGATCCAATTCAGCGGCCATTGTTGATGGGATGCGTCGGATTGAGAGTATTCAAGTGTGTGATTACCTGATGAGGACGGTAAGGTAGTACAAGTAAGCTCGTCGGCGTAGAAAGTCGTGGTCGTGTGGCGCGCTGACTTTCGGTGAGTTTTGCGCCCGCTTGCGACTTCACTTCACCTCTTTCCTACAACGTGCGTCCCAAGTGGTGGGTCGAAGTGAAGTTCTCGAACTGAATGGGTGTCTGTCCCAGTCCCAGCCCCTTCATCTCAACCGGCTAACTTCTTCGCCTACTTGACGCTCTCCCGACTTACAAGACGCATTCTACGCGACGAGATGCTGCACACCATTCGCCGACCCAAACACTTGAGCATAATGGCGCGACAGCAAGCGGTTCGAGAAGAGATGTACGATGCACGATTGCGCGATTGCGCGATTACACGAATTGAARGACACCTTCACCAATGGATTCCATTCCATTACGATGACGAGTTGCGTTGTATTACTTCACACGGTCCTTTGCACGATCGATGGCCACCTCCTACGGTTTGAGGCTCTCTGCTGGGTATCATGGTGCTGTCAGATCGAGGATTGACTTCGCTGCTGCGGACTGGAACCGTGGACAGACAGAGTGTGTGCTACGCGTGTAGCAACATCTCCATCGCATGCGAACTTGCGGATGCTCGTCGCAACTCAAGTTTGATGCGAGCAGACGGCGTAGTCTCACACATGGCTCAGTTCACTGTTCTTGATTGCGTTTGGTATCGGGATCATGCTGCATCCCGATGCACACCTTTACATAACAGAGTAAGTCTCGAAACCGAGGTGACATCCTGTTGAGGTTGGTAGTGATCCTTACCATGATCGTTTGCTCTGCTACATATTTCCCTTGATGAGAGGCTTCATGTAAGTACAAGTATGCTTCTTCTCTGGTCAATGTCTCTGCATGATCCCACACGGCAGCGTCAATCGCTTGACCTGGTGTGATCGATTGTCCATCTCAGGACGGCTCCCAATGTCCTCGCAATTTCAAGGCGCTGATTTAATTTGGAGCCCTCTGCAATTTTTCTCCTTGGTACATCGAGGAGACTCAATCCCTGAGGTCTGTTGCCGACCAATATCTTCGCAGTTTCCACACCACCGAGGTACGCTGGAGACCTCTCGTTRCATCTCCCCCGAAGATTCCATGTTGTTGAGGCAGGCGGCTCCCTATCGCTTCACGTTTCCGCAGGGTACATTGGGAGCCACTGCGAATCGTCAGAGACATCTGATTGCTCGCCATATGCTTGGTCTCCTCGCAAACAGTATGGCGCTGAGGTACGCTGGGACTCTCTCGTCGCACAATTCCTCAGTCACGCATCGATAGTCGCAACGAATCGCCGGAGCAATCTGCCATTTGTTCACTTTGTTGTTCCCGTGATGGCATCGCAACGCTCCGCTTAGTGAGGGCGCTTCATCCGCATGACCTCATTTCGGAGCAGCGAGAGGCTCAATTGTGGCATACTCCGAGATTCTGTTGCCGCTAAATTTCGCTTCTAGGCTTCCGCGTCCTTCCTTCCATTTGCATCGCAACAACCACCGCACGCACCTCGAATTCATCAAAAGAGCGCCCAAGCTAACCAGATCACAGTGCACACCATCATGGATCTTCCAAGCATGGCCGAAAATGGCCAGCTCGATGCCGCCGACCCCGTCGCGGCTCCACCACCGGAAAAGCGAGCGTGCATTTGCTGCTACGAAACGGATCCCGACAAGCTCATCCGCGCGTGCGGTCCTTGCCAGTCAGACTACTGCCGTGACTGCCTGGTGAACAGATTTGTGGGGGCCGTGCAAGACCCGACAATGTTTCCAGTCCACTGCTGTACCTTGATACACATCCACACTGTATTGCCACACCTCTCGGATGAGCATGCCCATCAATACCGTGCGCGATTTGAAGAATGGGCAGCACCCACGAAGACGTACTGTCCAAGCCCTTCATGCAGCGTCTTTCTCTCCGAACGCAAACTAGAAATGATCAAGAGCAGATCTCGCACAACAATGACTCTTCGCCAACTTCTGATCAACTTTCTCAGCAAGATGGAAGCCAGCCCATTTGCGCGGTTCTTTCGAGAGGAGCTTGACATCACCAACGTCTCAGGACATACGCTGGCAATGAAAAAATCCATCAATCTCAGAGACATCCAAGCCAAGATCGATACATACACGTCCGTGGAGGAATTCACACGTGATGTACAACTGATAAAGAACAACGCCCACCTTTATGGCAGTGATCACCCTGTCGCAGAAGCTGCAGATGGACTGTTTGATCTCTGTCTCCACGAGATGTCTGAAGCGACCGACGACCATGTTCTTGCCWATCACACCACCTTGATCAACTGTCCAACGTGTCGGATCGCGATGTGTGGAAGTTGCGACAAGGTCGCAGAGTGGGGGCATGTATGCGACGATACTGAGCGCAAGCAAGAGCTGGCCATGCTCAAAAAGTTTGGGTACAAGCGGTGCCCACGCTGCGGCCAAGGAGTCAAAAAGATGTTTGGATGCAGCCATGTGTAATTATCATCATTCTAACCGATATTTTATGTGTCCGCTGACATATGACAGCGTGTGCCGGTGCGGCGCTGGGTTTTGCTGGACCTGCGGACAGAGTATCGACGTCTGCCAGGGGGCTTGCGGTGCGCCCGGGGCAGACAACGAGGAAGTCATCGACGGGACAGCCATCGAAGAATCTAACGCACAGGTAAGCACACACTCTCGACCGCTGTGTCATGCTGTGGCAGCGGAAATACCTCCTAGCATACATACCTATCCTCGTTACCAAAGACGTTGCTAAACCCTTTATCCTTGTAGATGCCCGGCAGTGGCGACAACCAAGCGGAGCCGGAAAACCTTGACGCTGGCGGCGCGGAACGCTGGCACGAGTGGAATTTCGGAGACGAGCCAGAAGAAGGAGCATATAACCAGGTGTGGTCGTGTCACCATCTGTTCAAAAAGTGGCGCGGTTCCAAGGACGGTTTCTTCCACGGCGACTTGCAGCTGATCGAATGCAACCGCTGCTTCAAAGCCTGTCCAATGGGCGAGGGAGCTTCGAGATGCAAGGTGTGTGGCCTGCTGGTTTGTTCTAGCTGCGAGGATTTCTTCGAGCAATCTTGACGAGGAAACATGATCTTCATGCCACACTGAGAGCGACTTTGCTAGCGACTCGTTGAGGCCTTTGACGCAAGAAAAAAGAACAGCGTCGTAAAGGAAGAAGAACAGCTTCGTAAAGATAGGACGTTCAGTTGATGAATGAAGGGCCCGAGGAGCGATATGCCCAAACGAGCGTCACTTCAACTTCCATCAATGGCATTGGATCCTCCAAAACCGTGCGGAATCATTCGACGGTCCACGATGTCAATAGACTGAGACTGATAGGAAATACACCGTAAATACACAACTGTCTTCACATACCTAACTTTCACTCTCCTCTTCCTCCGGCGGCTTTTCAACCTCAAACGTCAGGCCTCCCGTCGCCTGCCCCTTGAAGTTCTCCGTCTTGACCCTGTACTTTCCATTATTCCACAGATCCTTGATTGTCAGCTCCCTTGTACGGCCCAAGGACTCAATGTCACTGATGCGATCCAGCGTGGCTTCCAGATAATCGTCGAATCCTTCCTCGGCGCAGATCTCCCTGAACGCATTCATCATAGGTACGGAATCCGCCCGGACTTTGGCATTGCTGTCAATGGCGAAAATGTTGATGGCGTCGTAGCTCTGTTGCACGCGAATTAGCGTAATGAATATCCAGTAAAGCGAGAAGTACACACCCTTATGAAATCTGCTCTCGTCATAATCTGCCTGGACTTGTGCAGTGCAATCTCAGGCAGAATGTGTCCTTGCTCAGGATCATACGTCGAGTCCATTTCCTTCTCCAGGTTCACGAGAGCCCTTGCCAGAACCATCGCAGCACTCGCATACTTCTGCTGATCCATCACGTCGTCGTCCATTTCGGCCCCAAGGATCCAGCACTGGTTCAAAAACCACGTCTTCTCTGACCTGCAGATATCCTCTGCGGTTTTGAGCATGTCGTTCGACTTTGCGACCTTATTCAGATAAGACATACGACCGCCAACTTTATCGTAGACTTGTTCCAAAAGTGACTTGGGAGGACTGTCCCCCCTGTATTTGTTGCGGTAGTTGAGCAAAGCAGCGATGGACTTCTCCTTGTTGAGGTCGAGGATGCGGATCACATTCATCCGGGTAGCGTATTGCTTTAGACGCTCGTAGATCCAGTAGTCGTCGGAGTTGAAGATGACGGTAGCGAGGTTGCTTGCCGCCCATTGTTCTGCCCGCTGCTGTACCAGTTCCAACAGATCTTTCCCGTCGTCGTCGTCGCGGAGGAGGTGCATGGAGTTCAGAATGATAATGAGCGGTCTTCCAAGCTTCTCGCGACGCTTCATCGCAACCTTCTCCAACTTGTTGAATGCTCGTTCAACATCGAGTAATGCGCCTGCATCACGAGGTCCACGGATGGAAAACAGAGAGCCGATGTTGTCTTCATGAAATTCAAAGTCCAATGCCTTTCCTAATCGAATGCGAAAGATCTCGGGATTGGMGTGAGCGTCAAACATGGCACAGCCCTCGCCATCCACTTTGGCCATGGCGTCAATCAGCATACTAGACTTTCCAGTTCCCTTTTCGCCGACCAGAAGATGATACTGGCCCCTAGCTCTTCCAGCAACGATATCATCAATGAGGCTTTGCTCTTCACGCAATACCCAATGCTCGCGGTGCTTCTCCTCGTCGAGTAGGATGGTTCCGCCGGTAGCAGAGCCCTGCTTACTAGTCGCGGCCAAGTCTAGCACCGGGTCGCCAGGGTTGAATGCATTCTCCATCTTCTCTATGATATGTCGCTTGTACCAAATGGTATAGCCAACACCAACCATACCCAGGATCGCGACTGAAGCGAAAGTGGTCAATGCAGACTCAGCCATCCGGAACATGGTAGGTTTCCAGGAGAAGCCATCATCGCCATTACTTTTGCCAGATTTCTTCCCGGGAGGCTCGTCTTCAGGTTCATCCGGCGGACCTGGTAATTGTGGTCCCACAAGTCCCAGGTGCCGTCTTTGAAGTAATGGCGCTGCAGGTCTGCTGTGCCACGTTTGAAGTCGAAGTGCCGATGCGCCCCCTTTGCGAAACGCAGGAAGCGAGCGGAGAAGTGCCATGGCCGCGCTTTGGTGTCAATCGTATTAGGGGAATTTTGGAGCACCCATACAGGGTGTCACAGGCGCTTACGCCAGCATATCTGGCAATGTCGAAGGTGTGATGTTTCCAGGTTAAGTTGTGTCTAGAACGTCGGGTTGTTTGAAAGTTGGAGTCGCGCGTGACTAGCGCGTTTTCATGGGAACTCTAATCGGCTCAAAGCCGAAGAGTAAGAGGCTATATACCAACTTGCATGCATAGCAGGCTCAAGCGTGACGGTCGAAGACCATCGCGAATTGAGCCCTCGATTGTGTAGATGGACTCCATTTGGGAGGTTTTATCTACATGTGGAACAGCTGCTACATCATTATCATAGTGTGCTCTACATGTAACCCTTCGTGTTGGCGGCACACGCGGCCTGGCCGGCAGATCCGTACGGCTTGCAGCCTGCCCAGCAAGCTCTTTGCGATGCCTGTGGCATGGGCGTATCCTGCTGAAGGCGGACTGGAGTGTCCCAGCTGCTGTAGCTGCCCGTAAAGCTGACGAGAGGACGGCCGAATCACCAGAGAAGTTGCCTCAATGGGATTGTTGGGAGATGTGTGGTCGTAAGTTCGTGTGCATCTTCTTACCACTTCATCCATTACCAGATCCCTTCCCGTCGTCCCTCGCAACCGTAGAGCTTTCCTCAGAATTGCTCCACAGACTCCTGCTCTCACTCTCTACGCCTCTCATTGCTTCGGCTACTGCTTCGAGCTTCGCTACCACGTCCCTGACACCGCCATCGACTTTCTTGAAGTACGCCTCGTTAGCTGCCCTCCGCTCGCTCGCGAGCTTGATATCCTGCGCCGTTTCGTCTTCGAGCTGACTCTTCCCTCCCTTGAGCCCCGGATCGCTACCCATGCTTTCTTCCGAAAGTGCTGTTGAGGCAGACGTTTCCGTACCGCCCCGTTTCCTGTGAGCATTGCTTCGATCAAATGCCAGATCGTCCGCGCCTTTGAAGCGATGGATGTCTTGCTGCGAAAACCCACCGTCGCCAGCATGCTCCTCGTTTCCCCTTCCCCATGCCCGGGCGAGCTCCACCTGCGCCAGTCGAAGCGTGTCTAGCGCCGCAGCATGGCTCTGTCCAAAGACGTGTGTGGAGCTTTGCGCAGTGAGTTCGACCTCGTTGAGCGTACTCTGCATCTCCTTCCATTGCGCTTCTATTCGCTTCGCGCTCGCCTTCTGCAGAGGCGGCACATTGCTAGATTTGTCCTTTGGTATCTTGTCGCTCTCGCCCTCGTTCTGCTGGCGGCTCAAGGGATCGCGAGAAGATTTCGAAGTTTGATCGTGCGTGTTTCCGCGCACAACTGAGAGCGAGGAAGCATTACGGGACGGTGGACCGACGAAGAGCGTTGGGGCCGGGAGTCTGTTGGCTTGCGTGTTGGCGGTGGGCGACAGCTTGTTAGGGGCTTGCGCAGAGCCTGCTGCGCTGGCGGCCATGTTCAATGCGGTGAGCGGTACATGAGGTCGAATGACATTGCTGGGAGAAGACGCTGTGGTGATGGAGATGAACGGATGGGTAAGGTATTATGCAGATGAGAGTGGGGCCCGCTAGGTCGACATCATCGACGCTACAACTTCAGATCCATCTAGTTACTTGTCTGTTTACCAGGCATCCCGCCATCATCTCAACGATGCCTCATCAATCTGGACGAAGCGAATTTTGCGTGGTAGACATCCTACTCATTGCGTCGGAATGGGGTACGAGGTCGAGAACGCCACATTCCGGCAAGGTACACCGCCAGTTTCGCTGGAGAGCGTGTCGCGGAAGGCAACAATCTAGGTACTGCTGCTTCATTGAATCCACTCAACTCAAGAGACCAGACGGATAACGACCGCATGTTTGAGCTGATCAGAGCTTCGTGCTGTGGGTTCATTGGGTGAGAACAGTGGCACCGATGTCCACACCGCTTCTTTCACTCAGTCCTGCAACCTCATCTGGCTAGACTGGAACCGTACAACATCCTGTACCGGGCGGTAAGCACTCTTTCGCATCTTTCTTCTTCATTTCTCGCTATATGTTTTATTTACACGAGGCTTTAGATGTGTGATGATGCCGAAGCGAGAGAGCTCTGCGATTCCAGTGCGGGTGCGAGATTCTTCAGACAGGTCGGTCAATTCGCACTCTCTGACTCCTCTTGAGACATCACCACGGGATCTGTCTACACGTCTTTCCGAGCAAAGCTTTGAGCACATCACCGCCAACGACCGTGCCAAGATAGTGAATGGAAACATCTTCTATGGCAATGTGGTAAACCATCATCCCAGTGCACCTGCCGTCCCTACAGAGATGTCAAAGGAGGGACCACTTTTCTGTGAGATGCGGGAAGAACGCGAGCATCGAAACCGGGTGAAGGAGGAGCAAAGAAAACTTCTAGAAGAAGCAATGGAATCCTTGCTTTTTCAAGACATTAACTTTCGATATGCCACCACCCAGACGGCTCTTACTGAAACATGTAACTGGATATCGGAGAATCCCGCATTCAAGAAATGGACCCATCGATACGCGCGCAACAAGAATAATGGCTGCCTTTGGATCAGGAGTAAGCCTGGTGCCGGCAAGTCAAGTCTCATGAAGTTTGCGGTCCAACGCGCCCAAGTGGAAGCTACCCGAAGAGCCGAAGTACTCGAWCGAAGGAGAGCTCAGCATGAAAGCGTTAAACAGGATGATTCTGGCAATGAAGACATCATTATCCAATTCTTCTTCAACGCACGCGGAGATGTTTTGGAAAGATCGGCCGAAGGGATGTATCGCTCCCTCGTACATCAGCTTGTCTCACAGCACAGAGAGAAGCGGCATCGACCTTGGCTTCTTGCGYATAACAAGCCCGCCCAGAACGGGTGGCAATGGCCACTGGACGTCTTACAAGCCACATTCGAARACGGCGTGCTGGGCATAGGCGATGCTCGTTTGACTTGCTACATTGATGCTCTCGACGAATGCGATGCAGCTCAGATTCGGGAGATTGCCGCTTTCTTCGAACGACTTATTGAGCGAGCCGCAGCTGTAGGCGTTCGCTTTTGGGTCTGCATTGCAAGCCGACACTATCCCCATGTTACCATTGATGGGTCTCTTGAAATTGTTCTCGATGACGAGGCGGGTCATCGACGAGACATCGAGAGATACATTAGTGCCAGGCTCAAAATCGTCACATCTGACGAACAGAGGATCAGAGCTGAGTTGCAAGAGCGCGCGGCAGGCGTATTCTTGTGGGTCGTTCTGGTCATCAAGATTCTCAACCAGGAGTCTGATCGAGGGCGTAGCTACGCATTGCGGCAGCGGCTTCGTGAAATGCCCAATGACCTCAACGACCTTTTTCAGGGCATTCTGGACTCAAGTCATGGCGATCGCGAGGAAGTCGCCAGGTTGTTAGAGTGGATAATGCTAGCATCACGGCCGCTTCGTTGTCAGGAGCTGTATTATGCGATTCGAAGCGATCTCGAGTATTCAGTCGTCGCACCATCCAAGGACGGGTATCCTTCGCGCGACGCAATGGCCAAGTTTATACTGCACACCTCAAGAGGCCTTGCAGAGGTGACGCACGGTCCGGATCCAGTGGTAAGTCAAGCACATGGCGTAAGACAACCGAAAGACGCTACCAGAAAGGAGCCCCTACGCGTTGACGAACGTCCAGCGTCTTGGAGGAAGCGCCTCCAATCGTTCCTCCTACCTTGTTGTCTAAAACATTGCTAACCCTTCTTTCCATCTCCCTAGGTCCAGTTCGTGCACGAGTCTGTTCGCACATTCCTATTTCAAAATGATGGCTGGAGATTCACTAGAGTAGGAGAACCCATTGGGCGAAGTCACGAGCGACTCAAAGCTTGCTGTCAAACATACATATCGGCGGCGAAGAGAAACAGCATGGATATCGCGTCGTCCGAAGAGCTTCCCTTTCTGCGCTATGCCGTTCACGGTGTTCTCTATCATGCGCATCAGAGCAGTGTCAAACAAGATGAGTTTGTCGCCTCCTTCTCCCCGGAAATCTGGATGTCTGCTGCGCGGCTTGCAGACCCAGAGCGATTTGCCAATGCATCGATTGACTCGCTCTGCATCTTTGCAGAAGCCAGCACATATCGTCTTCTTGAATTAGCGGTCCAGCACGATGAGCGCTTCACTTCGTCGCCAGGACGTTATATTGAGGCGACTGGCACCGTAACCGCCCACAGGAAGCCAACAGAAATCGAGCTGTTGCTACTCGGTGACGATAGTGAGGGGAGCCTGGAGAAGGAGCGGCTCAACACTCTCATCAACATGTCATTGAATGCAAGATACACGCTCGTCATGGTACTTCTCTTACAGTACCGCTGGGAGGGACACATCAAAGATGAGCTTTGCCTCGATTTCCTGACGTGGGCGCTGGCAAACGAACATATGGAGGTCCTAGAGCTGCTAGTCACGCACATCGCCAAGTTGGATGGATATGCTTACAGCATTCTCGAACTAGCCACCGAAGATGGTGCTAGTGTCTTGGTCCAGATGCTTCTCGACAAGCACACCAACTCTCTACTCCGCGAGCGTAAATACAGTCGTCTACTCCGCACCGCAGTATACTTGGGCCACATCCGAACCRTGAGAGTACTGCTTGATAGAGGTGCGGACCTCCACTTCTCAAGTCGTCGATATGGCCACCTTCTCTGGATAGCCGCAAAGGCCGGACACTCTCATATAGTGCAATTGCTATGCGATAGAGGTGCAGAGATTGATCGAAGAGCTTGGGAAGGGAAGAGCACGCCCCTTCAGGTCGCATGCTTTAATCGTCATGTTACCACTGTGGACATACTGCTGAAATGTGGCGCAGATGTGACTGTAGATGGAGCAGAGTACGGGACTGCACTGGAAGCGGCTATGTACTGGCCGCATTCCGATCAAGCGAAGACAGTCGTGCAGATGCTACGGAGGCATGGTGCTGTCATATGATGYATACAAAAGTCTGTAGATAACACTCGATTGAGGCATAGATTGTTGTCCAGCACGAAGCAAGCATTCAACGACAACTGATAGATCTTGCATTTCGCGAGGCAAAGCTACAACCAGATTACTCACGACGACTTCCTCTTCCTGATCAAGATCGGCACCTTGTTATCCGGCCGCAAAGCGATCCAATTCTCAATGTTCTTCGGTCGACCCTCGCCATCCGGGAGTTTGATGTCATAAGTCTCAATAAGCTTCGCCAGCATGATCTTGATGACGTGAGAAGCATAGTACCTTCCAGGACATGGGTGTCGTCCATATCCAAACGACAACTGATCCAGTCCTGTGGAGGTGAAAAGGAACTTGCCATCGTTCCCGGGTTGGCTTCGTAGCTTCTCATATCTCAACCCGTCAAAAGTTTCCGGATCACTGTAGAGAGTATGGTCGGCTCCTAGCTGGCTGGCGGCGACCCCAAAGTAGGTTCCTTTAGGCAAGAGTGTACCATCTTTCAGAACGAGATCTCGGCGCAGAACATACTCTAAAGTTGTTAGCTGAGAAGGGTTGCAGCGGGCACTCTCCTTCACGAAGGAGTCGAGTTTGTAGGCTCGCTGCATCGCCTCGAAAGTGATATTTCCGTCTGGGCTTTCCTTCAACAGGCTGGCCCACTCCTCTCGAAGCGTCGTCATATACTCAGGGTGTGCAGAAAGGTCGGCCCAAAGATGACTTGATGCAACGTAAAGGGACTGGATCGATGCCACATTTGTGATGAGCTGTGCGTGCGCTTGATACCTACATTGTATTAGCTCGGAATTCACCTTCATGAATGTTGTCCTTTTGTCATGCCTCACCTGACATTATACTTCAAGTGTTCCGGAGCGTTGTTAATGACCCAAGTGAGCAGATCAGACTTGGACTCTTTGCCTTGGCTTCGATCGTTCTGTCTCTCCTTGATGAACGGCTCCATGATGCGTTGCATCCTGACGTGGGCCTTCTTCAAGTTCCAGACAGGTGGTAATAGCGATGCAACCAAAGACCGCAGCGGAGCCGGGACGGCGCCCAGGAGCCACATGGCTATGAAGCTGTTCTTGAAGAAACCGAGTTTCAAATCGACGAAGTCGGGATCGCGACTGAGAGGAAGACCGACTAGAATTCGTCCGGAAACCAAGGCCAAAATTCGCGGTAGCAGCTGTTCGGRGTGGATTGCAACCCAGTCTGTTGATATGTTAGACATCGAACGATACTGATACTTTTGCTGTCAACGAACCCTCATCGCACTTGGGTAGATGCGTTGCAAACGCATACTCTGTTTCTTCGACGATATCAGGCAGGCAATTCTCTTTGTATATGTGTCAGTTATGTATTGCATTCGGTATTCGAGTAGCAATGCTTACTCAAGTGCCTTGGAAGATCGATAGCCAATGCTTTGAGCATTGGAGTGWCGCCACCCTCTTCAGGGACCTTGATTGTGGTGTACTGATGAAGAAATCGCTTGCAGATGGTCAGCATATGGATGCTTGTAGTGAAAGGCTTGGGACGCACCGTATCGAGAGCGTCGTAAAAGCTCRTCTCGTTCTCTGGCAAGCTCTTGATACTATCAAACACCTTTGGTGGAACAATGACTGTGTCCCAGCGACGCCAACTACCACCAACAACAAAGGGCTCATCGCGATGCTGCAATTTGTTCAGCGGCAGTACATACACTCAAACGCCTGGAATCGACCGACCTTCATGTAGCCATACCTCATCAGCGCTTCTGCTGTGGGGAATTGGTTGCTCTTTGTGCCTCCGCTGACCACCTCATACCGAGCGAGGTGCTTCAATGGGTCAGTCCGTTTCCTGAATGTCGTGAAGATGATGGCACATCCGATCGATGCGACAGCACCAAAAAACACAACGTGCCATCTCCAGTTGGCTGCAGCATCTAGAAATAGGATGTCAATCATGATGCATCAATGATACCGTCAAAAGAGGAGCTTTCGATTTCGATGGAATATATAGACTTGGCCTTTGCTTTCGAGCGGGATGGTCCTGAGATGAGGACGTACGTTGGATGCTCGTTATCCCCACCCGGGTGTGAAGAAGGTTTACTGAAGGCTACTCGCATACGGAAAACCCTGCCAGAGGAGCAAGGCTTCCTCTGACATTGTGCTCGTGGTCTCGACATGGAGAGCAGATTGCTCAAAAGCTCTAGACTAGGGTATACTCGCCCATGCCTCCATGTGCAGGTTACGCTTGAGCAAGGTCTTCATCTCCCGACCACGACKCTTCAAGCTCGAACTGTGCTTGCGAGCGTAGTGCGTAAGCTGTACGAGTACTGGGATACTCCGTCTTGGTACGGGCTTATAGTGTAGACCAAACGCGGTGCCAGTAGGGGTGTTTACGCGGTGAGGAGTGCGGTGAGCTTCCTCCGCCCCACACTAGTCTCTCCAAGAAACTTGTCAAATCGGTTGCAAGTGCCAAGCGGCCGTCTCGCCTCATCGTCGGGCATACGAGATCAGCGTCGCACGGCGTGACCGGGGAGAGCCCTTAGGACCGACAAAAGATACAGTCCGGGGGAGCGGTGCGGAGTGATGTGCATAGGAAGAAAGAAGGGTCCACAGGTAGATAGGTACCCCTACGTGAGCAGAGGACACCCTTTGAAGCCTCCCTTGTTGTTGGACATCAAAGCAGTTAGAACGCTAACAACTCGTTGAGAGTGCAGATTTCTCCCTGTAAACGTTAGCGATATTGTCGGCCCCTCAATACCTGATGCGTTGTCTGCGAGAAGCAAACCCTAGGGCCGACCACTTGCTCCGTTGGTATATACACGGGGACCGGGGATAGACCTTCCCACAAGATTACTCGAGTGTTGTCGGGTCGTCGTCGGAACGATTCATGCGGTTGAGTTGTATTAAGGTTGCTCCCCCGCCCAGATCCTTGCTCTTTGTGATGTCGCTGCCCCAGCTTGGAAAATGTGGGTTCTGTAGCCATACAACCCGAGTGTACGGGAAGTGCCGTGATTACCTGTCGACTCAATGCCAAGAGTCTCTGACCAATTCGAAGCGTGAGCAGTCTCGAAACTTCCAGCGGAGCGGACGAAATGCCCTGACGGCCTTGTACAGTAATCGTCTCGCCTTCTTGTTGGAGCTTCTTGTATGCTGGGTTAACCGTCTGTAAATCTTGAGATAGAGCTCAGGTTGCAGCTCTTTCTTTGGAAGGCATGCCATCCCTTCAAAAACTCAGACGCTGGATTGAGCCCCTCCAAGCGTTGCTCAAGGCATGGGGTTTTCGCACCGTCTTGGGCTGTCTTCGCAACAGGGCTCGTCGGAGAACTGTTGCGCTAGCTGCGATCGCGAGTGTCCGCTCGCTGCCCTAACTCGGATTCACATCGGATTCGCGGTATAACCTGCGAATGAATAGCTTCAGGAATCGGCGGTTCGCACTTCCCTGTCCCTGTCCATAGCTGTTCTCAGGTTCGCGCCTGGCCTGAAGCAACTCCCGCGCTTTTGCCGGCCATACGGTAGAAGGAACACGATCACTGACCAGATGTCTCATCGTCCTGCTATCCTGGAATCCACTAAATCGCGCGCCAGAATGCTCGCTTGACCTGGTAATTCCCTCGAGCGACGTACGGAGGATGTCCCACATACAGGAAGCGGGCTAGAGAAACAGGGAGGTTTCCATCCAATCTGCACAGTCCATTCTGTCTGACGACAATTGACGTGGGCTGGTTCGGACTTCCCGCTCAGCTTCCCGTATGCAGGACTGGGGCTGTAATCGTAACTTGGCGTGACTGATTCTAGTCTAGTCTGGTGACTAGTAGAATATAGTTGGCGGAGGTAATCGAGAGGAGGACACCAGAAGGTGAAAAAGCCATCTCAGACCGGCGTATTCCAGATCCATTACACCATTCATGGCTCTCGGGACTCCAAGAAAAAGCTCTCCAACTCGTCCTGAGGACTCGGATGATCTTCCAGAAGCAGGGTTCCCTCAAACGTTGCCAGAAAGAAATGTCGATATCCCGGATGGAGGTGTCCGAGCTTGGCTGATTGTAGCGGGCGCTTTCTTCGTCTGGTTCAACTCATGGGGAGCCATCAACGCCTTCGGCTCGTTCCAGACATACTACTCGCTGGAGTTGCTTGCGTCATACTCGCCAGATGAAATCGCGTGGATAGGCTCCGTTCAGAACTTCCTGGCCTTGTTCGTCGGCTTTCTGTCTGGTCCTCTGTATGATGCGGGATATGGCAACTATCTGTTGGGTCTAGGCGGCCTGTTGGACGTTCTTGGATGGATGGCGTTGAGTTTTGCGAAGGAGTACTATCAAGTCTTTCTATCACAAGCACTGTGTATCGGAACTGGGTGGGGATTGATGTTCACTCCAGCGGCGTCCCTTCCCAGTCGATTCTTTCAGAAGAAGTTGGCATTGGCCATGGGATTGGCAAGCGCAGGAACGGGCATAGGCGGAATCGTCTACTCTGTTGCTTTCAGTCGCCTTTTGGAGCATCGTAACATCGGCTTTCCCTGGGCCGTGAGGATCTTGGGGTTCCTCGCCCTGGTGACAACAGTCTTTTCATCGGCCGTCATGAGTGTGGGCATGGCGCCATCAACCCGTCGCCGACAGTTCATCGATCGGAGTGCCCTGAAACAGTTCAGCTTCAACTCATACTTGTTAGGCGGTCTACTCACCATGATTGGCTTGGCCGCTCCATACTACTATGCCAACTTGTACGCCATCGAGACCGGATCAACGTCGACCCAGCTCGGATTCTACGTGGTTACGGCCATCAATGCTGGCTCCTTCCTCGGTCGTCTGATACCCCCTGCCTTTGCCTTGCGTGTCGGTATCTTCAACACGTTTATCGTGTCCTACATGGCGGCGGTTGCCAGCTGTTACTGCTTCATAGTCGCGCGGTCGACGGCCTCCGTCTTTGCTGTGGCAGCCATGTATGGCTTCTGGTCCGGATCATTGGTTGCACTCAGTCCGGTAAGTAGACGAGCAGAGTACCGACGCAACGTCCATCGCTGAAGCATCTCGTAGGTCACGATAATCCGGATGACGCCCGATCCGAAGTTGGTCGGTACCAGAATGGGAATGGCATTCGGATTGACAGCGATTGGAGTTCTGGTCGGTAGTCCCGTCTGTGGAGCAATCTTGAGCYAGACCAATGGCTTCATGTGTGAGTGGGAACTCCTGCGGTCGTAAACACTGCCCCGCTAACCTCATGGTGTACCTTAGAYGTATGGATATTCAGCGGAACATCGCTTGCTCTGGGAACCGTCTGCATGATCCTCTGCAGATTCTCCCAGACGGGCCTGATTCTCTTTGTGAATTCCTGAGACGTTGCTCTTGCCTTGCCAGCTTCGATGAATGGGGATGGAAGAATGTTGGGGCAGGAGCGGAATGTAGTTGCTCGGAGTTGTTCCCGACTACCCTTGTACATTTTCTCCTCGCATCGGTACGACGGCAGGTAGGGAACGATTTGATTACTGATCACGAAGGGGACGCGCCTTACTTGTTTAATCTAAGCTAACCTCCTTACACACGCCATGTAGTTTAGCTCACCTGCCCTTTGCCGTATTCTTTGCCGTATGCAGCGTTGTGAACCTATCTAGAATCGTCACCAACTCCAATTAGTCGCCACAAATCACCTGAGCCCTAACTACGCCGCCGGTTGAGGCCTCGCCAGCCCGACCAAGCCCTACGCCGCCAGTTTGATGGCTCTTACATAGAATGCCCCAACTACACAATCACGGCTTCTCTCCTCGCTATTCTCACCGGGCTGGCACGTGAATACTGTTACCGTGATACGACAAGAAGCTGAACCATTTCTTCAATGCACGAGCGGAGGCCTTGTTCGGGATGAAAAGATGGAAACGTCCGATTCGCCACCAAGTTTGGACCTGAAGATGTCCATTTCCGACATCATCTCACACAAAAGGCGTCCCTTCAACTTGCCAGAGTGCTTCAAGATTACCAACAGGAGGAACATCCTCCAAAAGATTACGCCATGGGCACTCGCCTTCGAATTGTAACTAACAAGTCGCCGTCAGGAGCATATACAACCACGCCAGGCAGAGATGGCTTGAGTCCCGGAAATTCATCCCTCGGCTTCCCATTCCCATCGACAAACCCATGGACTGTGAAGTCGAACGTCGAGAGTGTCTGTGCGATGGCAATTATCGCTTCCTCTTTGGCGAACAACTGAAATCGAGGTCAGCTGGAGTGGGTTTGAATGAGGCCTTTTGAACTCACTCGGCCGGCACAAATGGACTTTCCTCCTCCAAAGGGATACATTTTCGTATTAGGCACTCCGGCCAGCGCATTGGCCTTTGCACTGTCGAGATGCTCCCCGACGAAGCGGTCCGGGACGAATGAATCTGGTTGTTGCCGAAGCTCATCGTTCTTCCAGTTCTTAGCTTCGTGCTGAGGAACCCAACAAGGAGATATAACCATATTACCCTTCTGAACTTGAAAATATCTAATTCCCTGGTCATCTAGTGGGATGACAGTATCTTCGACGACCTCTCGCATGATCATGTTGTCACAATAATGCCTCAGAACTTCCGTCCACATGCTTTGCAGCATCGGCGTGCCTGAGAGCAGCGCTGACACGTCGAGGGATCCGTCTGGCTTTGTCGCCATGTTCAATTCTTCTTGCACTTTGCTTAGGAGATTGCCGCTATTCGGTCCAGCGAGAAGATGAAACATGACCCAAGCGATTGCCGGAACAACATTGCTGGCCAATGCAAACATGATGGAGAGATTCATGCCCGCTCTTGATTGCATSGAAAGATTGAAGTCATCATAAAGCTGCATTCTGGCCTTGTTGAACCGAGACCCAAGTATTGGATCCCAGGAATCCGAATCTGCAGGGTCTTGGGTCGCTCTTTTGCCGAACTTGTGGATGTGGGCATCCCACCTCATGAGACTGTCCAGCATACGCCGTCGGCGAGTCCAAGCAGCACGGTTGAAGATCCGCGGAAAGTCAAAGAAGAAGGTGCACAAGTCTTCGTCGAAGTGGAATATGTCATCACAGATCTGGGGATAGATCTTCACAAGCTCTCCACCGAAGAAAGTCTTCAACGATGTGGAAAAGATCTGTTTCCGGATCCAATGGTACAGCAGAACATTCTCCAATCCATTGTCGAGCCGATCTGGAACGGCTTCGTAGGATCGCATCAAGAGAGTCGAAAACGTCGATGTGAGCTCATTCACGGATTCCTGCCGTGCCAGGTACTTGTGAAACACATCTTCTTGGTTCTTTCTTCCGTTACCTGTATTAATAACCGAGGTGTCGTTTGGGGACACCAACAGACATTTGACCAAAAGGTCACGGACGAAAGCCTCCCTGCTGAGTCCTTTGGTATATGCATGACGGAACAGATGTCTCGTAGCTGTCGGATTGCTGACAATGTGAGTCCTCTGGCCGCCTATGACCATCGAATAGACGCCATGAAGAGGGTGCAGTGTTTGGCGATGGTACCATCGATCCGGTCCTTTCTCGAGGAATCGCAAAGTGTGGCCAAACCATGGGATAGAGTATGGGATCAGTGGTGAGGGTACAACGCCATCCTTGGAGACTGCTACCGCACGACGGTACGCGATGACCGTGCGAATTCGGGTGTAGCATAGCGCAGCCATACATACGCTTGCGATGAGCAGGATCGTGTAGGCCGGCCCAAGCTGGAACAGAACATCGCGCATATCGCCCAACATGATTTGAGAGTTCTTGTTGTTCTAGCCGATACGACGGGTTGTGCGAAGGATCCTGCAGTCGAGTGGCTTACAATGGGTATGTGAGATGCGTGAGTGGTGGAGAAGGACTACCAGATCCCGTCGATGAACGAGTTCAGCAACGGTCGGTAAGTTACACTTTGCTCCAACAACTTTCGTACACATCTCGATCGTCGCTACTTCTCCCATGAAGAGTCCGCCCAACTACTGCCTTGTGGTCCGTTGGCTCGGCTGTCAGGGTTGAATCGATTGCGGGATTTTCATCATCAGTCTTCCAGATATCGCTCTCTGGGGCGTCGGCGGCCACGTACTGGCACTTGCCCTGCGTTGCGCCATTCCCATCTGAGACAGTCATCGCAAGCATGTGAACGCGAACGCACAGGGGGTTCACCCCCGCTTTCGGCTCTTCCGTCGGGTTCACTTGGCGTACCTTCCCTGCTGACAGATTCCGAAGCATCCGAGCGACAGCATCCATGTCACCACTAGCGAGAACGCAGGGGAGATGTGGTAAGCTATCGCAAGGCAGGGGAGCTGGATCCCGTGGATCCCGCCTTCCTGACAATGGCAGGAGCTTGACTCGAGTATCACCCTTAGCTCGAAGCGCCTGTTGAAGTCAAGGCGAAGTTGATGATCTCGCAATCACAGAGGCGCTGAAGTCCTCCTGCAGTATCCACGCAAGGGCAGAACTTGAATCCATGCCACAGTCAAGGCGCGACTTGATGTCTGAGACTGATCTTCCCGGGTGAGTACATCGAAGATTACCGGCAAGAGGAAGATGATCAGCGCCAGGAAGAGCTGCCACACCACGCAAAGAGCTATACCATGCGCCGAGCTAAACTACACCTGAGAAAAGCTTCGCTAGACAACATAAAGTTTACAAGCATACAACCACCAATGCCAGGACCTGAAGATGTCATGGGAATATCTGGCAAACCGAGTTACATAAGAGCTCATATTTGAGCACGGTAGTTCTCCAGCATTAAACCTCGAATCTCTCGAGTTTCGATTCATTCCCACTCGTCTACATCATCTCGCTGCCCATATCATTCCTGATACACAAGTCAAAATCCCTCCTTCAAATCTGAAGCTTACAAAGTCCAGACGTCGGCGTGAAAATGGGTTCCGTTGAACGTGAAGACTACGGCACCGTCCGCTTCACCGTACCAGACGATTCAATCACTGCGTATGACCGAGCAATCTACACGCTTCCCGCAAACGCAGACTACAGAGATCAAAAGGTCAAGTTGCATGACATTCGCACCGCAACAGATATTCTGCCAGGTCTTGCAGGACTGGACAACCAGGGCTTCGCCTATCACAAGCACAAGTCCGCTTTGTCGGGAGACGAATGGCTGAAAGACGGAAATGTTGAAGAGATCTACACCAAAGAGTTGAGAGACTTGATCATGAAGGTGACGGGTGCAAGGGATGCATTTGTCTACTGTGTTGCCTTCCGTCGAAGAGCTCCTGTGGATATAGGTGTCGGTAAAGTCGAGTTGCGTGGTGGGGAACTGGACCAGGTCATGCAATGCGTGCCTCGTGATAAGTCTGTCTCCCACATCCCGAAACTCTTACAATACTGACATTGATTCGAAACAGGTGCTTGAGTGCGTCCCAGTCTGATCCGGCAAGTCTACAATAGCTAACATTGATTACTTCCAGTCTCGGGAAGAGATGCGTACTCCACGGAACCTTCGCGTCAAGTACACATTGGTCAGTCAACGTCTTGATGTACAGATACTGTCCCACTAATTCTCGGCCCATTGTAGACATCTCACTCAACGGTCTCTTGGAGACTTTTCGATCCTGCCGGAAAGACATAACGAAGAAAGCTCAGCACATTATTGACGCAGTAGACAAGGGCGAACCGGTCCCCCGTTACGCAGCATTCAGCATCTGGGTAAGCATGCCACAATGAAACTCAGATCACACCGTACGAGACTAAATCAAGCGCAGCGTCCACTCAAACCCGTGAAACGGGACCCCGTCGTGGTGTGTGACACACGAACCAACGATCCCAAAGAAATAGTACCAGTCGAGTTCCGTGCTCTCAGTGAGTTCGAAGACTCGTCCACCTATACTATGGAAGCTCTCATGGGATTGCCGCCAAAGCACCCAGAGAGGCAAAAATGGTATTACATTTCAGAGCAGAACCCCGACGAGGTGCTCATCATCAAGTTCGCCGACTCCGCTGCCGGTGAAGATACTGGTGTGGCTCCTGGTGCTTTGCATACCTCGGCAATTCTGGAGGGAACAGAAGATGAAGAAGTGCGGGAGAGCGCGGAGGCGCGAGTCTTTGTGTTCTGGTGATCGGAACTGCGAGTAGAAGGGACATGTTTTCGTAATAGAATGTCTGTGCGCTGCAGAATGTTGTGTTTCTCGCGGATAATCTTCCGTGGCGTGTGTTGTGTAAATTCAATCTGCAGCGCGTAAGCCTTATTTGAGCACGGGTCCTTGCTGGAAAAACTTTCTTCCGTTCCCGGAATCGTTTAGTCGGACCACGAAGTGAAAACGTTCTGAGCCATCAATACGAAGACCATGCGGAAAGGWGGTAGATAATGTGGTATTCTTATAGTCACATGTATTCTCGAAGCATTCGMCGATTCGTGAGCCGCCATGTTCATCGTTCAGTGGAGATGCTGGTCAAAAAAGGAGATGCGGCAGAATACTCCTGCGGCAATTTTGACGGTATCGTGGTTAGCAATGAATGGTAACAGTGCGAGGATCATCAAGCCTCATATACCAACCGAGTTTTGTACGAAATGTTTGTGAAGCTGGTGCTGCTGCTTGTAGTCTCGGAAGTTAGCACCGCCCAGGTCCTTGGGAATCATCAGACGCAACATTTCCGAGACCACGGAGCGGAACAATATACTCGGATTGGCATCCAAAGGCAAGTGTGCCACCCCGTGGAGCGACTCATTCGAGGAAAATTGATTATCCATCGGTGACACGCAGAACGGACCCGGGCAGCTTGGCCGATGGCGCATGAGCAGAAACTGGTGGGATTGCGTGGAGTTGACCATAGCAGGCATATAGTATCATAAGCAGCTGTTTGTGCAATGTCTTCCTTCGAATGTTGTTGAACTCTCAACTGGAATTAGCTCCTGGGTATTCCGATAAAATGGCTGTATCAATCTACTCGTACGACAGTTCTGTGCTTCCTGTCGTTCACCAAATTTTTTCTCAAGGTCGCTCATATGTTCAGTTCGTCATAGACGAGCTTTCTCGTCCGCTCTCGCATCGTTCGGATCTTTCCAATGGTTCTGCACTTGCGTCTTCACGGACCGCTGGCCTGGAGGAAGAAGCAGAGGGGTCCCTCGTTCTTGAGGAACAAACGCGAAATTGGAACGTATGCATGTGTCGTAATGTGGATTACAAGCCTGTGATTGATTGTGGATTAAGAACCTGTGATTGATTGTGAATTGCAAACCTCTGATTACCGACCCATCCATCCTCCGTCAACAGTGAGAATCTCTCCACTCACATACGCACTGGCACGGCTTGCCAAATACACCACGGCGCCCTTGAAGTCATCCGGACTACCCCAGCGTCCTGCAGGAATACGCTCTAGGATAGACGCCGCCCGCTTCTCGTCCTTCAACAAAGCCTCATTCATGTCAGTCGCAATATAGCCAGGTGCAATGCCGTTGACTGTGATGCCCTTGTCTGCCCACTGATTGGACAATGCCTTGGTGAGCTGTGCTACTCCTCCTTTGGAAGCGGCATATGCTGGAACGTTGATGCCACCCTGAAAAGAGAGGAGACTGCCGATGTTGATGATGCTACCTCTCCGGCCAAACTTGTCGGCATCACGGCTTAGCATGTGAGCACCGACATCACGGCACAAGGTGAAGACTGCGTTGAGGTTCACCTGAAGTACCTCACTCCAGTCATTGTCCGGGAACTCATGTGCGGGATGCCGTCTCTGGATACCGCCGCAGTTGAGTAGAATGTCGACTTGGTGGCCATCTTTGAGGATTTTGGGCAAGAGTGCGGCCATGGATTCATTTGATGCGAGATCTGCGGTATAGATCTGAGCTTTGCGACCCAGTTTCTCAATGGTTTCCTTGGTTGTTTGGTTCGATTCGTCTCGCTGGAGTGAAGTAAGAACATGAATGTCTATTTTTGCGGCGGATAATGGATCACCCCACCTGAACGAGAAGCACATCTGCTCCGGCTTCTGCCAATGCAATGGCCATGGCCTGTCCAATTCCACGAGTACCGCCGGTGACCAGAGCGGTCTTGCCATCGAGGCCGAATAGCTGCTGAATGGACGACATGTTTGTTGGATTTGGAGTTGTTGTTTGGAAGTAGCTGTCTGCGTGAGAAACGTTCATGCCCTCGGCGTGGGCTGCAGTAGCTCCACAAATCATAGGCCTCCATTTGCCGACCGATCGATCAAAAGCCGACATGGACATTGAAGCTACCTACTTTCACTCCGTTCACTCTGACAACTGTGAAAACTTCCTGGCCTCAACAACTTCTTCTTTGTGACTTGAAATCGAACGTCAGCAACATGTCCACCAAAATCCACGCATCCGTGCTCCACGCCGCGAAAGATCTCCGCGTAGTAAGCTAACCTCACTTTCCAAAAGCTAGCTATCATACTAACAGTCACCAGGAATCTCGCGAAGTTCCCTCTCCAGCAGCAGAAGAAGTACAAATCCGGATAGCATCCACCGGTCTTTGCGGCAGCGACCTCCACTACTACTCTCACTTCCGCAATGGAGACATTCAAGTCCGCGAACCCTTGAGTCTCGGCCATGAATCCTCCGGAATAGTCACAGCAATCGGCTCCTCGGTATCAACCCTCCAAGTCGGCGACAAAGTAGCTCTAGAGGTCGGAATTCCCTGCGGTAAATGTCAACGTTGCGATGAAGGCCGCTACAACATCTGCAAGGATGTGAGATTTCGAAGCAGCGGCAAGGCATTCCCTCATTTCCAAGGAACTTTGCAGGAGAGGATCAATCATCCTGCACAATGGTGCTATAAACTTCCGGATGAGATGAATTTGGATGTTGGTGCTTTGCTTGAGCCCCTTGGAGTTGCCTTGCATGCCTATCGGAGAAGTTTGATGCCAGAGAATGCAACAGTCGTTGTTTTCGGAGCTGGTGCGGTGGGTTTGCTGTGTGCGGCTGTTGCGAAATTGAAGGGTGCTGGAAAGATTATCATCGCGGATATCGATGCTGGGCGGCTGGAATTTGCAGTCCAGAATGGTTTTGCACATGCCAGCTATACTGTACCCATGCGGCGAGGCAAGGACATCGATGAGAGTCTGACCATTGCCAAGGAAACTGCTGCAGAGATCGGACAGATCGATGGTGTTGGGGAGGTCGATGTTGTGTTTGAGTGTACTGGCGTACCCTCGTGTGTGCAAGCTGGGATTTATGTGAGTTTCTCCCTGATTGTGTGCAGGGGACATCTTAGCTGACGATTGTGAAGGCCACAAAACCAGGCGGTCGTCTCATGCTCGTGGGTATGGGTCACCCGATCCAGACACTTCCCCTCGGTGCTGCAGCATTGCGGGAAGTGGACATCGTCGGTGTCTTCCGATACGCGAATACATACAAAGAGAGCATCGACATTGTACTTCAAGCGATGAAATCATCAGACGGCCCCGACTTCTCCAAGCTCATCACGCATCGATTTGCTGGACTGGAAGAAGCGGTGAAAGCCTTTGAGATGGCCGGAAAGACCAAGGATGCGGAAGGAAAGTTAGTAATCAAGGTCATCATTGACAGCGGCGATGTCGAGAACTGAGTGGCAGAAATTGCCGGGATGGCYTTGATGTATTGTATAGCGGAGCATAGCGTCGTGAATTCGTAGCGGCCTTGAAAGCATTAAATATCAAATAAGACTGTCCATGTGCAACGTTATGCGGCAACGATTTCCCCGTCACGACATATTGTGCCGCCTGCGACACTCCCCATGCGAACCCAGCCACCTGTGAACGAGTTAGAGTGAATGAACAGTAAGCGATCTGGGTAGGGAGTCTCACCTTGATCGCATATGTCGAACTGGTACCCCTCATAGGTACATCGAAGGGTTCCATCCGAGGCACAATCTCCATCAGGACGAGCGCGAATATACCGATCATCTCTATACATTCCACTCGGAGAGTTGCTCTGTTGCATGGACATGTGATCGGCATATGGAGACAGGAATGGTAGACATTCCATGCCAGCTGCAACTGTCCTTTCATAACCCCAAACCCACTCCATAGATGACTTAACTGTACCATCATTGTAGTTGCAAGTCTGCCAAGTCGTCCTGCTTGTGCAGAGAAACGTCCCTGGTACGCATGGTAGATACCCATCGGCGCCGTTTGGATCTCCAGTCGCGTAAGGAGGTCGCGGACTCGCAACTGGTGGATCACTCCTTGTGGTGGATGCTGCAGGCATCTGGGAAGGTCTGTTGATGGTGATTGTAGCGGTCGTCTCGCACTCTTCCTCAATGGTCACTGTGAGTGTGGATGCCGTCGGGGTAGTCATCATTGCTAGTTTGATTTGCGGGTAGTCGCCCATCGCCGCCGATCTAGGTGCATGGGAGCTAATGGAGGCTTTCGATCGTGTTCGAACTGGTCTTGGCCGTTTTGTGCTGGTAGTCGCTTTTATCGACGTGGCTTTGCTGGTGGAGCTCGCGGCATACGATGCTGGGGTAGAAATGGTGGAGTTAATCGTAGATGAAAATGTGACGAATTTAATTTCCAGCGAAGGAGTGAGTGCAAGGTCGTCATATGTCTTGCCATAAGGCTTCGCAGCATCGCATGTGCCAACTGTAGGAGGGCTTGAGTCGCTAAGTCCGTTACCATAAGTGACTGAAGATCCCGGATGAGGATACACGACATCCACACCCTCGATAGTGGCGCAATCATTTATTCCTCCCATATTAGCTTTCCATATGAGAGGCAGATTGTCGAATGTGTTGTACGTCTGCCTCGGGCGACGCCTTGCAGCCGCTGCCACAACATTTATCTGGGCGCAATTCATGTAGAATTCCCGGTTGCCGCTGAGGTTCTGCCATGTCCAGGCTAGAAGGGCGTTTCCTGGTGGAGCCATGGTCGGTACGGTAAAGTCGTATGATGGCACGAGGGGACAGCCGCCAATAATAGATTTGATCACCCTGAAGGTCGCCCCATTGTCGTAGCTCAAAGCTATCTGGCATGAGCCTCCATTATGCGTTGCAGATCCAGCCAAGGTCAGATTATGGACGCTGCCTGCAACGAACTCGGCCACTGGTTCAAAGGGTAGGTCGTTCTGGTAACCTTTGCAAGGAAAGTTAGACCCGTCCGGGAAGAGTGGCGCTGTCATGGAATAGTCGATAATGGTATAGTCGTTGTTGGGGTTAAATTTTGAGTGCAAAGCATATGGCCAGGACATTTCCATGTGGCCAATGACGGTTCTGACCGAAATGAAAGCCCAACATAGTACCTTTATTGAATGGAACATTGTACCAGAGAGAGACAAGGCGAAAACGGGCAAGACCATACTTACCGACAGCCCATCGTCCATATACCCATTCGAAAATTAGGATTCGAGACTTGCGGCAATGGCTGGGCACACCTGTTGAGCGATAATTTCGGGAATGGTGGCTTTGCTGTAGCAAGGTGAGGTCGACGTTTGACATTCCTCGCGTCCTGGGCGCGTTCCTGTTCGAGACCCATTCCGAGACCTGCCCAGACTTCTGTGAATCGGCCTCGCAATGTCTGCCAGCCTCTGTAGCCCTCGAAGGTGCAGAGACAAAGACGCCCCATTGACGCATGAATGTGCGAGGGTGGTGTCTGCTGAGCCAGGGAATGATATTCAGCCTTGGAGACTGCACCAGCCAACGGCACGTTTTCTGTGGCATGGCATGTGGCGGGCTGTGTGGAGGGGCTTCATGGACCACTGTAAACTTGTGTGTTGGTGGACAGTACGAAAGATGGTTGGCGGTGGCGGCCAGGGACCTAGTCGTTAACGGGCAGTGTCAATGCAAACATTTCGGAGTTCATAGCGAATGTTGCAATTCCGAGAACTCCAGGGTGAGCGAAGAACTTCATCGACAATCAGGTGTTCGGTCCAAAGTAATGTCAAAAGTCAGTGTTGTCGTGGTTTTGGTGAAGGAGCTGGAGGGTTTAGGAGAGGTCTGACGCGTCCTCGTCGACCAATCATCGCGTACTCTAGAAAGCGGATCTTGTGCCGGCGGGCAACTTGGCAACGTGCTCTCCCAAGCATCATCGACCACCCGTTCATTGACATCGAACACCCATTGACGGCCTCCAAACCCAGCCAGGATGGCCGGACTCGACAGCGACGACGCGAGCAATGACGAGCGGCTCAAGTCGGCGCTGTGGTATTCCGTCGGCAAAACTGTCGATGAAGTGACGCTGGGAGAGGACGCGAATGCAGCGCCACATTTCATTGGCGGACTCATGGAACTGGTCGCTGCGAAAATCACAGCTGTTGCCGGTGACATGGAGGCCTTCGCAAAGCATGCGGGCCGCTCCACCATCAACAGCAAAGATGTCGTTTTGCTTGCACGAAACAACGAAGGTTTACGCACCATCCTCGAAGACAAGGCTGCCATCGTGCGACACAAAGACCAGGCCAAGTGACAGCACTTGGGAGAGGATTCCGAGGGACGAAATATGTCTCGCGTGCGGCAAAACATCAAGCAGAGCATACTCTACAGTCTAAATCTACCAAACACACCTGGTCATGCGGTCGCGCCCGCCTACTGCTTGTCTGGGAATCCAAAGTCGAGACCAAATGGCGGGAAGACATATCTTGTGACTCCATGCACTTTGTGGATCTCGTCCAATGCTTTGATATCGCCGGCATCAAGCTTGACGACCTTCAAATTCTCCTCAATGCGGGAAGGAGTGACGGATTTAGGCAAGACGACGTTGCCTCTACTGACTGCTCAAAGTTAGTATGTTGCATGGGAGGCGCGGTGGTAGAATCATTGGTGTCCTACCTTGATAGCTGATCAAGACGGTTCCGGCTCCCACTCCGTGCTTCTTGGCCACTTCTTGTACACCTTCCATCTTGAACAGAGGACTGCCCGTGCTACCCAATGGCGAGTATGCCTCCACCAAGATTCCCTTCGATTTGCAGTAATCAACAAGCTCGTGCTGTGGTAGGCTTGGGTGGTTTTCGACTTGGTTCGCAGCTGGCACGACCGTAGCTTGTGGAAGCAGCTCCTCAAGGTACTTGACGCTGTAGTTGGACACACCAATACTGGAGCCGGATTGTGTCAGCTCTCCGCTATGCAACAACATGCCTGTTTTGACTCACGCCTTGGTCTTTCCGGTCTTGAGCAACTTCTCGAGCTCCTTCCAGGTCTGTACGTGAGACCACTCCGTGTCCATGTCTCTGGAGCCATCGGGCTTCTTAGGCGCAAGCGGATCATTGCCATCTGGGTTCATAGGTGCGGGCCAGTGCATGAGATAGACTGCAGACTGTCAGCTGGGGAGCGCACCCACATGTGACTTCCAAAATACGCACGGTCGACATACTCCAAGCCCAATCGCTTCAGGCCCTCGTCCAAGCACTTCTCTGGCTCGCGATGGTATGTACACCATAGCTTGGAGGTGACGAAGACTTCCTCACGCTTGATACCGGAGTCAAATGCCTCTTTAAGACCCTCGCCAACTTCTTTTTCATTGCCATACACGAAAGCAGCATCGATGTGTCTGTATCCCGACTTCAGCGCGTGTGCTACAGCAGCCTTGACCTCTCCCGGAGGAGACTGCCATGTTCCGAGGCCGACGGCCGGGATCTTAGCTCCTGTGTTCAGCGTGAAAGTTGCCATTGTTGGTCTCTGTTGGTGGTATCAAAAGTTATTCGAAAACAGGAACGCGCAAAAGGACACCACTTCAAAGACAAGCACTCATTCTGACCTCACAAAAATCCAAGAATCGGTGTTTGAATGCAGGTGCCCCCACAACCTACTCCACTTTAGCCTTTCCGCGATGGCCCCTCATCGATATGTGCCTAAAGGCCATCCGGCGTCTGACGGATTTGTTACTTCGCATGGAGATTACCACCGGAAAAATTCACGCCTATGCTAACATCACACGCTTCACGCGCATTCACTCATGTGATGCCGGCTCGATAGCCCAAGCCGCTTTTGGCTCACAGGAAAAAGGATAGACCGACGGCCGAGTCAGATGACAGCAAGAGTCGCCGCAGCTTTCCACAGCGGGGAGATAAGTTTCTCTTTTCGGAAAGCCGCCAACGGCCCTTTGTCGGGTCACTACATCATCGAACATCCGCTAGGAGAAACGTATGCCCATCCTCTCCAATCACACCTCGTGGGGTGGAGCTTGAGGGAATTTCTTGCCTCCGAAGGCTCCGTCGAGACCGCGCTAAATGCAGGATTCTCCGGTCATGGGCCTGTGGTTGCGTCCTCGTGCGTCTCATTCCCTGCATGGCAACCGTGGGAAGCATGGTCTAGCACATTGGCGCCCACCAAGCGGCATGAATTACTCAACGCACTCAATCCGCCTCACCTGAGAGTGCTGAAAAGGACTGCCCGGACTGGAGTAGACCTTACCTTGGATGAGTTATGGGGAAGGTGGATTCTTGTGGCGGCGCTGGGGTAAGCAGAGCCTTTCTATTTCCATAAGTAGGACTGCTTTCTCGTCTCGATTTCATTCATCACATCTTTACGTCTTAGCTCTTAGCCTTGCCATTTCTTGATAGAGTTCAGGCAAGACCACCCTCTTCGTCTTCCACCAGATATTCACATACAGCCATACATCCCCCTTTGATATAGAGAAGACGTTCAGAATGGCGCCTGCTATGCTCGAGATGCCCAATGTGGCCGAGGATTTCCACGACCACAAGGACGGCCTCGCCTTGGAGGCCACTTCAGATGCTGTCGATGAGGTCAACGTTCTCAAGGCCGCCATGCGCGTAAAGAACGGCACAGCCACGCAGGAAGAAGTGGACATTTACGAAAAATCACAATTCGACTCCGAGAAAGATAAGACACAATTCCGCCAATATGAAGACGCATGTGACCGCGTCAAGAACTTTTACCGCGAGCAACATGAGAAGCAGACCGTCGCCTACAACCTCAAAGCCCGCAACGACTTCAAATCCAAGACACGTGCCGAAATGACCATCTGGCAAGCAATGGAGAAACTCAACACGCTCATCGACGAATCAGACCCAGACACCTCCCTCTCACAAATCGAGCATCTCCTTCAATCTGCCGAAGCCATCCGCCGGGATGGCAAACCCCAATGGTTCCAACTCACAGGTCTCATCCACGATCTTGGCAAGCTCCTCTTCTTTTACGACGCTCGTGGTCAATGGGATGTTGTGGGCGACACCTTCCCCGTAGGTTGCCGTTTCGATGAATCAATCATCTACCCCGGCACATTCGAGAGTAACCCAGACTCCAAAGACTCCATCTACAGCACCGAGCACGGAATCTACACTCCAGGCTGCGGAATGGACAACGTTATGCTTTCATGGGGACACGATGAGTACCTCTATCACATCTGCAAAGAACAGAGCACTCTCCCCGATGAGGCACTCGCTATGATTCGTTATCATTCATTCTACCCTTGGCATAGCGCTGGGGGTTACAAGTGGATGATGAACGAGAAGGACTCGAAGATGTTGGAGGCTGTCAAGGCTTTCAATCCTTATGATCTGTATAGCAAGAGTGATGATATTCCCAAAGTGGAAGATTTGAAGGAGTACTATGTGGGGTTGATTAACACTTTCTTCCCACCTAGAGAGGGCGAGGAGATGCGTGTGTTGAAATGGTGATGGGGATGGTCGACTTTGGTGTGAGCGTGTGTGACTTTTTTCGTGTTGCATTTTCAGCGGCGTCCTCGGGATGAAAAGCTAGATGCTCCTGCGCCTTGATGGTGGCAGTAGAGATACATGCTATGATGTTATGATACAGGGAAGCAGGCCGATAAATGTGTAGAGATCCATCGGGTATATACCAGGTCCATATTGACTGAGTCAAATGCGTCTTTCCTAAGCGTTTACTATCGCAGGTGACAATTGTGAAACAGGCCGGGACAGCATCATGCAAAGTAGCCAGCTTCCATTCATCTTGCATTCATTCATCTCTACAAAGCGCGTCTATGCTTGTTTTGGTGCTAGACGACCCCTCGCAGCATCCTTTCAATTCATCTCTTCGCCCTCTATCCCTGAGTGATGTTCTCAAAGAAGAAGGTAGGCTGACCCGGAACAGCGTTCTCGGCAGCCTGAGGGAGAGTGGCCCTCTCTTCACCTTCTTTCACGCCCTGGCCGCCAACCACGCTTCCCTTCTTGCCGCCATCCTCGACGACAATGACCTCGACAATAGCACACTTCTGTATAGTCTGCTGCAGTCCTGGCACCATCTCTCTCAGAACGCGTACCTCATTGAAAGCCAACTTCCGCTCAAAGACGGTGCTTGACTCAATTCCAGACTCCAGGCTCTTTTTGAGGGTCTGCACGAACGGCATGGCCTTCTTGCTCTCTGCCTTGGGGATAGCCTTGGACACAGCGCTTACATCAAGCTTCAAGTCCTTGAAGTTGTCCCGCACGATATCGATGATGCTGTCCTGCCAAGCAGGGTATTTGAGAGCGCAGAAGATTTGAAGCTTCTTGTCCTGCTTTGGGTCGTACGAAGTCTGCTTGCCCTTCTGCATCTTCTTCAACTGTCCGCCTTCCGCCGAGGTGATGTTGCTGCTCGTGTTACGAACATACTCACGTGCAGCGGTGAGGTTTGGCTGCTGATCCGGTACGGTGGGGRAGAGGGCGTTCTGAACTGTGGTAGGCTTCTTCAACACCTCGAGCCAGATATGTTCTGCCCAATGTGGTGCCACGACAGTGACCATCAGAGCTTGCATTTCGATGTAGCGCTTGACTAGGTCCACGTGCATGCCAACACCTGCCGCCTTGGTAGCCTCGCGGTAGAAGTCGCGGGCACTGATAAAGTCGTACAGGCCGTACTTCAAGGCMGCCTTGTAGTTTGTGAGGTCATACTGCTTGCCGGTCTCTCTAACGAGGCCGTTGAGTTCGTTCTCGAACAGCTCATCCCAGAAGATCTTCACGCCCGTGCGGAGGATGGAGTCGTTGTTCTTGTGTCTCTCGCTCTCCTTGACTTGTGCGTACGTCTCGCCTTCTTTGAGCAAGCGTGCGTCAAGAACCACGCTCTCGCACCATTGTCGGAGCTCGTACAGGCGGAGAATATTGCTGTTCGCCACTGACTCGTCAAAGTTTGCATCCTCGATACTATCTCCAGCGTCCGCAAGGGCAACGCGAGTGGCATCAGCACCAAACTTGTCGGTCGCGTCCTTGAGAGTAAGGAAGTTTCCAGTCGACTTGGACATCTTCTCTCCATTCAGGAGCAAGTGACCATTGGCACGGACCGCACGTGGCCAGTACTCTGGTGGAAAGAGTGMAACGTGTACATAGAGGAAGAAGGTCAAGTGATTCTGGATTAGATCCTTGCCGGAGACGCGAAGATCGAGAGGGTACCAGTACTCGAACTCGCGGCGCATGCGGTGAAGAGTCTCCTCCTTGATAGAGGTCTGTGGCATGGTCTCCGATCTGCAGAAGAGCCAGTCCCAGATCTCATCGGTCATCTCCTCCGGCGCAATATTACCAAGACCCTTCTCTTTGCCAAAGATATCCTTGTGCAGGAAGTGTGCAATAGTGTAGTACGACATGTAAATGGTAGAGTCCGACAGACTCTCAACAAGTTGGCTTTGATCCCAAGGCAGTTTCGTGCCCAGGCCATAACTCCGAGCGCAGGCCCATTGAGCGAGCCAGAACAAAACCTGTTCGAATGAGTTCTTCGCCTCGGTTGTGAAGAGATTGAGGCCGTTGCCGTCCTCGTTGCGGACGTGCTTGAGCACAGCAGGCTGCCATGTCTCATCTCCAGACTTCTCGGGGGTACCATAATTCATGAACCACTGATCCAAGTGACCAGCAACACATTCATCTCCCGACCGACTGATAACTTGACCGTCTGGCTCGGCGTATGCGAATGCGTCGTTGGCATCGATAAGTTGTTGCCGCACGAGCGGCTTTGCCTCCTCGACGGACTTGCCAGTGAACTCGCCGTAGATCATCTTGCCCTTGTAGAAACCCTCCTTGTATGCAAGATCTTTCGCTTCTGCAAGCTGCTTTGCGTCCTTTGGAGAGTTGATCTTCATCGACTCGACCAAGAATTTGGCTGTGAGGTTGCCGTACGCAGGTGTCTCGATGATTGGAAGTATCTCGAACTCCACCCACTCCTTGTTGATCTTGTAGTAGTCGGACTTYTTGATCAAATCCATTGTAGTCGCGTAGTCGTCTGGGGAATCAGATGGCACACAGGAGACAACACCGGTACCCTTCGACGCCTTGACCGACTCCATGGGCAAGATACGCACGCCGTCTTTGTGGACTGAAAGCGGTGCATGKACGAGCGTACCAATGACGTCCGATCCTTGCAGTTCAGCAACCTTGGGGAACTCTCCCCACTTGGCGAATATGCTCTGGAAGGACATATTCCTCGCGGCGCGATCTGAAATGAAGTAGTACTCCTTGCCCTTGACAGCCTCGTAGATGCCGTAGGTGATGGTTGGACCAACAAAACAGCACGTCTGGCCGTACATGGTCTCTGGTCGCAGAGTTGCGGGGACGAAGTATACATTTCCGCCCTCGGGAATCTTGCCCTCGATCTTGCTCTTTGCAGCCTCGGGCCACTCCTTCACACGGAGCTTGATCGCAGTGTACTCCTGAACGCCCACGCCCTCACCAGATGCACGGTCGTGGTCCATGCATGCTTGCCCATCCTTTGGCGAATAGACAGTGTATCGCTTGCCGAACTTGATCTTGCCCAACTCCTTCAGACGGTTCACCTGCCAGCGTACAAAGGCGTCGTAGTATGGGTTGGCATCAGTGGTGACCATTGACCTTCTCCAATCGACTCGGCAGCCCAGATTGTCCAGATCACGCTTCCAGAGGGGTGGGAAGTATTGCAGCCAATATTGAGGGTCTGAGAACTTGTGGATCTCACCAATGTCAATGCCCAACGCCAGCATAATCTGGAACTGGTACTTCAGGGCCACATTGGTCTTGGCGTTGACCTTGGACTTCTTCGCGGAGAACTTGGTGACATCCTCCTTGGTGACTTGCTGTACGGGTGCTGGGGTGGACGCTTTGTTCTCTGCGGCGATGGCGTCGAGGTCACAGCCGGAGAAGTCCTTGCCAAACATCTCAATCTCGCGCACCAGCTTGTCGGCACAAGCCTTGATGGGCATACCGGTGCAGTGGAAGCCCTGCGGGTAGAGCGCCCGCTTGCCCTGCATTCGTGCCCATCCTACTGCAAATTCCAACTTGCTGGCGGTGAAGGAGTGACCAGCGTGTGGAGTTCCATTGACGTACGGATATGCCATGGTGACCATGTACTTGGGCGTGCGTTTCCGCAGCTCGGCGGGAGCAATTGAATGGAAAGGCACATCCTCGAGCGTCGGTGCATCTTGCTCGAAGATTTTGCTGGAGGCCCATTGCTGTTGATACTTCTTCTCGCTGGCCATCAATGTATCGCGCTTCTCGGTGTTCTCAATCTTCAAGGTGCCACCTTGCTGCTGCACCGGTGCCAGCGCTTCCTGGGTTGCTTGGACGGCGGCCATGTTGGCGCGATACGGGTGATAGCGGTGGACGTGGAATGGGACAATGCGCAGGCCTCGCAGCCGCGGACGTAAATGTGTGAAGACGGACGTCGTGGGAGAGCGAATGTTTTGTGTCGTKATCGAAGTTATGGAGCTGCGAATGTGACTCCAAATTATTTTGGAGGAGGGGAAACGAGCACCGCGAAGTGAGCTTGTGAGATCGCCGTTGGACAGGCGATCTCATTTCCATCAACACTTCCACTTCCACCTCCACCACCAATATGAACTCCCTCTTCGCCTCAATATTCCGTCGCGCGCCGGAGGTTCGTGAGAACCTACCTGTTTTCCCCTACGCGATCAACAAGAACCCATATACATGCAAACGAACATGGCCACCGGACTTTACACAGCTGTCTCCCAAACATAAGTTTCGACTTGAACGCCGTTACCGTCGTCGCGCGAAGCTGAAGTGGGCCAGGCCCCAGTGGACCAAGTTCGTTAAGCTATCAACATGGGCTAGCATTGCCTTTGTGTGCGTATACGGTGTACTGTTTCTGGAGATCGATCAGGGCCGGACGCCGTTCGATGATGTGAGTAACTGCAATTGCCACTGTCGTTGGACATATGAACTTATGCTAGCTGTAGATCCGCGCATGGTATGCTGAGCAGATGGGTGAGACGTTTCAAAGAGGAGCAGAAGTGGTAAAGCAAGCAGACGACAACAGTCCCGTGGCCACGAAGTGAGCAATTGGGTGAAGCACACAGAACCCACGTTTGCCGACCCAATATGAGGGATCCTACGGAGCGAAACCGTGCCAAGTGCAGATGACCGCGATCCTCAATCCACAGCGCTCGTCGTTAGAATCACAACGCCGATCAAGAAGATGGCCACAAGGGGGCTATGCATGGCTTAGAAGAGCTGGATGATAGTGTGAACAGCTCGCGTAGGAAGGGTGTTGTAAATGAGCATGCAGTGTGACAACACAGGTGGCCAGATGGGCTGCTGCTACCACAAAATCTCCGCTCTTGGTGCCTACAACCAAGCACAGCCGAGCAGAGAGGATGTACAGCTGAGAGAGAGAAACCTTTTGGCGCCACATGATAAGGTACATGGGAAGGGAGGACATCATAATCGATTTTGGATTGTCGTCTTCACTCATAAAGCATCACTGAGTCCCATCACACACCCTCAACCATGGGTGATCTTCTTGACAGTTCCATCCTCGCCGGTGTGGATGTTCATGCGATCAGCGACGTGATCCATGGTCATCATGTCTCCTTCTTTCACGATTCTGTGCTGTTTTGGCAGTTCGGTCTTCGCGAAGGTCTAGAGAAAGAGAGTCAAAGTCAGCTGCCACTTCCAAAGGCTCTTCGAAATGAAAGCACTTGCAGTCTCATTGCTCTGCTCGCCAATCTTCTTCCCCATGAGCTTCTCCATCCATTGCGTGGACTTGTCGTCGCTGGTGTTTGGGACTACAAGAGGCATAATTGCGTTGTGCTGGTTGGAGTTCAAGTTGGTATGTGAAGAGGTGAGTTGTTCTTCTTCGGTTGTTCGAGAGAGACGTTGAATAATGTGTGGACGTAGAAGTGGTCGTTCCAAGAAGGTGACCTCAAGTGACCGATGACGCAGGTCAGGGAAAGAGCTATGTTCTGGGAATGCTGATGCCTGCGACCATCTTTTTCACGTGCAAACTACATTGTCGTCACGAGCAAGTCCAAGATTCCGAATCCTACCTAATATACCGAGGTGGCAACGGCATGGACCAGCGATGCCTCGGGTTGCCTTGGTTCTGCAACGGCGAAAGCTATCGCTCTGCCGTGCGGAAGCCCGCATGGATAATAATCTGATAACATGTGACGAAACATCACAACAATCTGAAAACAACATCCATGTATGTCCAGTGAGCGTAAGCTCATTTCATCTTTCCATTCTTCTATCAATCCTTCTATGCATAAGGTATTTCCAAGCTTCCTAGATCGCAGAATCATTCTTCGCAAATTGCCTGCCTAGAGCCTCGATGCTATCCACCACTCTCTTGAACTCATCTTTGGTCTCATCTCCAACCTCTTGAATCTCGTTCGATGCAGAGTCCTCCTCATCAGAAGCCCATTGAATTTCAAATGTATTCAATTCTAACTTGGTGTCCAGGCCGTATACGTCCTTGGTGGCGTGACTGGGGAAGCCTCGAACGGCACTGACAAGGCTCATGAGCTCGTTGACGTCGTCTCTGTCGATCACCAAGGTCAGTTCTGTTGTTGAGATATTGYTGAGGTACGACTAGACGTACTTGGGAAGATCTCCAACTTTCTCGTCGCCATTCGTTTGGAGCACGCGAACGCTTGCAGGTCGGTTAGGCTCGCCAATGACTTCGACAGTGTGCTTTGCTTGGCCTATGGAAGATGTCAGTCCAAAGCCAATCCGTTGGGTATCATGGAGGGATCAAAGATACCGGAGAATGGCTTCGCAATGCGAATGAGGAACTCTCCAGATGGCGGCGGTGCGACTTGACGAGGCATTGTACGGATTGTAGATGTTCGAGGACTTTTTTCGAGGATGGATGTCCAATATCAATGAGAAATGCTCTGCAAGTGAAATGCTATACTCTACGGCGGATAAAGTAGTTTGTTGAGCTCCCCTCCATGATGCAATCACAACGTAAGGTGGGATTATGACGGGGTGATGATGGACATCTCCCCGGACGAACCAGAGGGCAGAGGTCGTGGATGACCTTCGTTATTTCTTCCCCGTTGCTGTTTCTAGCAAATCAATTGTGGATATAAGACGCATGTTACGACAAAGTACTCCTGCTTCGATCAATTGGTGTGGGTTGGCCTCGATTCGACGCCTGGTCAACAGATCGCGAGAATGCTCACCTCGTGCGAAAGAATCCATCGTACATCACTCACGACTAGAAGTGACCATTCTGATCAGGTCTTCAAATATTCTGCATGATGTTGCACGCTCCCTGACCTGGGCGGATGCCCAGAGTGATGACTTATAGCAAACAAGGCGTGTACGAGGGTTTGAGATGGTTTGAGATCGAATTGATGGCTCAATTGAGTTTCTTGCTGATGGCATCGTAACGAAGATACCTACATGTCGATTTGGCCCAACGTGGCAGAGAGATATCAGCGTAGAGTAATGATTGGTCGACCTTTTTTCTTAGATGCCAGATTGTCAGGTTGCTAAACCAGCTCGAGAATGTGTGGAGCCGGCTGCCATCTAGCCAGCGAGTACATAGCAGTAGCCCAACTTCCTAAACACAGGCTCGTCCTCGGATTCTACAGAAACTCCAATCGGCATATGTCTTTTGGCACCATCCCAGCTTGTTGGCAATAGCCTAGCACATCATGGCCAGTAATACTGTGTTAGCACAACGGTCGTCCAAGCTAGAAGGCCTCTTCTTAGGCCGTTCGATCCTCGATTCGGAGTGAAATGTAGCCGTACGACAGTGAGTAATATGCGCACTATGCGCGTTTGAATCTCCGAGCTGCAGATAGAAGCAGCTGATACCACCGTATACGGAGGATCATCGCTCTGCCGTTGGTTTGACTCTGCCCGCGGCTCGTCGAATCCTGCTCCCGTCCTCTTCGTACACGGCGGTCACCTGTCTTGATTCATCTGGCGTGGATGCTCTGCGCTAATTGTGATTCCTTGCTTCCGCGTTGGCATCAGCATTACGGGCCGCCAGATTCTCCCTGGCAGTCTGAGCTAACGTCTCATTGTGTGTCTGAGATTTCTGTGCATTCAGTTGTTGCTGAAGCTTGCCACCTTTAGGARAGTTCAATCGTTGCTACAGGCATGATAGTCAGTACATTTACAGTCGACAACAACATGCCATCTCTCTACCTCTGCGGCTCGTGCGGCAGCTTCACCAGGCGTCGCAGGCTGACCTGCTGAAGTGCTGCCGAGTGTTCGTCCCGGCCCGCCGACTTTGAAGGCAGCAGCAGATCGTCCATTTTTCGACGCAGAAGGAATTGTAGCTGGTGTAGCGTTGAGTGTTCGTCCTTCGCCTTGGAATGCGGCCTCATGCTCGCTTTTTCCGCAGCAATTCCCCATATTGATGGCCTTCAGATCAATCAAGGTGATACTATCTGCGGATCAAATAACCTTAATTAACACTCTTGATATGGATTGTTGTTTGTGGTAGTTGCCGGCACGATCGATGCTGCATGTCGTGTCAACGGCTGATGTGAAGACGCACGTGGATCTCGGGCGCAGCAGCGGCTTGGCATCCAGATTTGTGTGCTACCTCACAGGCCTGAGGCATGTAGATCCCGCTTCCGTCTCTCTTCGCATTTTCCCCACCCCGGGAACAAACATCTTTGGTTCCCCGTATAGGAGATACAACATTTGGTCCACCTCCTGCAGAGTTTCCCAAATGTTTTCACACCGTCGATCTCAGTTCAGACGAGACACATCATCAGACCGAAGAGTCAATCACGATGCAGAGATTATCCCCCACCCTGCTGCTACAATCTTCGCTTAGCGTGTGAATGTCCATCAAGGTGGAATTCCACAATCACCTTGWTGGTGCGTGCCGTGAGCGAGGGGAGTTTTTCGACGTCAGACTGGCCCTCGGATTACCTGCGGCGAGGAACCTAATTGCGCAATGCCACATTGTCGTCTGGACTGATTGATCAAAAACTGCAGGAGGAGAGGTGRAGGACAGGAACCAGACCAACGTGAAGGGCGCAGGACAAAGAGCGACCTTGGACCGAACCGTCACGGCAAATTATCATCACCGCTATCGCGCCGGAAGGACCACGTGCCACGCCTGTACCGGTACCATCGGTCAAGACGCAGCAAGGGAAGGGTCTAGTGTTCCATACCTGACCTTATCCAACACCCGACTCTCGTCAACACGGCAGTGGAACGTCAGTCCAAGGGTATACGAAGCTGGTACACAGTGGTTAAACAGTTCGTCGCCAGCCAACAAAGCCGCAGTCATGTCACGATTCCAAGAGAGCGCTTTGAGGAACAGTGTGGGAGAAGAAGATCCCTCAACTCTGCCGTATTGGCATCCCTCGAGTCAATTCTCTTCCTTGATCAATCCTCAGCACACTGCGCCTCACCATCCTGGAGAACCGAGTCTGGAATACATGGCAGCGTCGCAGCAGAACAACTTGATGGACTTTTCACAATTCAACGACTTCGTTCCCATCCAGGACATGACTCAAGGACTTGCGACTACCACCAACCACTCCAACTCTACAATCTCCGTCAAAACGCCAACAGGTCATAAATCAGTCCGACGTCCTGGCCTCGCTGGCGCCTGCGCGTTACACAATGGGCAGTTCTGCTGTCAGTGGACGGTCGACGGCATGGGATGTCCGCATAGATTCCCTGATGCGAAGCAGCTCACAGATCATATTCGTGCCAATCATGTTCGTGGTGCCGGAAACTTCGTATGCTACTGGGAAGGATGTGGCAAAGGCAACTTCCCTACAGCRAATAAGCTCGTGAGGCACGTACACAGCCATACAGGATACAAACCGTTTCCATGCCCAAGCTGCTCACAAGCATTCGTGACGAAGGATCAGCTGGATAAACATCTCACCACTCACACAGGTGCTAAGGACTTTGTTTGTACCTGGCCTGAATGTGGACGCTCCTTCGCAGTGAAGCACGCCCTGGACGGCCACATGAACAGTGTGCATCTCAAAGCCAAGAAGCATGTCTGCCCACACTGTGCACAAGCTTTTGATGATTCTTCCAATCTTTCCAAGCACAAAAAGCAGGTGCATAATCCAGAGACTGGTATCAAATGCCCAGCGAGGCGCACTCACGCTTGCACATATGTCGACAGCCGAAAAGACAAATTGAAGGAGCACTGCGAGCGGGAAAACCACGGGCTGGAAACGATTCACGATCCGCATGCGTGGAATCTTTGGGTGCAGCAATTCAAGTCGGCGTCAAAGAAGGCTGACTCACGTCGACACTCGCGCGACACGTCTGTGAGCACGGTGTTGTCTCGATCATCAAGCATTTCAACATCGTTGATGTCGCCGGGGCCCCAATGTATGACCCATTTCGGCGCCCCCATACCGAGAGGAATTGATTGTAGCAGACAACGCTGCAGTGTTCCTGTTTGCCTTCCGTGCCATATACTTTGCGATGACAACCATCCAGTATATCACCCTCAGCAATTATGCAACACCTCTCATCCCTGCGAGGAGCTTCACCACCATGGGCTGTTAGAGACTTGTCACGAAGAGGACTGCGATCCTTGCGATCCTTGCAACGATATCAACTGCGACCCTTCGACCAGACAGCCGTGTATCATTGAGCCCTGCATCGCCGAGCCATGCTCGGCATCACGCTGTCGCACGAGTTCAATCAGCCCGTCCCCACCAGACTCTTCGCACGATATGCCTTCCGATCCCTACTTCTCGTATCAGCCATTGGGCGGCAGCGAACAGAATGAGATATTTCACAATGCGGAACAGCTTCAACGACTTTCCGATCCTTTTATGTTCATGACTTGATGAACCGAGAGAGTCGCGCTCGTGGTAAACGACACATCAAAGATAGAGTATGGGGGTGAGGGAGTGCCAGAAATGATACCTAGAAGGAGGTATTAATCAGATACCTTAGATGTTCAACCATTAAAACGAGCCTTTGGTAGTGAGCGCGCTTTCTTCATTACACTCCCTCATATGATTTTATCTTTTATCTGTCATATTGAGCCCACATTAAGTACTACATCGCTGGTGAAATGGCTGTAATTTTCGAAGTGTTGATGCTGCCCCGAGACGAAAGAAGCAGGCGTGACATCATGAACAAAGGGAAGAAGTCGCGCCGCTGCACGTGAACTCGCGACTGGAGACTTTACAACTTCGACTTTCGAGCCTCGCCAACCACGAGACGTGACCAAACAGGTCATGTTCCGCAAGCCGAGGACCGACACAACAGAAAGACATGGAGAGGTCCTAGGCAGAGCGCCTACRCCGCCAGGGACGCCTGCGAAGACACCCTGGAAGCTGGCAATCCCGCCTGCTGTACCGCCACCAAAAATCATGGCYGCAAAGACCAAACCGAAGAAGCAGACCCCGCTACCGACGATTGGTAGACAAGGGCCTAGCAGTACGAAGAAGACGACCTCAAAGGTGAAATTGGCTGGGAAGGGCAATAGCAGCATTCTCAGCTTTTTTAAGAAATCAGAGGAGAATGAGGATGCGGGGTTGTTTGTGCAGGACCACACGCCATACGCTGCTCAGAATGGAAGTGTAAATGGAGACGATCGCTCGGACGAAGGTGGTAGACCTGAGGACGATGCGGAAGAGGCACGTTTCAATGAGAATGGTGGATCTGTCAAGCGACGAAGAACGAGTGGGGGAAGTGGCGATGGGCAGTCCACTGCTAATGAGAAAGCATCAACGGCGACCGGAGGCGATGATGGCGCCCGTAAAGCCGGCCCGTTCTTCGAGGAGAGTGACAGTGAACAAGAGGAGGAGGAGCCAGATGCCATCATTGGGCTGGAAGGAGGAGCCGAAGGTGGTATGGTTGCGGGCGAGATGCCACGGCAGTTCGCAGTCAGCCTAGATGAACCACAACACACCGCTCCTGTAGCTCCCGCGTACGGTTTCATTACAGCGCCGACCCTCTTTAAAGAAGAGACCAGCTATGAGCCCGGCTTGGGCGATTTCGCAGACTTTGAGGACGGCGACTTTGACGAGGATCCATACGAAGGAGGCGATGAGTTCATGGAGCGAAGATACATGGAAGAGCAAGCGAGACTGGACGTAGAAGACGACGAGAAGGACTACGACGGCCCTTTCGATGAAGATGACGAGGCACAGGATTCCGAGACGACAGCAACGAAGAGTTCAAGCAGTACAGACTCCAGCTGTCCGATATGTAGCGTAAACCTCAACGGCATCAGCGAGCAGGATGCGGGCGTCCATGTCAATAACTGCTTGGACGGCAACCCGACGCCCCTTCCAGAGTCGAAGAAGCCTTCACAAGGACAACTTGGGACAGAAATGCCCAAGCAAGCCGTTCCAGCGAATAGATTCAAGCGGCAAGGCCGTCCACCCAAGGAAGGCCAAGCCAGCCCATTCACACTCGGCCAGCTCAGCAGTGTTACCAGCGGCGGGTCAGCATTCACCAAACTGATGTCTGGTCACGCCGAGGACGCTGCCTGGGCCGAAGCGGCAGCGGCGGAACATGCTTCCCGTGGCAAGCCTGCGTATACACGGACCTGTCCTTTTTACAAGATTCTGCCCGGTCTCTTCATCTGCGTGGACGCTTTCCGCTACGGCGCTGTCAAAGGCTGCAATGCCTACTTCCTCAGCCATTTCCACAGCGATCACTACATCGGACTTTCAGCTTCTTGGAGACATGGTCCAATATACTGCTCAAAGGTCACGGCGAATCTGGTAAAGCAACAATTACGAGTCGATCCTCAATACGTCGTAGCCCTGGACTGGGAAGTTCCTTTTGAGATTCCTGGTACCAAAGGGGTCATTGTCACGATGATCTCAGCGAATCACTGTCCTGGAAGCTCACTCTTCCTGTATGAAAAGGTGGTCGGTAAGAAGGCCAACGGAGAACCTCGTCAACAACGCATTCTGCATTGCGGTGACTTCCGCGCGTGTCGGATGCACGTCGAGCACCCGCTGCTCATGCCAAACGTCATGGACAAAGTCACCGGTAAGACCAAAGAGCAGAAACTGGATGTCTGCTATCTTGACACGACGTACCTGAACCCGAAATATGCTTTCCCGGAACAGGAGGCCGTGATCAAAGCATGCGCTGACATGTGTGTCTGTTTGAGCAAAGACACACCAGATGAAACGGACGGCTGGGAGCAAATGAAGGTCCAGAGAGCCGGAAAGGGTATGGCGAAGTTCATCCAAAAGGAGAGCCGCTCGGACGTCAAGGAAGAGCCCGTCAACGAGGACGAGGTCGACAATATCAAAATCGAGAAGAATCCTCATGGAAGCCAACAAATTCTGTCCACTATCAACGAGAAGAAAGGCCGTGGCCGCTTGCTAGTAGTTGTTGGAACATACAGCATTGGCAAAGAACGCATATGTCTGGGTATAGCTCGAGCGCTGAATTCCAAGATCTACTCACCTGCTCACAAGCAACGCATTGTAGCCGCATTGGAAGATCCGGAGCTAGATGCACTCATGACCAAAGATCCGCGCGAGGCACAAGTCCACATGACACCTCTGTCGGAAATCCGTGCAGAGACCCTGGACGATTACTTGCGAGACTTTTTCCCGCATTTCACTCGTGCCGTGGGATTCCGTCCTAGCGGCTGGAACTATCGCCCTCCGAATTCGAGGTTCGTGGAGAGCCCTCTGGTGCAAACCGTGCTGCATTCAGACAATTGGAAGAGCACATACAGTATGCGAGAGCTGGTCCCCCAGCGCGGGAGCACGAGTCGAGCAAGCTGTTTCGGAGTTCCGTATAGTGAACATTCGAGTTTCCGGGAGTTGACAATGTTCTGCTGTGCGTTGAGGATCGACAAGATCATTCCTACCGTCAATATTGGGAGTGCGAAGAGCCGGGATAGTATGAAGGCCTGGTGTGAGAGGTGGGCGGCGGAGAGAAAGAAGAATGGTTTGTACAAATTACCAGAGGACGGGAGTTGGTGATCAGATCAGGGCGCATCATGGGTAAGGTATGAAAGCATGGATGATTAGGGATAACAGCACAGTAGCTGTTGCTTGCGGATGTAAACAGATCAGCGCAATGCATTTGTCGAGTACCACCAGCTGGTATGCATCTTGACACGGCGCTAGCAATATGAAAATTGTTTAGCAGAATAAGTATCTCCGGCATGACGTTCTGAGAATTGTCCACGACTCTACCCATCTTTGAAGCTGCGTAGCTAGGGTTCGTAACACCAGCCTCAAAGCGCAAAGAGGCCACATGACCCACCGTGCGGTGTACTAATTGAGGATTGCCTAGCATAGCGTAGCCTTTTACACCTCACCAGCGTATATAGTGTGTTGTGGCATCGAAGGCCACTGCCACCACACCTCGCAACGCGAAATGCCCTTTTCCTAGGCGTAGGGACCTGCGGCACAGTCTTACGTACCACTTCATAGTACAGTGAGGAGCAGGAGCGGAGCGTGATCACTCCTTGGTAGGTTGAAGCCAGATCTTGAATCACATAGGCTCTTCAGTCGTCTTCATCTGAGGAGTAAGCATCAAGACCCAGACTGATACCCGCCGAAGGTAATGGAGACAGTTTCGAATTATCCTTCGGTTCCTCCTCAGCTTTCGGCTTGTCTTCTGTTGCGACGGTCTTGGGCTCGGGGCTTATGTACGAGGCATTGGCGGTCGGTGATGCTGCCGGTCTCTCATCGACCGTGGCAATCTGTTCTGTTGATCGCGCCGCCTTTGCTCCACTAGAAGCCTTTCGTAGTTTGATACCACCCAAAGCATCCTCGCGACCTTTCTTGCGCTTCCTCGAGACCGTCCAGCTCTCTGTCATCACCGGCGCCTCTGCTTCGGGAGCAACGCGTGCAGCCTGTTCAGCCTCTTCCCGCTGCCTACGAAATGCATCCAGCTGCTCTTGTGTCTGTTTCTTGACCGCAGCCTCCGCAGCTCGTGTTGATTCCAGAACGGAATCTAGAAACTCGACATCGTCTTCGTCTAGCGATTGGAACTGGTTCCGGAGCTTGATGCTCTCCTCAAAGGCATCTTGTTTGGCGGCTTACGAGCCAGTAAACTCGTCAGCCATGCGTGCCGGACATGGCTTGAGCCAGAGTAAAGTCACCTTTGTTCGCCTGCAGCGTCTCGTATAGCGATTTACCATCACTTTGCTGCGCTTGTGCGGACTTTTCCGCCCTTCGCGCTTCGATTTCTGCTTGTGCAGCAATCCATGCCTCGTCCCGCTCAGTGGGCTCTTCGTTTGTGCCACCAGATACGAAGCGCGACATGATGGAGGAGTGTTGCTGAGGGGAGGAAGAAGAAGTGCTAAGGTATGCATACAACAGGTGAAGCTTAAAAGCTATCCGAGCGAAATACGAGACGAGCTTCGTGGAGATTTTCCTCTCGGACATTGATACCACTCAAAATTATTCCACATCCACCCACACACCTCCAACCCCACCGCAACAATGGCCAAGGACAAGTCGGAAGCTGAGAAGCGTGAGCGCAAGGAGGCGAAAAAGGACAAGAAGCGCAAGGCCGAGGATGAAGGCGACGATGTTCCGCGCAAAGAGAAGAAGAGCAAGCGCAAGAGCGAGGCCGCCGTTGATGAGGATGTTACCATGGATGTTGATGGCGAGACCTCTTTGATTCAAGTCGAGGGCGCCAACAGTTCCTCCGCGGTCCTGGCAATCCCGCTTGCAGCTCTGGTGCCTTTCGCCAACCCTCTTGCCGACGACAAGTCGCAGAAGAAAGTGCTCAAGAGTGTAAAGAAGGGTTAGTCTTGACCTCCCACCACCTTGTTCTTCTCGAACTTCTTGCTAATACGATTCTCCAGCCGCCAAAGCCAAAGCCCTCAAGCGTGGCGTGAAAGAATGTGTCAAAGCCATCCGTAAATCTCCGCCAGCGACACCAGCAACCCTCGCATCCTCCGCTCTTCCCAATGGAATTGTAATCCTCGCCGCCGACATCTCACCCATGGACGTCATCAGCCATATTCCCGTCCTCTGCGAAGACCACGGAATCCCATACCTGTTCGTCCCATCGCGTGCAGAGCTCGGAGCTGCAGGGAGCACGAAGCGTCCTACCAGTGTTGTGATGCTTACGCCCGAGACCGGCAAGAAGGGCGAGGGTGGAGATGAGTGGACAGAGGCTTACAAGGAGCTGGCGAAGCTGGCCGTTAAACTTGGTCAGGTTGTCAAGGTTTAAAGTCGTCTCATGCCGGGGAACTTTCATCAGGCGTTACAGGGCGCGAGTGTGTGGGATGTTGCAGTTGTTGTATACGAACGGCGTTGTTGACTATGGTCTCGTCGATAGGAYCTCAATGAAAAGAAGTGAAATCGATCTTCACATGTGAAATTATGCTATCCCAACCAATGATACTGCTCAACATCGCGACCATATTTGTACATATTTGCATATGGATTTCGTGATGGTCATTAACCGCAGTCATTCGATCAAGGCATCCGAGAACCTCCCTCCGATTGCGTCCCTCGTGAGTGCTTCTCCACCCTCAGTCGCTCAAGATAGTTCGACATGCCTTGGCCCTTGCCTCGTCCCGCATCAACCTCCTCAACCTGCGCCAGCGCCTTCTTGGTAAGCCCCCTCAATATCCTACGCGTGTAGGAGAAGCTTCCGGCGCGATCCATGTACGCGACCGCATACTTCTTCACCTCATCATCCGTGGTTTTCTGCTTAAGAATGTTGATGAGGACCAAGTTGGTGGGGTCGGCGCGGATAGCGTGGATGATGGKAAAGCTGAATTTGCCTTCGGTCAGATCTTCACACAGTCCCTTATTGTGTGTGTAGGTCAGATCGCTGAGGTTACGGTAGTCGTCGAGGATTTGGAAAAGTAAACCGATGGTGTTGACCAGAGGGACGTAGTCTGCCCTTGACTCTGGAGGCGACGAGTTGTGAGAGGGCGACTCTGCACACATGAGCTTGATCGCAAGGCGGAAAAGGCCGCCTGTCTTGTTGCCAACCATCTCGAGATAGTCGTCTTCGGCAGGACAYGTGAGGGTGTCTCGCCAGAACAGGTCCATTCCTTGTCCGCGGTGTAGATTGAGTAGCTCTTCCGTGTAAATTTGAATCACAGCAGGGTTGTGAAGAGTCAAAAGCTCCTGCAGAGCGCAAAAGTAGACGTAGTTGGCGCTGTTGATCGTCTGCGCCGTGCCGAAGATGCTGTGGGCCACGGGAATGCCTCGACGAAGCTGGCTGTTGTCCTCCACATCGTCTATCAGAAGTGAAGAGGTGTGTAGCATAGCCACCACTCTCGTGATGACATCCAAARAGGACGTGGGGACATCTAGCCATGCATTGAATGCAGCAATGAGCTGCGAGCGAATGTCCTTCCCCGGATGCGCCTCGAGGTATTCGTACGGGCCCTTGAGGATCTTCTCCTTCTCAACGCCCCAGCTCTCACCAGTGGAGCGCACGAGGTCAGCGCCGAGTGGCGGGGACATGGAAAGGCTATCCTGTGGTGATGATTGGAACTCCATCTTGCTCGTCCTGGTCTTTTCTTTGCGGCCTGGGCCTGCCAACCACYCGCGCTCGTCCAGCTGCGGTAGACGCCGGCGCTCTGCAGCAACTCCGCTCAGACTGTTATATCGTCGGGGAATTTGCAGTCTTCCGTCAGCAACCGCGGCGACTCTGTCTTTGCTGGCCTTGTTCTTGCTGGAGCGGCGTGGGGGAATCGCGAGAGAGCCGAAGCTGATGCTGGAGACGGAGCTGGAGCTCTGGGTGTGTGTCAATCTCGGGGTTTGAGTGGGTGCCGGGGGTGTAGCCGCGACCACCCTCGCAGAATCTGAAGGAGAGCGGCTCGGCGGTGTTGAGGATGTTGTTGAGGAGCTGGACTTTGTACTTGGCGCGAGGTTCGATAACGATGTGCTCGCCCTGGACATGTCCACCTCCACGGGCCTGCTGATTCGAGCTGCAGTGGCCACCGCTGGACCTCTTGCGGCTCGCGTGGTGGGAGGGATTGGGCGGGGAAATATAGAGTAGGTTGCGGTGGTGGTGGCCGACATCCTAGCTATCCCAGTCCTCCGTAAATGTAATAATTTGCGGGGGAGGAGGGAGTGATGCAGGTATCAACAATAATGTACGACCGAGATCATTTCTAGTCCAACACAAGCGAGTCGCCTTCATCTTGACTCGCATTGCTCAGAGGAACTACTTTAAGTACCATCTTCTAGTTTAGTGCGCTGCAGATTGTTCGGCCTTYAACAGAGGACAAGCGGTGGCTCGGATTCTCGGCTCAGGGTCATGAACATGTCGATCCTAGCTCCCCTCGCTCCAGCTCCACGGGAATGTCAGCTGTCTCACCAGTCATAAGGTTATGCTAGCAAACATGTGCAGTAGCTAGCGTCTTTCATATGCACATCTGCCTAAGCTTCATATTCTACCTTCAATATCGGCGGTGCCAGACTTCTGTCATGGACCACACGGAGGTGCAGAAACCACCGCATACATTGACTGCCCCCTATGGACTCCATGGTGATTACAACCCGACATGGCATCTCTGCCAAACAGCCCGATATGTTTCCGGGCGCAATGCGGCCGAACACATGGCGTTGATTGGATCGACAGCAATCGCTGGGAGAACCTGACAGCAGTCAGATGTCAGTGATTTTGCTGCCAAGCCAGCCATTTCATCAGGAGAGAGGGAGCCCGCCGCATGTCCTTGCTAGCCCTCGTCGACGTGACGTTCCTCATGCTCTTCACGCTTGCTTTGACACTCCATTCGACTCTCCTTGTGATGTGTGTGGACTTGGCCACGCATTCGAGACCCGATTCACCCATCAACCCAAATTCCACAGAAGCGATACCACGTCTATGTCAACAACTCTGTCCAGAACCCACGGGATTTCTAATCAGCATTGGGTTTTCCGGGCATGCTCATGCCGATGGGCCCGTACTGGCTGCCGGAGCACATGATTGGCCAGGTATTGTCGTCACGGCAAATCTGGAAGGCGGCAGAGCAAGCATATTCGCGGGAGCGCCTGGACGTGTGGTAGGATAGTTGGAAATCCCTTGGAAAGTACCTCGTCAGTCTTGCAGGCGCAGCCGTGTGCAGAAAGCCCGAGTAGGGCCGAGTTGTTGGAAGGAGGCTGTGAAACAAGACCAGAGTGTGGAACTCTTCTCGTGTTCTACTCTCAGCTGCGTATGAGCAGAGGAGACGTTGTAGAGACCTGGTAGCAGAAGTCTTTGAGGGGGAAAGCTACATCGCTCGCTTGTTGAAGGCGATCTTGTACCGGCATGGTGCGGATGTAAGATACATTGCAAGACAATGCTAATCGCGCATGACGCCAACCTCACCCACTTTCCTCCATCCGCACCCTCCGACAACGCTAGCCAGAGGCCTCCACGAGAAAGTCCGCAGAGAGTGGCCCTACAGAGGGTGATCCGCATACAGGCATCCAGTCGGCGAGTTTCCTACCTCGTAGGTTCTAAACTCTGTATCGTGGCCTTGTGAATGGGCAATGCTCCTTGCACGAGCCGAAGAAGAGTTTTGGAATCCCTCCAACAACCATGAAGTACGGAACAAAAATCGCGGAATATTCCAGAATGCGCGACTGAGATTGTATAGCCTGTCATGAGAGCTACAGGGATATCCTCGTCCTGGATGGGCGACCGATCGGTAAAGCTCAAAGAAATGACAGAAGGCGCAATCTAACAGAGCTACCGACCTGTGCAAACGTGTTGAAGACCGCACCAACAAGGGCCTGATCCCTCCGGGGCAAGGCTTCGCTGACGACCACTGTGCCGACTATGAATAGCACATCGACGCTAAAAGGCGCAGAACATTGTTCAATAGTCCGGGATCGAGAGTGCCATGAGCAAAGGTGATCCTGCAGCCAGGAAGGAGGAGATCAGGATTGAAGCCATGACGGGCACCTTGTTGACGATCGCGCTAGTCAGCAGGTTCAATGCTGMTCCGGCGATAACCTGTGGTAGGATTCGAATGGCCCTCTGAATCGCTGACAAGAGTTGGACCTCTTGGAAGAGCAGACTGCAGAACGATTCCAAACAGCTGACTACCGCGTTGCAGAGGAGGATTATCAAGCACACACTCGTGAATGATAGGTCCTTTCAAATAGCGTTCGAAAACAATGCAGGCTTGCCTTGCTTCGCTTGGAAGCGCATCGACCACGCGAAGGTAGGCAGCAATGACAAGCTCAAAGCAAGCAGTGCAATGTTGCTCGGACCTTTGAAATCCGCCGTGTTGGCCGGCAGACTGGCGAGAACGTATGACAGCAGAGCAATGGACGCACTCGCAATGCCCGCGCCTACCCAGTCGATCTCGGTCGCCGGCCGTTTCGACTCATGACCCCATGGTCAGACAGGTAGGAACTTGAGCTAGGCCAGAGGAGGAGGCTCACGGGTATGTCTTTGGCGGTGGTCATGGTAGGTGCTCAATGGAAAGCAAGCCATTGCTTAGACTTGAGATGAAGTTGACTCCGCAGAGCTGAATGATGACTATCCGCGCTCGGGATACGGCAAGATGCGGGTATGCTGCCTGTAAATCGACTTCGAAAGACAATGGGCTGGAAATCCGCGGGCTTGATTCGGCCAAAGACCTACCAGGACTCGGCAGTATGCTTGTGGTCGACGAGTTGGGAGCTTGATGTCGAAACCTTTCCGCTCAATGACGGTGTGTGTTGCCATTGCTGTTGATTCCGGGTCGTGTTCCAACTACAACAAGAGTAGCATGTTGGCACTGATCTTGTGACAGTGATCGTGATTGTGACCGTCACGAAACAGACGGATGCATCCTAGAAGGCTTATGATGACAATCAGACCTTTTCTTCTTCGTGTTGTAACGCAAAGGGCGTTGAGCTAGACTTCCAAGAGCGCCTGCAGAGTCCAGGCAACGCCTGGCTGGGTGAATCCTGATTCCTGAGCCCTCTGCAGGTTCCTACACGGCGGTACTTTTAAAAGAACCAGAAGCTACACTATTAGGTGAGCGACATTGATGACGAGACTCGACGGCAAGCTTTCCACGAGGAAGCTGGAACGCAGAGTCTGCCACAGTATGCTCCCATGTGCTCGCACCTTCACTGCGATGGGTACAGGCACCATGAGCAGCTTGCGCGGTCAGCAGCGATCGCCGTTCGCAACGTGCCTCTTTCGCAGAATCTCGGGCTGTTCGGAGTCTCACGACTTGTCGGTAGAGGCGTCGTCTTCGATGAGATGCCGGATACCATACCTACCGCCTTTTCCTCGTCCGAAACCGCATTTCRAGTGCATGGTCTGTTGGTGTTTGAACTTGCCTAGATGTCTGTTCCAGCTTTCATGTCCACGCCGGATCGATGGTGGATGAATCCACTTTCGATCTAGCCGAAGTAAGAATCTCGCTGCCATTGGAAGGCGTCACCTACGGAAAACTGGTCGATGGCCTTTCAGCACGACCTTGCGACCTTGCTGGGCAACGAGAGCTGGGCGTGCGGTCCCCTGCAAGACACTAAGCAGGTAAGGGCACTCTAGCTTGGGCGCGATGATTCCATAGGAGATGTCGAGGATTTCGAAACCTTTGACCACATCATTACCGGCTCGGATCTCACCAGGTGACATGGTTTTCAGCACCCGGATGAGAGATTGAAGGAGACTTATATGTTCAATCGAATCGAAATTTGTAAGTTCGCTGAGGGCCACTTTCGTGATGGGCCTAGATGGACAGGTAGATGAGGACATGACGCTCGTGTGGTTCCGACTAACTGGGCGATGGTTCGAAATGAATGGTCGTGTACAAGAACCTGCGCCGCCGCGGATCCGGTGCATCTCGGAGATAGGCTTCGCCGGCTCACTAGAATTTATCAACTTGCAGAATTTCAGGAAGAGACGGTGTGTACGGGAAATGAGTGTAGGGACGATCTGTGCAATGATTGAAAGTATTGATGGGATCAGAGCTTCTGGGCAAGTGACAACCATCGTTGGTATACTATCACTTCATCGAGATGGCCGATGGAGAAGTTTGGTCGCGAGCGGAAGAATACTGATTAGGTACTTCGCTCACCAGCTTCTTGGAATGCGGTGCCTGCCCAGTAGTAGAGTGCGGTCGGGACAAACTTTGGAAGTGGTCGCGACATCCCGCGTGGTGAGCCTCCGCAAACTCGCATGTGGTCTTGACTCGTTCGAGACAAAGGCTTCATCGAAAGTTGACWCTTGTGTATCAGAATCAATGGATCTGCACGCCTCTGCGACTTTCTGCCAGCTTGCGGACTGCGGTGCTCTCTCAATCGAGGTTCGGCGACGAGAATGTGCTTTCCCTGATCCTGGAAAGTCCATTTTTACCATCCTGGCATGAACAATCTGGTGGGCGCGCTTGGAGCAATGGTGGCTGGTTGTGCACCTCCTTTCCAAGCTGTTATCTCCTTGGATCACGATGGATGAAGATGGGAAGTCGTCGTCCGCACGTCGTTGGACTCGGACGGGCACTGCACCCAATTCACCGCTTCGCCAACCTCTGCGAGACCGCGAGACCTCGTCAGCAGCAGCGGCTCTGACGAAGAGAACGCTGCGGTCGACAGCGAATCGAGAGGGGGCACGGACAAGCCAAAGCGACGTGGCAGCACGCTAATGCGGACAGGGGTTTGCAATCACTCTTCTCACGAATCAGCTATGTKACGACATGCGTGCCAGGGCGCACGGAACTTCTGCTCTGATCAGGCTTTATGAAGGCTGCCCGCCGCGCTCTGTTTTTTCTGCAACCTTCTTCTTGCTGCCCAACACATCCCAAAGTCTCACAACCCCGAGACCCGCAAACAGATCTTCGGTCCTTGTTTCTTACTACAGCTATCTTGCGTCAGCATTGCACAACAGCCCATACGTTGGCTAAACAGTGCTGTGTTTGACGGTGGACTCCCGTTCCCAGGACAGAATTACCAGTTGCCTTTTCGGACCCCATTACCAGGATGACATTTCGCACCCGCGAGGATTATTTGGCCGCCAGGTACACTTTTTCAATGTTTTAATGTTTTTAGCACACACTTTTGCGTTTGCTTTGTTCGTTTTGCTTTGATTACTCGCACTACCCCGCGCTACCCAAGGGCTACCAGCCGGAACCTGTTCGCCAGCCGGCTGTTTGGAACATCTGCAGGACCATGGATACTGTTTACCGTTATGGTGTGCCCCCCACCATGATCTGGAACCCACGTGGCATGAAAGCAAAGCTTGACTTGACATCATCTAAAGTGATAACGTCCTGTCGCCGAGCTGTAAATGCACTACCGCTATCCCGCCTGTCCGTTGCGTCCATGCCTCCCAGGACAAGCCACAGGCACGCCATGAATCTGGCAGACATTCACGCAGAACAGCCCTGTCGCYGCGTGAATATTCTTTCCCTGTTCTCGGAACCTTCCAAACATGGAATGGGCCTCTACGTCCGATGCGAAGCCTTGCGCAGTGTTCGACGCATCCCGCATTCACGGCAGTTCTATCATCAGGGCGCCCACGCAGATTCATGGACCATACCCGCCCCGTTCTTGGAAGCCAGGCAAGTCCCGTTGCTCAACGAAACCTCCCCATGACCTAAACTATTCCGCGCCCAACCTACGAACATCACCGTGTGGACCAACATCGTTACGGACTAACCGGAAACCAGACCCTGCCGTGTACATTCTCTATTCTGTGTTCTGCTCTTGCATTCTCGCTCGTCCTCTTATTTCTATCATGAGAATTCCACAAACTGACCTATATGTGATGCAGCGAGGAGTTCGCTCCTTTCCATCAAACCGGCTCGGTCCTTTTCGCCCAGCCTTCGGAAGTGACCCATTGGTGCCAGTCTGTTCCCAACCCGGAAGGATATCCTCTCACTCCACCGGACACCGTGTCCGACTGCTCCGCATCGGACTATTCGGATATGGCACCCACATCTTGGAACATGACCTCCATGTCAGGAGCAGACGGTTGGACCACAGAACCCGTCCAGGATAACAGCACCAGAATGCAGCCGTCTGCAAGTAGTCAGTACACCCAAGGTACACCCGTTACCTCCCAGGATCTCCATGCCATGGATGCCGCGTCTTGGACGCATTCTGCCAATGGACCTGTAGACCAGGGTTTGTCGCCTGTTCTGAGCCATGAGAGCCAGAGCTCGCGCACCCTGAACTCCTTCTCCGAGCCAGATGTTAACTACCTGCCACCCGGCTTGGACCTCTCTTTTATTGGTGAGAATAGCTGGCAAACTCCTGCAGCGTACTCAGGATCCAGTTGTGTGCCACAGGACTACCCTTCCAGCATAAGTGCCCCTCCGCAGCACATGCCGTACGCTGCTACCACAGGTCCACTCGGATATGATGCCCCTTCGCACATTGCTTGTGTCCCGCAGCAATCTGCGATATACTTCCAAGATGTCCATGGCTCCAACCCTGGCATGTCCGAGTGCGACCAGTCCATGATCCATGGAAGGCCATTGCTTCCTCGCACGGATGACCACCCATTCCAAGGTGTTCCACCCACTGCCGGCTACGTTGCGTTCCAGCCCGAGCACGCAGATTTTCAGGGCAGGGTAAGTAGCTCTCCGATATTGCCAAGGCAGGCTTTCACGTCATCCCGACCTCTGTCTACCCGATCCGGAATGTATATGGAACCAATCCCACAGGCCGGTAAAGGATCTCCCATTGGTCAATTGCCCACTCCATGCTCGGATAGTACTCCATTTGGAATCCCGCCGTCACTTGGATCGGTCAATGAGGACTTCAGCAGCTTTATCCAATATGACCAGGAAGAAAAGGCGCCCGCCATGTCCCACAGGTTAGAATGCACTTCACAACGCATGAACACAGACCATACTGACGAGCTGTCCAGCCACTCTGGTTATGGTCCAGCAGAGTGCAGGTCTGCGCTTGCCTCTCCTGAGCAGGATGGCATCTCTCGTAGTGTAGCCGCTTCCTCTCATGGTCCCACCATCCCAGAGACCGATGAAGGCCGCTACAGGAACCACCCACTGTACAGCGAAGGACCACACGCTGATGGACTCTACCACTGCCCATTCAAGAGTGATCCGAGCTGCCAACACAAGGCTACAAAGCTCAAGTGCAACTACGAGTATGATTACAGCAAAACGGTGCTCAGCATCAAAACGAAAGTCTGTCGCTAATGRTGCTCTTTAGTAAATTCATTGACTCCCACCTGAAGCCATTCCGCTGCAAGGTCGAGGCTTGCTCGAAGCAAGAGTTCTCCTCTACAGCCTGTCTCCTGCGCCACGAGAGAGAGGCTCACGGTATGCACGGTCATGGCGAGCGCCCCCACCTCTGTTTCTACCCAGGCTGTGAGCGCGGGATGTCTGGCAACGGATTCCCACGGAGATACAACCTGTATGACCACATGAAGCGTGTCCATGACCACAAGGATGACCCTTCCACGGGCAGCCAGGAGAAGCCCACTGCCGGGTCGCAAACACAGCGCAAATCAGGCAGCCGCAAGCGTACGGCAAGCTCAACCAACGAGGAGCCCGCTGCCCAACGTGTCAAAGTGCAGCCTGCGCGTGAACCTGTGCCAATGGTCGCAGCCGCACCCTCACCACGTACATTGGAATGTAACGATGCTCGCTCAGGAATCCCACGCCAGCGGGACAACAACAACAACAACCGGCAGCGTGTTCTGTACTCTCAATGGGCGCAGCAGCGCGAGTTGGTCAACTTCCAGATGTCTTCCGTCCAAGGCCCAGATGATGAGGACAACCTCCAGCGTCTGAGCCAGAACATTGAAGAGCTTCGACGTCTCTCCCAACAGGCCAGGCAAGGCTGAATCAAAATGTCGCGGAGTGTCATGTGGTACGTTCCTCAAGCATGTCTACCTTCATTGCGGAGTCTTACTTACGCTGTACGATAGTGCACTCCGGAATGAGACCATCTTGAAAGTCTGACAGTCTGTCAGCACAAATTGAGCGATGCGACTGCCGGAAAGCCACCAGGTAACGCGGCCAGCGTGGAGAGGATTAAGCAAGACTCTACCCTAGAGCCTTTACCAGCACGGCATGTGCAAATGCCGGGAAAGTGCCAATGGACCACCCCGCCAGGTGTTTCTTGGATGTGTACATTCAGAGTCTTCGGACAGTGAGCCAGGTGCATTGAGGGAAAGCAGCAACCCGCTGCGTGTAGTCGTGGCCTCGCGAGGTGAAATGAACACGAGTGAGTGTGACGCTGGTGGAATGGCAAGAGTCTGCGCAGCTAAATTGACTGAAATTTGAGATTGAAAGGCGTTTGGTAATGGAATTGATTGACTCATACTTGCGGAAAAATAGATAGAAGGTGCTTGTGTATAAATGTTCGATTCATTGTTCCGAGTGAGCATTCTCATGAAATGTAATGTCTACATGTAACTACTGACAAGGTCAGTAAGGTAACGCCAACGTACGAACTTACTACAGATATCAAAATCGGCTGCTCATACGAACAGAGGACTTCATACATGTGACATCGCTTGCGTGAGCATAACTCGGGAAGAAGTCGTGTTCGCTTTATATGCCCCAGACGTCGGAGGATTGCTTGCACGTGAAAGGTTGATATGCCCCGTACGTGAGCACCAACCTTCCGATGACGAGCTTGGTGAGGCTTCAGCCGCATCACGGCCGTTGTTTCTGAAGGTACCACCAGGAAGAAACGAGGTTATCAGCGAGATGAGAGGTCTATCCCAGTGTAAGGTACTCGTCGGTGCTAGGCCCATGCCAGGTCTTCGTCCGTTGCCGAGTGCTCGATTTGTCTCGTGCATCGCAGCTGCTTCATCATCTTCCCGCCCCGCGCTCCGAGCTCAGACATCTCACCACTTCTTTCTCCCCACTCCACCACCACAACCTTTGAAACTTCTTCTTTCGCGATCACAGAATCGTACCGCAAGCATGTCCTCCGCCACCACTTTCTACGACTTCAAGCCCGTCGACAAGAAGGGCCAGGAGTATCCACTGTCGGACCTCAAGGGCAAGGTCGTGCTCGTCGTCAACACCGCCTCCAAGTGCGGCTTCACTCCACAATTCGAGGGCCTCGAGAAGCTCTACAAAGGTATCTACATCCTGTTCACCCACTGCAACCTACCCTGCCATCGCTGACACCCAACGATCAGAGGTCAAGGCCACTCACCCCGACTTCGAGATCATCGGCTTCCCATGCAACCAGTTCGGCGGCCAAGACCCCGGCAGCAACGATGACATCCAGAGCTTCTGTCAGCTCAACTACGGCGTTTCCTTCCCAATCCTGGGCAAAACTGAGGTCAACGGCGACAAGGCCGAGCCTGTGTGGGAGTGGATGAAGAAGGAAAAGCCAGGTCTCCTCGGTCTTCAGAGAGTCAAGTGGAACTTTGAGAAGTTCTTGATCGGTCGTGATGGTCAGGTCAAGGGCCGCTGGGCGAGCACCACTGCTCCGGAGAAGATCAAGTCTGCGGTATGTGTTGATGTGATACAACGTCACAAACCTTGCTAACATGTCGGTTGCTTCCAGGTCGAGGCAGAGCTCAAGACTTCAGCCTCCCTATGATGGGTGCCGGCACTACGACAACTTTGATACCCTGCCCTAAAATACGCGAGACTATGTAATGGAAGATCGATCATTGTTCTCCTCTATATCTCGGCCTTTCCAGTATGGTGAAATCTCTCATCCACAGCGTGATGATCTTCGTGAAGAGCGCACTCATAGGCAACAAATTTCGCTTTGAGCGACAGTTTTCACGAGCGCATGCATCGCAATTGATACGTGGAAATAGCTTGCGATTCAAGACATGTCGACCGAGTACTTCTCTCTCATCTCGCCTGGGAAGCAAATCAATCAGTATATTGTCCGTCGTCCGCAATCATCTGTTGAATAACATACCGACGTCCAGTGCTACAAGGAATCGAGAGACGGTATTGTAGGCAGCGATCCTACATGGAAGAGCGCAATGTCAGTTCATGAACGAGATCGATCGGGCTTCCAAATGCCAGTCGTTCGATCGACTCACGTTGCAGTCAGCTCCACAACTTCGCGGTCATTGAAGAAGCTCTTCAAATTCTCCATCACTGGGTCTCGCACGATACAGCCGATCGTCATGGCTTCTGTATACTGCAACACAGCCAAGTGCTTATCGTCGAGTCCACTACCAGTGTATGCGGCGTCTCGGATCTTCTCGATGATTTCGTCGCTGAGTACTCCGCTCTTACGCAGGATTGGGGAGTGCTGTTCGTATTCATAGTGCGCATGGTTGAGCGCAGCGACTGATGAGATGAAAATTGTTAGAGATTGGGACTCGACATTCACTTTCTGTTGATTGTCCTTACTCACCTCTACAGATAGCCAATTCTCGCACGGAAACAGGGAGAGTTGTTTGCTATCATTGGAGGAACATTCAGCCATGACAATACGACTCTTCGCTTTCAAGAATCACTCACAGTGCGAATCGCTTTCAAGAAGGAGTTCCATCCATCAGCCACGGGTGCTATGTGTTGATCAGCAACCCTATCGATGCAAAGTCATTGTTGTCGCATAAGTAGCTTACGGGCATGCAGAAGAGCCTTGTCAAGGGCAATAAGCTTGCCTCCTCGGCGCTCCTTGACTCTTTCCACAACGGCCTGGTCTTCCTTGTTCTCCATCTGAGGATTGTCTTCAACGTAGGGTAGACGCATCCTGGCGGTATTGCTAATGGAGAACGGTTTGCGAAAGATTGATGTTGAATGCGGGTAATGGGCTCTGGTGGTGACTGAAGCTTCTGTTCGACGGGCTTCTGCAAAAAGCAAGATGAGGAATCACAATACTTATACTGCCCTCATGCTGAACCCGCGAGGTGACTCCAACTGAATCCCAATGTGACTCCATCTGACCAGAGACACCCCGCGCTGTTCATGGATCCGTGCGACATCGGCCCCTCCATTATTTTCATCCAGCTCCACCCAACATTACCCGGCCGTCAGAGCAACCTTGGCAACGGCCATGTAACATGATTGCCAGTATAAATGGCTCGAGGTGGAAGCAAACAGGTTCCGGCACTCAAGGCCAAACCACCTGCGAAAGAGAAAGTTCGCCGCACGACTGAGCCTGCAAAGAAAGATGCAACCGCCATTGGCGCACCCCTGGACCTTCAACAGAAATGTCTGGACCTATTTCGCGAGGCCTTGAAGCCTACGGAAGACGACAATAGTGAGGCTCTTCAGGAGGTCAAAACACATTTGTTCAACCGCGATTTCGCTCAAGCATTTGGGAAAGAGTCATATTTACGTGCCTATGCTGGAAGATGGAGTCCCAGCCGAGCTCTCGCCTATCACCAGGTTCTCGTTGATGTGCAAGACGAAGTGCTGTCTACATTCGGCCAGACGCAGACCGATGGCGAAAGTGTCTTCCGAGTTGTTTCTATCGGTGGCGGGGCTGGTGCAGAGCTTGTCTCTTTGGCGACCTGGTTGCGAATGGAGAGCCAGGGTGCAATCAAGCCCTGTCGAATAATGGAGAAACTACACACAACATTGCTGGATATCGCTGCATGGGATCCAGTCGTTGCGGAACTCCAGCAAGCTATAACCACGCCGCCTCAGCTTTCAGCATACGCTTCCGCGGCCGCGAGAGAAGCCAATGAGGCTATGTTGGCCAAAGAGGCATACACAGTGACGTTCAATCAACTGGACGCCCTCGGTATGACAGAATCGCAATGCAAGGAGTTCATTGGAGGCGCCGATCTGGTGACTATGATGTTCACACTCAACGAGCTTTACTCGACTTCTGTTGCAAAGACTCAAAAAATGCTAGCTCGCATCACGGAAGCCTCTCGTCCTGGATCTCACCTGCTGGTCGTTGACAGTCCTGGAAGCTATTCGACTGTTTCAATCAATGGAGCGGACAAGAACTACCCAATGCAATGGCTGCTGGATTTGACGCTTGCTGGGAACCAGAAGCGATCAGACGGCGACGATGCAAAGCCCAAATGGGAGAAAATTGTGACTGATGAGTCGAGGTGGTTCCGCTTACCAGCAGGACTGAAGTATCCAATCGATTTGGAGAACTGTAGGTATCAGATCCACCTGTACAGGAGAGCAGCAGGCTGAAATGCAAGTTCATGCTGCACGTCTGGTTTTCGCGCCTTGTATGTTCCACGCCRGAAGTCCGACTTCATGTGGCTTGAAAAACTATACGCGAGCTGCTATTCCACTTCAGCTRCCAATCAGATGCACCTGACAACCTCGCAATGAGAAGATAGGCCACTTTGACAGACGAGATGCCGTGAACGGTAGGTCGCTGAAATCATTGCGACAAAGACTTGACCTGCTTGAGTCAGTAGAGTGTTCAGACAACGTTCGACACGCAATACCGTTTCACAGAGCCGGGATAATGCATGAACTCTGAGAAGGATATCTGGTCGAGCCTATGGAGGGAAGTCAAAGCCAGAAGCGGGTGGGTCTCACCGCTTTCAACTTGGCGGCACATGCGGGGTGAAAGCAGGACCGCTGACGGCAGAAAATCACGAGCGAAAAAGTTCATTAGATGCTCAGACTGTTTCGCTCTTCCAGTCTTTCCTCACGCCTACTTAGACAACGTATACCAACTCCCTCTTACCGAACACTCTTCCCAACAATGTCTGAACTCACACACCCCACTATCAAGGGTATGCAACGATCACAAGTACACTCACCTATACTTCCGCTAACGTTAGGATTCTTCTAGATGGATGGTTCGAGGAGAAGAGCAACATGTGGCCTGGCCAGGCCATGACCCTCAAGGTCAACCAGATTGTCCACCACGAGAAGAGCCAGTAYCAAGATGTGCTCATCTTTGAGAGCTCCGACTACGGCATGGTCCTCGTCCTCGACAACGTCATCCAATGCACCGAGCGCGACGAATTCGCATACCAAGAGATGATCACCCACCTCGCCATGTTCTCCCACCCAAACCCCAAGAAGGTCCTCGTTATCGGTGGTGGTGACGGAGGAGTTCTCCGCGAGGTCGTCAAGCACGAGTGTGTTGAGGAGGCTACTCTTTGCGACATTGACGAAGCTGTCATTCGTTTGAGCAAGAAGTACCTTCCAGGAATGAGCGTGGGATTCAAGCACCCCAAGTGCAAGACGCACGTTGGAGATGGCTTCAAGTTCTTGGAGGACCGAAAGAACGAGTTTGATGTGATTATCACGGATAGCTCTGATCCGGAGGGTCCGGCAGAGAGCCTGTTCCAAAAGCCATACTTTGAGCTGCTCCACGGTGCTCTCCGTGAGGGTGGTGTTATCACCACTCAGGGTGCGTGATTCTGATACTTTGAGGATTGGATTGAATAGCTGATCATTGCGTAGCTGAGAACCCATGGCTCCACATGACCATGATCGCGGACCTCAAGAAGTCCATCAAGCAGGTCTTCCCTGTTGCTGAGTACGGCTGGACCACCATCCCAACCTACCCAAGCGGTCAGATCGGCTTCATGGTGTGCAGCAAGGACTCCAGCAGGGACGTCACCAAGCCATCGCGCAAGTTGAGCGACGAGGAGGAGGACAACCTCTTCAAGTACTACAGCCACAAGATCCACGAGGCTGCATTTGTGCTGCCCAAGTTTGCGGAGAAGGCGCTCCGCTGAGTGCGAGAGGAGAGCATCGGAGGAAGTAGACGAATTTGATACCTGAATGAGAGCTTGCCGATCGGCGAGTGAGCTAGCGTTGCGATGCAAGCTGCATCTGCGAATACATAGATCTGATGCGTACGATTATAGGATGCAAAATGTCAATGATGAATGCCCAATCTCCACGTCAATACTGTTCAACTCTATCTTCACTCCCAAACAGTACGGGAACACTCATTCGGGAGACATGGTATTGAAGTACGTGGGGTGAAGTTGAAAGGAAGACAAATTTCTGGTGATGGTGTTTCTTCCTGGTTGATTAAATATTGGTGCGCGCAAGTCCCGCCTCCAAGCTACACACTGCCGAAGTAACCTGAATTCATCATCATAATCGTCGCCTGCTTATGCTCCTGCTCACTTCGCAAAAGATGTCGTAGTTCTCCTCCGCTCCCCCGCCCACTCTGGGAGCATTCTCAAAGCACAATTGGGTATCGCAAATATTGTTTCATCGTCTCAAAATCCCCGTCGCGGGTCATCCTAATACTTCAGGATAATGTACAGAGCGTGGATAATGCCTTGAGACATGGTCAGCGACATGGTTCTTTGTCATGTGATGCGCCAGCACGCAGCTGGTTTGTATACGTACCGGGAATGTATCCGAGGATGGTGARGAGGATGTTGATGAGGAGATCTGCGCCGCAGCCACGCTCGAGGAACACTCCGATTGGGGGAATGAAGATGGCGAAGATGATCTTGATGATGTCGCTGCAAGTGTGATGTCAGTCGCTTGTCCTTTTGCGACGGATGTGTCGGCGCAAGGCTTACCTTCCGGTGAAAGGCATGATGGGCAGTTGATTTCGGGAAGTGGTTGGAGTGGTTTGTGGGTGGATATGTGGTGTTCGAGGTCGATGGGGTGAGAGCTGAGTTTAAGAAGAGAGAGGCCGAGCAAAGAGGTTGGGAATGAGGTGTTTAGTATCAAAGCTTCTCCAACCTGGTCAAATGACGTCGCAGTTCTATTCCAGCCACAGGCGACCGCCTCAGACCTAAACAACAACCAAGGCCGCGGCAGCCCACAGACAAGAAAAAAAAGCCCGGACTACCAGCTGCCACTACGACCGAGCCTTGAACGATATGACGACGCTTTTCAACAGCTTTACTGGGACCGTCTGCACGCAAGACACGCGAACAGGAAAGTGTACCCATAGGACTCGCCTTGGGGATCGGTTGTCTCGGGTGCTAAGGCGAGAAGGCAAGCAAAGCCCGTAAGAATTACGTCGTCCGACACTTGCCAGGCCAAGCCCTGCTGGACTGGGTGGGCGTGACTGGTGACGCGTAAACATCCTGGAGCTTTTCATGCCGTCGTAGCCATGGCCTACGAAATATACCGTGGCGCAGWCAAATTCAAACGCGCTTTGTTTGCGTCGCACAACTGCCATAGCCACACGGTAGCGGAGCATGATCCTTCGCTTTCGGCGTCGTACTGTGGCTGAGACGTTTCCTTCCGGACGGTTCGTAGATCTGGTGCCAACTCTAAAACATGGATGGTGCGATGTCATTGCTGAGAGATGACAAAGTAGTATGCTCGGTGGTAGTAATTACTTTCTTGAAACATTTGTCATACACTGCATTCCTCCGATGCGGTGCTTTCATTTAATTCACTTACCGCACAGTCCTGCCGCACTCTTCAGCCGACTCCATCGAACGTGGAGCGGTTCCTCACCCACTCTGGGCCATCTCCGCTGTATACAAGCTCTACGACAAGGGCACATCAAGCAGGACTCGGATGGAACAATCTATCGCTCATTATCATTAACACATTAGGCCGCTAGGAATTATGTACAATCATCATCGTAGGTCTTAAAAGCTGAACAACCCAGACCGCCGCTTTCCAAAGGGATAAACGACAATAGCGCTCAAGAACAACCCAACGGTAATACCAATGGCCACCTGAACAACAGAGTAGCTCACCGACAAAGCAGTACTGTCTGGTCCATAGGAATTGAAAGTAGAAGTGTTCCTGGTAATCTGGTCCGCAGAGGCGATTCCAGAAATGAGGCTACCATTCACGGCAAGACCACTAGGAACCTGCACAAAAATGGCCGGTAGCATGGCTGCTGCTGCCAAACTGTATCCAACTCGTCTAGTCTGGCGGACGTAAATGGATTCGGTGTCTCCCGCGCTGCCCTCCTCCATGGATTTGGGAGTACGGTTTCGGTTCTCGAGGTGGAAGACACGCTTACGAAAGCTTCTCCATTGAGGTCGTAATCTGTCTTCCCACAGGTCCAGGCAGAAGTTCTCACATCGGCCTCCAACACGGCTGTACAGATTTGCCATGACGCCAATCGAGAGCGCACCCAGTGTGTTGGCGACTTGTGAGTTATTGCTAAATCTTCTCGACGAGAAGTAATTCACCAGGTAGCCCGCCATTGCGATAAACATCATGACCGGGGCTTGTTTCCACTTGGCTTGGTTGATGATAATCAGACACATGGTGAAGCCTGGAACGAAAAAGAAGAACCAGTAACCGGGAATGGGGTTCGGTGTGGTGCAAACTGTGTCCGACGTGGCATTTTCATCGATCATTCCATAGATGGCAGTGCCTATTGTAATACCGAACCCCAGGAATAGCGAGTATATTATCGCATAGACCATTCGGATGCTCCCGGCAACAATAGATCTCGATTGGAGCTCCAGGGAAGCGCACAGCACAATGTAGCCGGGGAGGATGAGCGCAATGGATGATTGTGCCAATGCAGAGAAGCAGAAAAGCTGCCCGCCTCGAATGCTGCCAAACGCTCGGGCCAAGAACGAGGTGATGACGGTAGCAGCGATCTCGAAGAYGTTGGCGTAGAGGTCGGAAGTCGGTGCAACGTACAGCTGCAAGACGCCAAGAATGCTTCCAAGGAGGAAGGCGATGGGCAGATCCACGAATCTGCTCTGAAAAGCAAAAGGTCCGACGCACAGTGCTGCCATTCCGTAAACGGGTACTCTCCACAGTCGGCTGTGCTTGGCCTTGCGGTTGGTGATTTCTTTCAGACGTGCAATGGCATCATCAACACCTAGTCGATCGTGGACCTATGCAAGGAAGTCAGCACATGCTTGATATCACAAAGCAATGAACGGCCGAGCCTTGGTCAGAGACTAACCACTTCTTTGTAGACTTCGTGCACGTCCCGCAACTTTCCAAGGTCCAATCCCTGTGCAACTTTCACCAACTTCACTTCACTGGTATGAGTCTCCCTATCCTCAAACGATATGATCATGGCACCGGGTATGTAGCTAGAAGCCTGTTAATACTCTGTCTGTGTTGCGGACACATCTGATGGACTCACAGAAACTGCGCGTCAGTCTCAAGCACTCGAGCACTCATTCTCATGTATTCTTCCAAGCGATGTGTCGGCGCGCCGTACTGCATCAACGCCCTACAGATCTTAGTCAAATACTTCTGTCGAGCAATGCTCTCGCCGATGTGCTTGGTGATCCTGATCTGCTCGTCGAACTTGGCTCGGCTCAATCGATTGATAGCCGCGATGGCACCACCGCTGCGTGTTCGCTTGCCAAGTCCGGGTCGTTTGTTCGCCTCTTGTTGCTCCTTGAGTCTCTGGCTGACTTGCTCACCCAGCCCGGACACAGCTGGAGAACCAAAGCTTGCTGATGATCCCACGAGCTGAGCAAGCGAGGACGAGGATTGGGAGCTCTTATGATGCCGGTAGGGAGAATACCAATGCCGACCGTTTGGGGTTGCAGTTCCAGATTCGGGAGGTGAATGCTGCGGAGTGGACGCTGTGCTATAATCGCCCCTCATGTGCGCCTTGGGGATCTCAGGGGGGTTGTTGCCCATGCTAGCAGATGGATGTTGCTCCCCATAGAGCTTGAGGAGGGATCCCAGAATCCCGCCACGATACTGCTTTGGTCGGGGTTTGTAATCCTCAAAAAACTCAATCTCCTCAGTTGGAGTTACATGACCAGAGCGAAGGCCGGAATACGACTCGATCTCGGGATCAACACGCGAGCCTCCACCGACTCGGGCCTCTGTATGTCGCCGTACTAGACTGTAAGCTTCCTGATGTACGGATCGCGGCTTCATTTCCTTAGGCTGCAGTACATCGTTCTCATCATCAGTATTATCCGATATGTCGTCCAGAAGATCCTGCAGAGGAATGTCACCTGATCGTGATATCACTGGTGGCTTCTTCGCCTTCATCGAGCCACGTCTTGAGCTGGGCTCTGAATTTGTACGCTGGTCTTGCTCCAAACGTTTGCCACGCTCAAACGCTTCCAAGGCACGCTTTTTTCGAACAGCTCGTTGTCCATCAGCATCCGGTCCTTCGTCGATCAGTTCCACATCAACATCGTTCCCTTTGACGGTGGGAGCATTCAGCCGAATGGCAGGACGTGGTCGAGGCAATTGCAAATTGTTAACATTGAAGGCCCGGTGAATCTCCTCCGTCTGCTGTGGCGACAGCTCTGGTAAATGTGATTTCATTGCCGCAGCTGGAAGTTGCGGCAGCAGCATGTCCTTGCTGGACTTCCTCGAGTGCGGCTTTGTTGAGAATGGGCTGGTATCGCCACTAGCTCCAGGACTACCAGAGCCACTGAGTGGTGATTGCACTCCATCGACCGGGCCATCTACCCAGCTCGCCCTCCGGCTAACTGAATCGCCAGTCTCATCGCCTCCTCGAAAACCCACACGCTTCTTGCCCTTGGCGCCATCGGCTTTGTTCGTGGGGGTCCCACCTCCTTCGGCACTGGTCAAAACGGAACTGCTTCCGGGGGTGTACTTTGGCGAATCCTGGACTTGCGCATCGGTGAACGGGTTCGCATACTCTTCGGCCGGAGTAATGACAGGCGTAGACATGACCTCGTCAAATGGACCCAAGCGACGTGTAAACGAAAGATACCCAGACCGTGGCAGCCGAATCCGGTACGCTGGCTCGGTCAGGGAACAAAGAGATATGCTGCAGAGTAATATATATCAATGCAGGAGCATGGATGTCGGTTTGCTGCGGAAGGAGCCAGAATAGCGTGGCGACCGAGCGGCGGATGCTGTCTGTGAGATGGGTAGGTGTAGAGATTGTTGGGCTGCTACCGCGAAACAGCCGTGGAAAGTTTTCTTTTCCGTGTGATCGGGATGCACGACTTTTGATTGCAAGCAAGGAAGGAATAGGTCAGAGAATCAGAAAAAGGAAACAGCGGAATCTACGAAGAAAAGCAAAGGCGAGGAACGTATGCAGGCAGTCCGATTGCCTCTCGACACTTGCGCACGTTATCCCACCTTACACATCTCCCCAGAAATGCGGTGGGCCTCTGATAACAGTCTACTGAAGAAGACCCACGGACCGGGCGTGCGTATCGTGTGAGAGGCGAGCGAGCCATGAAGATTCACGGCGCTGTCTCGGTCCTGTTGGTGCATGGTCCAGCAAAGGAAATGCGGCCAAGCCGGATCACTGGACAGGAACGAGCAGAGGCCATGCTCCACGACACACCGAATCGCCAACATATGCAGCGATCAGTGTTGAGTGCCAGTGGGACCTTTGTACTGGAGTGGAGAAGAAATTTTGATGGCGTGGTCTACTTTGAGGTCGAAGGTTTTCAACACGCGGACCGCGCGGTGTCTACTCGAAATTCCCGCAAATACCTAACTTAGTACTTCCACGCTGCACAGGATTAGATCATGCCGCGAGCAAGAGAATGCGATCGTGCTTGCAGTTCACATTATTCTGCTGTTCACTTCATACATGTTGCTACGATCAAATGCCAAGTAGGCATCTGTTCACTTGGAATCATTCAACAGTCTCCGTGATGCGGAAACGCAAAGCGGCATATCCGTCCTGCATCAAGACGCGCTCTCTTTGGGTACAATTGATGATGCAGAAAGGGTCTCTTGATAGCTGTCACAGTGTGGTTCACTTCAACCGCTAGTCGTTGATCAACATCTTCTAGCGTCGATCAGTCCGCAAACATGAGCCACTCCGCCAGGCACCACGCCTCACACCACTGCATCACAAGCAAAGTATATGCGTTGACGGGATCCAGCCTCCAAATCATCCCATTCCCCTCGTAGTAATAATGACCAATCCGCGGCCTCGATCCTCTAATAGCGTTTCTCAGATCCATACCCACTATCCTTAGCACTCTCATTTTCATCGTCGTCAAAATCAATGTCAAACTCGTTCTCATCACACTTTTCCTTCTCGGAATCGGCAAAATCGTCCCCGCCGCTCCAGCTTTTCTGCTCAGCTGAGCGAGTATTCCATCGCAGAGTCTCGGAGATGCTCGAAAACCACTCCAACGGCTGGCCCATCACTGTGGGGAATGGGTACTGGGATGCGCGGACGACCACCTCGTCACCACGCCCGAGCTCGACGCGTCCTTTGCCTACGGAATTGTCATGTTAGCAAAGTTCGTGTACGATTTTAAAGTTCAAGCGATCTAATGCCACGCTTGCAGGACCGTCTCTGACTTAACTCACCATCGAACGAWACAAATGCAGTTCCTCTACCAGTGTCCGGAATCGCAACCTTCAAAGCCATGTCGTCATTTAAAAGCATTGGACGGAAGGACAAAGTGTGGGGACAGATAGGGGTTAAAAGTATTGCGGGAATGTCGGGGTGAACAAGGCTCCCTCCCGCGGATAGTGAGTAGGCAGTGCTGCCCGTCGGAGTGCTGAGAATGATACCGTCTGCCGAGATCCTGGTGAGTAAGCTGTCGTTTGCGTAGAGGTCCAAAGATGAGATGTAAGAACTTGGGCCGCGGTCAATAACCAGCTCGTTCAGCACCTCATGGGTCTCGCCTTCGATCTTGCTTCCACTACCACGCTCGTTTATGGCCCTGGATTGACCATCGGTTTGGGCTGCCGCAGATCGATAGACTGTTGCTGTGAAGCGCATTCTGAGATTGATCCTCATGCCCTGATCTCCCATTACTGTATTCAGCTGCTCTTTATACTTTGCAAAGTCAAAGTTGGTAAGAAAACCGAGTGAACCAAGAGAAAATGCAAGGACGGGCGGCACAATGCGTTGAAACAACCAAGATGTAAACAATACTGTGCCGTCTCCGCCCAGTGTCACCACGAGATCGAAGAGCTCAGGACGATCCAGACACAGAGTGGGGGTCCAAAAGCCCWGCATGTCACGATATCGTTCGTTTTGTGCCAGCAAGGAATCGACGTCAAAGCGCTTCGAGTTCCGTAACTTGGAGTCTACCCATACGTTGACTCCGACGTCTCTTCCATAACGGGGTGTTCCCAAGAGGAATTCGCAGAGCTCGCGAGTGCGGGAAGTCAATGTGTTGTCCCGTGCCTTGGTGACGATGAGAACACTCTTGACAGCCTTCTTCAACGGCCGTCGTTGCAGCTTTCGAGAGACTTCACGCACACTTGCGGCCGTCTGCATGAGCCTAGAATGTGAGATCTGATCATCTGCTTGAATCTCCTCAATCACGCGTTCAATGTCGACGGCCTGAGAGAACCTTTTGTGGAAGTAGCACGGGCTCGTCAGTGCGGCCAGTCTTGCGATTGAGGGCGTATCCGTCCGCATGTCGAATTGAGACTGCGCAGCGCTGGTGTCTTTTGGCTCTTTTGACCGACGATCTTCCAACTCCAACTCAGCTACGGCTTGTGTCAGCCGCACCTGCGGTGTAGGCATGGGAACTTGAGCAGCGCCAGTGGAGAAGCGTCGAGGTGCCTGTTCGTTGTCCATGGTCGGGAATCCGTTGGATCGATCAAAGGAATCGCGCCGGATGGGCGTACGAGCCATGACCTCTGCTATGGCAGATCTGCCGCGACCGTAGCTTCGTGGCGTTCCCGGGCACGAGGGAGGCTGGGACATGTTGGGACGGCGGTTTTGGTGGTGGTGGAGAGGGTGGGAGTTTAGGCGGCGGTGTGAGCGCTGCGGGCGGTCCTACTACCCTACTCTACTCCGGAACAATATGATCAACGCCATGCGATGGTGCGAAAAGGATGTTGACATTGCGTAGGGACAGTGCATGGCCGCGATGTTGTCGGCAGTTCGCTCTATTTGATTACGAAGTCGGGCCCTGCGACTGCTGTCGTCGGCCCGGACGATGAGTTATCGCAAAATGCGCCGATCAAGCCGGCGGCCATCCTTCYGTTACACATTTCTTCCCTCCTCTATGCCCCGTTACACGAAGTAGGTACTGAATAACTCCGCGACATTGAGGCTTCATATCCAGAGCAACGGCCATTCCCCATGGAACACCCGTCGCCCTGACGACTTGAAGGACGCTGCAGAGGTAGAAGTGATCTTGGCCCAAGTTACTTCTCCCACAGCAGCACGATTGGAAWTTTCACCACAGCAACAACTCTTGTACATAAATAAACATGGAAGGGCTTGACTCATGCCGGCATGGAAATTCACGTCCTCCGAAAGGTTCTACATCATAGAAGGTAGATCGAGCATCACCTCCCACTCTCAAGGTCCAACCAAGCATGTTGGGGCCACGCTGATGCAGTGAGGAATGGCCATGTCCTCGTCGCCATGACCGAGATAACTTTCCTTCCTTCCTTACCTTATTATGTCTATTCCACGTTTGCGCTAGAGGAAAACGAATGCTTCCGGACATGAGTGCTGCCATGGAAGGAGCGACTTGCTTCCATCAGAGCAGGAACGTCCAGTTGGAAAGACCATTCAATGTCATCAGATGTTTCTTTAAAGTAGGTACTTCCTGCTCGGCACAATACTCGCAAGACAAGAAATTGTTACGCCACCGGCAACATCATAGTTCATCATCGTTTGCATATCGCGGAATACACACTCCATCTTCAATYATGCCCGTAGGATCACAAAGGTCCTGGCCATCATGGGTCCCGTATGGACAAACCCCTCAACCACAGCCCCAGTTTCTACGGGAGACGTGCTGATTTGATTCTCTCTAGATTTGGCGGCATGCCAGCCCCGACGCGCGAGATTGTCGAGAAGCTGGAAGCCAAAGCGAAAAATAATCGGAATGCAGAACAGCAGAAGGACAGAGTCTACGTCAGCATGTGTGAGATTATGCAAGGTCTTTGCATCAATTTCGATTTCGTCAAGGAAACGCTTCGCCCGTTGGCCGAGCAATTCCTACGGCAGCGCTCCCATCTGGTGACCAAATGTGATACCCGGCATGGCTGGGACCCTATCGCAACCACTTTTGCTGGCGATTGCTTGCGAATTTGGGAGCTCTATAGCGCTCAGGCTGGCCCCGCCCATAAAGACTTCTGGCATGCAGTGGTCGCCGAACCTAGGACAAAATTCTTGCTTGCATCGTATTCAGCAGCCGATATCCAAGCCGGAGAAGTCAAGAACCCCTTCGCAGACAAACGCATGCCACAGCCACACGAGACACCACATTGCAACTATCCAGCCATGGGGGCGACCATGTTCCCGGTACCGCTCGATGTGCGCAAGCAGCTTCTTCTTGAGTTCCTGATCCATACTGCCACCAAGACGAAAAGGTCAAGAAGAAGGAGATCGGGGGCCCACGTCGTGCTGCACAGGCCGAAAGGTCCGAGCAAGGCAAAAGCCTCGGAGGAGCCGACACGGTCGCGCACTGAGACTCACATTGCACTTTCTCACTGTCCACAAGGTCAACCAGAGGAAGACGATCCTCCACCTTACTTGGTTCCATTCGTTGTCTTGATGKGCGAGCGCGCTGAAGTGGAGAAGCTCACGATCGCGGGAGTCCATGAACAAATCGTCAAAGCAGGATAGTACCACTTGACTACAGAGTACTGGCTCCGGTACATCAGGGGGTCCGATAAAGGAGTTTTCCCCATCCAAAGCGATGAAGAACTGCAAAAGGCTTTCAAACTTTCGGAGGCTTATAGTGGTGGTGGCGTGGACTATTCCTTCGAATTGGAAGTCGTACCAGATGACTGTACGAATGATATTTTCGCTGGAGTTCCATTGTAGGCGAGTGGTGCAATGGCGCACTGTACTTCCTGGCAGACATTCGCTTACGAATACTTCGTTGTGCATGAGCAACACAACTCGTCGACTACATGGTGCCGAGGAATGGAGAGTCCGTAGCTGTAAACACAAATTGGCACTAGCAGATTCGAAACGTGCCTACAGAGAGTACAGATCGCAACGTCATTGTTGTAAAACATCCTACCACGCCGGAAGATCTCTCAGTTGATCTGCCTCGTGTCAATTCTCCGCCTTGCATCGCCTTGAGCTGTCTCGCGAGACCAATTTGACCAGTAGGAACTACGAATGCTCGACTATAGAATGTCGTTGCGAGTCAGATTGGGAGGGAAACCTTTCGGCGTGGAATGGTGATGTAGCACAAGGACAGCGCCTTTGTTCATTTCGACATCGTTCTCAGCCCACAGACTCTTATCCGGGCTGAATGCGCATGCTAACTGACAGTGGTGGCATAGAAATTACATGGAGCAAACACATGGCCCCGACTCCGACAACTAACGTGCATATATATACACATGCCTTTCGTCTTAGATTCGTCACATTTCCCCCAAAGTCCATGACCTTCACGACAAGGAACGCTCACTGCCAGTAATCATCTCCCTGCGAGATAATTACAAAGCGATCCCCGTGRATGCTTTCCCCGGCCCATTCAGCAGCCAAGTCCTCATTGCTCCCTTCATCAGTGGACAGAGATAGAGTGCTGGCTGCAGGCCCGCTACTACCACTGGTGTTTGTTTCAGTCTGACATAATGTCCAGAGATCTGGGTTGTTCCAGGAATTCGAAGAGTCGGTGATTAGTGTCTCTACGATGCTGGGTTGCAGTTCCATTGAAGGCACTTTCAAAGATTCCACAGCAGGACCGCCGTAGCAAGCATCGAAGATGTTCGTGTCGCCGTTGTCAAGGTTTCCTAGCAGTTTCTCCCAATCAGTCGGACCAGGCTCGGTTTTGATTGGTCCTATTCTTGGAGGATGCGAGTATGTTTGTGTGCTCTCGGGATCGTTGCCGAAGGATAAGTAATCGAGGTTAGGATGCTTCTGTGGAACGAGACGTGACTTGGGCTTCAACCGCGGGGGTGGAGCTGAAGGCCTGATGTTGGTCGCAGAGGATACGGGCCGGCTGTACATGTCGACGGGACTACGCGCTGGTTCGGAGCGTGAGACTGCAATGTTTGATGAAGGCTGCAGGCATGGTTGGCTCTGGGTTTGTGGACTATGTGGATGCAGGCTGATGGTGGGCAGGGTCGCTCGTCTGCTTGCGTCTACGGCGTCCATGTTCGGAGTCTTGACCTTGCCATTGGCGGAGAATCGAGATGCGATTGCTTTGAGCTGCTGCTTTGTCGAAGATGGGAGACTAGAATGTTGTAAAGATGAGCCGCCGTCGGAGTTGTGGCGAGACAGCGGAGGGGCTTTGACCTTCGAAGCGGAAGGAGCTTTCTGCGCAGGCATGAATGCGGTCGATACTCGTTCGAACTCTGCAGCACACGGAGCTTCTGTCTTATGAAGCATCTGTGTTGCGGATTTGATCATCTTGCTGTTGTCCTTCAAGATCTTGGAGTTCGACTCCAGATTCAGGCTTTGAAAGAGCAGGCCAAAGCCAGCCAGCACTAGAACTTCATCACGGTTCAGACAGCAAGTGAAGCTCAACGATCGCTCATCCAAAAGCTGCACAATCTGGATCATGTGTTTGCACGAACCAGCCAGTGCGATCATGGATGACGAAGATGCCCGGGCACCAATCGAGGCGCAAATCGCAGGTCTGTGGATGAGTGCACGGATGTAATGGTACGTCAAGGACAGCAGCGGAGACCGACTGCTGATCGTTCCCGTGCTCGGCTTGTCCTGTGCGAATTGTAGTCGTAGATGTGGCGGCAACGAACTGCTCCAGGCGTCCAGTTCCTCGGACAGTTCGCCAAGTTTCTTAAGAGACAGCTCGTAGGATGTTTTTGCTGGATACACCTCTTCGAGCACCTTTGCTAGGATACGACAGGCACGGAAGAGCGCGAGTSCGCTTGATATTCTGGTTGACTCGCCAGGCAGAGTGGGCTGAAAGCCGCGCTCTGTGACATACTCATCATCTGCGTCCACCGGAAATTCGCAGTTGATGTCATCGTCTTTGAGTTGCTTGGGAAGGCCCAGCGCGACTGCCGTGAAACAGTCAACGACATACAGTGTCTGCGATGTATCGTTAGTTTTACTTGATGTCCGCGGATGGTCGATGGCCCGTGTGAGTACTCACCCAAAAGACCTTCTTCCTAGTCTCGCAAGTCAACGTTCCCAAAGCGAATCGCTTCTGTGACTGATGCAATCCAAGTCGAGCCGACAAGCTAGACGACAATCCTTTGTAGGTGAGAAGTTTTGTGAGATCGCCTGATTGAACGCAAAAGATCTGTGCCAGTATCAAAGCCTGCAGGGTCGCCAAAGTGTTTTCGGACAAGATTGAATCTATAGCAGCTTTCCATTGCCTTTCGAAGCTTTCCATATCCGAGGAAGACCTTGCACCATGTGACAAAGAGGCAATACCAAACACCAAGTTGAGCTGTGCAATCTCGGCCTTGTCCACGACGGTGTCACAGTCCGTTATATATCGCCCGTAGAGTGTCAGGAACGTTGGTCGGTGCAAAACCGGAAACAGGGGTGCCCATTCTTGGAAGAAGATGTTGATCAACTGATCGGAAACCAGCCGAGGAGGAGATGAGAATATCGTTGGCGATGATGCTTCCGGTGACTCTACCGCTTTGCGGAAGCTGCTGGAAAGTAAAAGCGTGGTGTCTATTTCCTGGGCCGACCGTCCGCCTTCCTGCACTCGACTTTTGAAGGCTTCAATGAATGTACGTCCACTGGACGTCCCCGCGAAATAGGAATCGGTCCCGACATCTTCGAGAAGATATGGTGATTGCTGAACTTTGAATATGTCGTCTTTCGGTGGCGTATCAACCTTTCCATGGCTTTGCTCAACCGAAGCTACGGATGGCCGTCTTAATGAAGGCTGTATTGGGTGCGGCGATTGAGAATGTATCCTCGAGAGCATGTCAATCTTCTCATCCTTCTCATCGAGGAGATCCTTCAGCTCTCGAACTTCCAGCTCCAAACCACGGACCCTTTCTTCCAACGATTCTGTGTAACCCCTGGGGAATGCCCTCCTGCTCAGCTTGTCGCTTGTTTTGCACTCAAAGCCCACATTGGAGCATTGAGAGCAGCAAGGTCGAACTCCATCGCATCTTATTTTCTTCGACCTACACCTGTCACAAGCCTGGGCGATTCTGCTTTGCGCATTGGTGCCCACTTTGATGACCTTCATGGGAAGAATTCCCGGCATGGTGGTTGGCGGGTGCCAGCAAGCGAGCCAGCTATTGTATCGTTTGAGCTTCCCTGACTGATCTGATTGGAAGGCCTTCGCTCACATGCACTATTTGTTGATTGTGCTGTTGGCGGCACGATTCGGTATATGCCTCCAGACTAGTTCTTGTTGACATTAAAGGTCGTGGCTCACGGAAACAGTGCAATAAGCAACGAAGTGGGAGGATGAGATGGATAGTGGGGCATCATTGGTACTCCAGTTAAAGGAACGTTCCGGGGAAACAGACTCTCGACGGGGTAGCACGAGAACCAGAAAGGCTAATTCAACTCACACGATCACTTTGTGGAGCAAGCTGGGGATCAGAGAGCTGTCATTGGAGAACGTGCCGTGGGCTTCTGCAGTTTCTGCCGGCGCTGGTGAGATCGTCTTGCGCCTTGAACCTTGCTGCAACGCCGCAAGTCCCGACGCACAATCCAGTTCAAGGCGGCACGGAAAAGTGGACCATAAGACCGGTGATGAATAAATCATCATTGTTGCGCCTCGAGGTTGTCAACGAACGAAGGCGGTACAAAGGTTCCTGTTCTCCAACGATTCGCAGGACGCGAGTAAACGCAGGAGTGCGGCAATGCCAATTATGAACCGCGTGGCGCCACGACTGATCCGAGTGTTATCCGAAATACTAGTCACAGCCTCGTAGCCTCACATGCCGAMCCGACGATGAGAAGGCTCCTCATTGTTGACATTTTCTTTATTCGACCCCAACAATCTGGTAGCAATTTGTGGTGGTGCACTGCATGCGAAGATGCAGCTCGCTTTGCAGGCTGCCATGCATCAAACGCCGTGATTCTGCTATGTGCGCTCGCACATGGCTCGATGATGACCGCGTTGCAATCAAATGCCAACATAGGGAAGCCTTGTTGGATAGTCGGGAGCAACGAGCTGGCGGGGTGTTGCCTTGAACCTGTCGAAGATGTGCAGGGAGCACCCAGAGCAACGGAGCGGGGTCGATAGCTTCAGGCAATCGTCATTCTCCCGCAAGATACGTCTGCACCACAGCGGAATCTGCGAGTGCAAGTTTCTTGATTGGCATATTAGCATCAGAATAGGGCTCGATATTTGCGACTTGATAGGCCTGTACAGTAGCCTGCAGGTGGCCGATGGCGTATGCGGGCAGCGCAGGGATAGGTCAACTTACCTGCATCTCCAAACCATCGTACGCTTTACCCAAGAGCTCGAACTCTAGCCGTCTTAGCTGCATCGCTAGATTGTACTGTTGTTCTTTGATCGCCGTCTCGTCACCGTACAGTATACCCTCGAGATCTTCCTGCGTACTGTGCAGTACTTGCATCTGATCAAACACCCGTTGCTGGAGGATGACCACCGCCCGCAGTCTGAACACTTCCCATAAGGAACTTTGTGCGAGCAACTGCCGGAGGTTGGTGGCGTTCTTCACAATCTCGCCACCAAATGTGGCTTCCACTTCGTCATCCTGGCCATCTATTGTCCTGGCCAAACGGAATTCAAGACCATCTTCGCGACCCACACAGAGCAGCCAGATGAAATCTCCTGTCCAATCGAAGCCATCGTTGGTGTCGGCAGAGTGATGACCGTGTGTTTTGTCTGAATTGATGGCAGAGTCCTCACAAGGGTCAATTCCTAGAACGCCGCGCCTCGAAGATGTATCGATAATCTTGAAGCCTGGTGCGCATCCAGCAATGCTCATCTTCCCTGCATTGAGGATGTCGTCTTCCGGGATCGTCAGACTCAAGAATAAGGTCTCCGCCGACTCCATGTGTTCATCTATGAAGCCATATGAGAATAGCATTTCACATGCTCCCTTCTCGTCACCATACGTAATGGTAATTTCCTCGCCTTGTTTAAGCTCTTTGCCTTCCATTAGCATCAGGACATAAGACCTAAGCAAACCAGATCATCAATGTATTGCTCAATACGGGAGATTTTAGTGTACGCACCCGTCCCGTCGATCGTAGAATGTGTTGGTGGCGTCGCCAGCAGCATGGCTTGAGAGGTCGATGCCCGGGATCATGCACTGGCCGTGAAAGTCTAGAGCACGAGAGCGGAACATTGCATCTACGTGCATCCAGTCTTCGAGATCAATAAATGATTGCACCATTCGGAACCAACGAGTGTTTGCTGCGGATGAGCAGAGTATGTCATACTCCCGACGAAGACTCCGCACCTTCGACGATACAGCAGGTGCGAGTGTGGTTCCAGTCAACAACTGAAGTTCCTCAGCGGCCCAGAACGTGGGCAACCGCTCGCAAGGCAATGTCTTGACGTAGCTACGAGCTTGAATTAGGATGGATAATTGGGCATTGTTTGACGGAGCGCAGAGGGATCCCAATGATGTTGACATACTCGGTGAATGGAGAATGGACGCCGACCTTGTGCGCAAGATCTGGACAAGAAATGGTGGCTTGGAAGAGGAGAAAGGAAAGGATTGCCATGCGAGGAGACTACCCAAGACATCAGCCTCGTACTACATCTTGGTAGCAAGCTCGAACTCGCAGCAGAGACATGCGCAACGTTGACAGCATGGTCTCAGCGAATTGAATTGAAGTGCAGCATCCGGACGGCAGAAGCACATCGAGCATCTCATCCGCTCTACGACGTCTCTTTGCGTTGAGAGTTGTTCTTGATGAAACAAGACCCACTTTGACTGCAATTTTGTGGCGTCTGATTCGCTGCCATCGCGCGAGCGTAAGATGCTTGAAAGCATTCGCAGCTGGAGCAGAATGAGGAACACAAGTCCGTCAACCGCGAATCTGCTCGCCGGTTGTGTCATAATGGAAAGAAGTGAAGGGAAACCCACAGTGGCAGAAGCTCCCAGGCTGTTGAATAGCTCGCGGAAATCGGAATCGAATTGAGCATGCTGCTTGATGGTGTCAAGTGAGAGCACGAGATCTTCGGGTACGGACAAGACCTCAACTGGAGCTTTCAGGTCGCGGCCTGCGATTAGGCCGATTCCTCGTCCAGGAATACATGCAGCAGATGCAGCGTTGAAGGACACGCCGTTTGATCTGGCCCATTCTTTGGTCTGATTGACGTCAAGATGAAGCCAGCCTTCGGCCTTGCCACGCGGGATGAGCATCTTGGTTGACGGTTGAGTGTTGATGGAAATCGAAAATAGAACGAGGAATCCAAGGTGAAGTTCAGTCCAGCCAGTCGGGGTGACTCGGGTCGACCCGCCGGGTAACGACGATTTGTTGTGGTGACCACAAACAATCAACAATCCGACCGACGCCAACTCCGCATCACCATATACCGACATTGCTTCGCACATGTTCGTGCAATAACAACGACACCGCGCTCGACACAAAACTTTGCCTCTCGCACCTCCCTCTTCTGAGCTTGCATCTTCGCTACGCCAGCAGTTGCGCAACTCCTTCCCACCTTCTCGCCGCCCTTCCCTCTTCATTGCCGCGCATTTATCTCTATCTCCTCCACGGACAGACCTTACATCTCCAGGAAGGCACCCAGAGGCGTTATGCCTCATTCATCCCGCTCGAGCCAGGCGGAGGTGCCTTCCGTGACCAGCTACGGGCAGGTGATTGAGTACATTCAGGGTATGGACATCTCGGGCCCTCCGACTGCTTGAATAACAAATCGCTAACATGGTTATCATCACGTACAAAGACCGTCTGTATCTCGCATCTTATACCCACACGCCAGACGAGAAGACCCCATTCCCATACCCAGCGCCGAAGCAGTCACGATCACCACATAAAAGGTCATCACGCGCACAGGGCGGTGCACAGAGCGTTTCTGGGGCTGTTTCTTCGCAGCCGCCTTACTACTTCTCCATCGATCGGAGCCTGTTATACAACGCCTTTCACGCGGACTTCGGCCCTCTGCACATTGGTCATCTCTACCGCTTTGCCGTGCAGCTCCATGAGGTCCTTGGACATCCCGACAACGACTCTCGGCCAGTCGTGTTCTGGAGTCATGCAGATTCGCGCAGTAGGTTTCACATGCTAGCAAAATTCGCTACATCAGAGGAAACTAACATTGCCTTACAGGTCGCGCAAATGCAGCATGTATTCTTGCAACCTACATGGTTCTAATTCAGAATTGGCCACCTCATCTTGCATTGGCCCCAATTGCTCAGATGGACCCTCCATGCATGCCCTTCCGTGATGCGGGTTACAGTCAAGCGGACTACTCTCTCACCATCCAGGATGTAGTCTACGGCGTCTGGAAAGCCAAGGAGGAGGGTCTTGTCGGGCTGAAAGAGTTCAGCCTAGAGGAGTACGAGAAATATGAGCGCGTCGACATGGGAGACTTCAACTGGATATCGCCAGACTTCCTTGCTTTCGCATCGCCACAACATCAACCAACGACTATTGTTCAGCAAAATGATCCGCTGTATGCTCAGCTTCCGCGCTCTATCGGTGCCTTGGCTCGGGACAAGAGCCTACCAACACCGTTCAAGAACGTGCTTGCTCACTTTGCCGAACGAGGGATTGGCTTGGTCGTTCGATTGAATTCAGAGCTTTATTCACCAAGCTACTTCACAGCGATGGGAATCAAGCACCTGGACATGATCTTTGATGATGGGACGTGCCCTCCGCTCACACTCGTTCGCAAATTTGTCAACCTGGCGCACAGTACGATCAATGACAAGCACAAGGGAATTGCTGTCCACTGCAAGGCAGGACTTGGACGCACCGGTTGTCTCATCGGCGCATATCTGATCTATCGTCACGGTTTCACCGCCAACGAGGTCATTGCATTCATGCGGTTCATGCGCCCTGGAATGGTCGTCGGGCCACAACAGCACTGGTTGCAWCTCAACCAGGGTACATTCCGCGAGTGGTGGTTTGAGGACACCATGAGGGAGAAGATTTTGGCATCAATGCCGCCCGCCACACCCACAAGATTACAGTACTCGAGCAGCAGGCGGCTTGCGAGCAACGGTCAGACTTTCACGCCGCCAAACGCGGACCGACATGCAAGCAGCCCGAGGCGAGCGCTGGGAGAGATTACCAACAATGAAGCTGCGTCGAATCCAGGACACAGCTCAACTGAGGACTTGAAGAACAGTTTGGGCGTGGCAGACGAAAATCTTCCAGCGCCAACTCCAGGACAACCACGAAAGACCAACAAAATCTATGGCGGGCGACGCGTGATGACGGAGAACCAGCCCTTCGACATCAAGCCGGACAGTGAGATTGTCAGCATCCAGAGGTCGAAAGTCAGCGTGGATCCAAATGAGAGCGAGGAAGAGTATGCTCTCCGCATGCTTTCACGGAAAGCCAGCCAGTCTCCTATCAGCCGGAGCGGCAAGCGCCGAGCAGTATCTTGCACCACCACAACCACGACAACGACGAAGTGGGATGTTCCGGCCGATGGTAGTGACGCCGAGAATCGTCCAGCTATTGCGGAAGAACTAGGCCTGCCCGCCAACGACAGGATGGCCAGCCCGACCAGACCGAAGACCCCAGGTGCGAGAAGTGGCAGTGGTGTTGGGACACTAAGCGTTGGCAAACGCTCCTCACCGAGTCGCCGGAGCACCGAGGGCAAGACGAGTGTGCGAAAGACTAGCGGGCGGGTTGGCAGCGCTGGTGGCCCTCAAGGACTGCGGGCACAGAAGAGCTCCTAGGCCATTATTCGTTGGCTTTGTTGATGATGTCGCTTTTTCGTGTCAGTAACCAGGTGGCAAGGCGCTGGGTGGTTGGATTTCTTTAAAATCATGGGTCACGGCTTTTTCGTATGCTCTGGTCGCGGTCACGACTCTGGATCTGATGATGGCTCCTTTTCGCCTATACATAGCGGTGTTTTCGCGATGTGCATTAGCATTATCAGCGATCTTTTCAATGACACTATTCATGAAACGCACCCTCAAAGAACATTTAGTGCTCGCCGTTATGTATGTGCTCTCACCGTTCGCAGAACTCAGTCGTTGTCTCCTTGCCCCGTGGGGTCTTCTTGTACAATGCCTGACCTGTACTATATAGGAGCGCTTACTAAGGCCAGCTGTCYCGACGGCCAGTATCCAGGGCATCCCAGCTAGAAATGGACAAACTCCAACACATTGAACAATCGTCTGACGTTGATCTCGACAACATGGCAGACGAGGACAAGGAAAAAGCGGAGAAGCTGGCAGCAGCTAAGAAGCGTGCAAGTAGCATCCACCTGCTATCCACTTGGCCGTGCTAACACGCCAGCGATAGTACGAGCAACTGAAGAAGGAACCTGCGAAGAAGGGCAAGAAAGGCACGAAGAAGAAGGAGAGCAAATCAAACGATTCCAAGACAGAGGAGGGCGGAGAGGATGGCGCCGAAGCGGGCGTCTCCACGACAGATGCGCCAAATGAGGCAGAGACAGACGATGCGCCGGCCGTAGAAGAGGAAGCTGACGCTGAGAAAGCTGCTGAGACACCGGCATCTACATCACAGCAGTCAAAAGAGCGTTCGGAATCCTTCAGACAAGGAAATGGTCCTCAAGCAGAAGTGCAAGAGCTGTACCGCAAACAGGCCGCTAAGATTGAGGATCTGGAAGCGGAAAACAAGAAGCTCAAGGACGAAGGGGAACAAAATGCCACGCGACTGTCCAGTGCTGAAGAGGAGCTCGAGAGCTTGCGTGAGGGTAGCAGCGACGTGGCTGAATTGCGCACAAAGGCGAAGGAGGCGGACCGGCTCAGCACTGAGCTGGCGTCTGTCCAACGACAGCTGGCGCAAGCACAGCAGGCTACAAAAGGACCCACGCGTCGACAGTCGAGTACCAGCCCGGATGTCAGCGAGCAGGTTGCGAGCAAAACTGCCACCATTGAATCYCTGGAGCTGGACATTAGCAAATTGCGCAATCAAATTACTGAACTGCAAGCCACAATTGCAGAGCGAGAGGCTTCTTCAAAAGCATTGAACGATCGTGCGGAGGCAGCTGAAGCATCTACCGAAGCTGTCAAGCAAGAATTGGACGCCCTGAAGGTATCCATTGCTTTCCCCAGCAGCGAAACACAAGCAGCGAACGAGGACCCAGCGGCTCTCACTAAGCGTATCACCGTGTTGGAGTCCGATCTTCGCACTGCAACCACCAATCTCGATGCTGCGGCTGCAAAAGCCTCAAGTCTAGAGCAAAAGATTGAGGCCCTCACAAAGCTGCACCGCGATGCAACTGCCATTTCCCAAACCAAAGACAAAGAGCTCGGCGATCTACGCTCCCAGCTCAAACGTCGCGACAGACCCTCCCACGTTCGAGATGCCTCTGACTTCGAGCTCGGAGAAGAGGAGACTGAATCAGGTGAGCTGCAAGCACGCCTTCGCGCTCTGGAAGCAGAGAACTTTGACCTCCGCCGCGGAGTTTGGCGGGATAAGCGTGCTGAAATGCAAACTGGCATGGACGACGATGGCACAAGACAAGACTACGAGGACGTTGATCTGAATGGTCCCTACACTCCATATGGCAAACGAGGCAGTCTTCYCAGACAAACGAGCACTTTCCAAGATGTCATCACGTCTGGCATCAATGCTTTTACCGGTCGGCCGAGGGAGGGTACGACTACTGGACGTGATAGAGCTGCTTCAGAAGGTCTCCTTAGTGAGGATGGCTTTGATGAAGAGGCTTTTAGATTGGCGCAGGAGGAGGAGGCGGCGCGCCGTGTTGAGAGGATCAAAGAGGTCAAGAGGGGTTTGGAGCAATGGAGAGGTTGGCGGGTTGATGTGGCGGATATGAGAAGGTCTGGGTTGGGTAACGGCAGAGAGACTGGTCCTGTATTCGAGGTGTAAAACTTGTCTACGCGAATTTCGAAGCTTCAGACTTCAGCACACGTTAATGAACATGAAGCCCAATGTTTTATGACGGTATGGTTCTTCATTGCCGACACTCGAATCTCAAGTTAAATCTCCCACAACTTGACACAATGGAGAGAGCGTTCCGTGGAGCATAAACACGTGATTTGATTTCATCTATAAAGTTTCATTACGCCCGTCATGGTATCTCGGTACGCATTCGCTTAGATCAGCTGCTCGAACGCACGGTTAAGTGGCGAGCGAAGAGGCTTGACGTCCTTGTAGAACTCGATGGTGGCAGCAGCGCGCTTGGCGATGCCTTCTGGGGTGAACTCGAATTTCTAGAACATGTTAGCAGATGCTTCACGCACAGTACTGTCGAATGGGATACACATACCGCGTAGACCTCCTTGTATGGGCCAGAGGCACCGAATCGGTTCAAGCCGAACTGCTCGTGAGAGTATTTCTCCCAGCCCATGGTGGACATGACCTCAATGCTGAGCGATGGGATGCCATCTGGGATGACCGAGAGCTTGTAGTCCTTTGGCTGAGCGTCGAACACCTCCCAGCAAGGAAGCGAGACGACACGAGYAGCGACGCTCTTGTTGTCCTTGAGGAACTTGGCGGCCTCCAGGGCCAGGGAAACCTCGGATCCAGTAGCGACAAGAGTGATCTGGGCGGACTTGTCCTCGAGAGCGACGTAACCACCCTTGATACCGTTCTCGATGGTAGAGTTCTCGAGTTGTGGCAGGTTCTGACGAGTCAAGGCGAGGAGAGATGGGGTGCCAGTGGATGTGAGGGCAACGTAGTACGCCGCGGAGCACTCGTTACCGTCGGCTGGGCGCCAGACCATCATGTTTGGCAGAGCACGGAAGTGAGCAAGAGTCTCGATAGGCTGGTGGGTCGGGCCGTCCTCACCAAGACCAATGGAGTCGTGAGTCGCGATGTAGATGACACGCTGGTGTGAGAGAGCCGAGAGACGGACAGATCCGGCGGCGTATGAGACGAAGTTCAAGAAGGTACCTCCAGCGGGGATGATGGTGCCGTAGGCGGAGAGACCGTTCATGATACCGGCCATGGCGTGCTCACGCACACCGTAACGCAAGTAACGGCCGCTCCACTCACCGATTCCGAGGCTTGGTGGCTGGAAGTCGACGGCCTTCTTCCATCGGGTGTTGTTTGAGCCAGTCAAATCAGCAGAGCCGGAAAGAAGCTCAGGAACGTGCTCGTAGATGGCCTCAAGAACGCTCTCAGAAAGCTTACGCGAAGCAATGGCCGAGTCAGATGGCTTGTAGACCGGGAGCTTTGTCTGCCAGCCCTCGGGGAGCTTTTTGGTCAGACGACGCTTAAGGTCGGCGCCCAGCTCCTTGTGCTCGCTCTGGTACTTCTCAAACAGCTGGTTCCACTCCTGCTCAGCAGCAGCACCTTCAGCAGCGTGCTTGCCGTACATGTCGTACACCTCTTGAGGGACAGCAAAGGTCTTTGTTGGGTCGAAACCGAACTTCTCCTTGACCTGCTTGACGTCGTCCTCCTTGAGAGGGTTTCCGTGCACGCCGCCGGTTCCCTGGAGCTTGGAGCCGAAACCAATGGTGGTGGTGAGTCTGATCATGGATGGCTTGTCCGTGACGGCCTTGGCCTCAGCAATGGCCTTCTCAATTCCTTCAAGGTCGTTGTCACCGTCCTTGACCCACACGACGTGCCAGCCATATGACTCGAAACGCTTTGTCACATCCTCAGTGAAGGCACACTTGGTGTCACCGTCTGTTTCAAAATCAGTTTGCGTTGCCTTTGGAAAACATTTCCCGCCTCTCACAACTCACCAATAGAGATGTGGTTGTCATCGTAAATAGCAATCAGGTTGCCAAGCTGCAAGTGACCAGCAGTTGAAGCAGCTTCGCTGGCAATACCCTCCATGGCACAGCCATCACCAAAGAACATGTATGTGTGGTTGTTGATGAGGTCGAAGCCAGGCTTGTTGAACACACCCGCGGTGTGGGCCTGAGCAATAGCCAAACCAACGGCGTTGGCGAAACCCTGACCAAGAGGACCAGTGGTGACTTCAACACCGGGTGTGTCGTGGGCCTCAGGGTGGCCGGGTGTGATGCTGTCGACTTGGCGGAAAGCTTTGAGGTCGTCGATGGTCACCTTGTAGCCGAATAGGTGGAGAAGAGCATACTGGAGCATGCATCCGTGACCGTTGGAGAGCACGAAGCGATCTCTGTTCAGCCAGTCGGGGTTCTTGGGGTTGAAGGTCATGAATTTGTTGAAAAGAACGTGGGCCACGGRTGCCATGCCCATTGGGGCACCTATGAATGATCAGCTGTGTTCATTTTGCTTCGCAACGTTTGAAGAAGACGAACCTGGGTGGCCACTGTTCGCCTTGAAAGTGGCATCGACCTGCGAGTGAAGTGATATTAGCTCTGCTGCTGCTTCCATGTGGCATGCGGTGAGGCGAGGTGGGGTGACGGGAAGAGGCATTGCAGCAGTGGCAGACATACCGCGAGGGTTCTGATGGTGTTGATGGCCAACTCGTCCGTCTTGGTGTATCCCATGATGAAAGTGTTGTTTGGGGGGGTTGTTGGTGAAGGAGAGGAAGATAGATGTGATCTCAATCGCAACGATACAGATTTCTCAACCACACTGCGTCAGCGTCACAGGTAAGTGGGGCAGGGGACAAGGACACACACTTTCGGCGCCTTCGAGGCGACGATTCTCCGACTGTCCCGCCATCACGTGGGACCGCAATTTAGCCGTTGCCGTGCAACGAGACACGCCCCATCAATTTTTCAATGGAAACTGTCGACCACAGCCATCCTAAAGGCTCAAATGAGGCAATTCAGATTGGATACCTGACCATTGAAATTATTGAAATGGTGCTTCGGGACTTTTCCCGGCAAGATTCTCCGGATCTGCGTTATATTTATCCTAATGAGCAAACTTCATTCGCCGAGCAAACACGTGCTTGCGGAAACACACGTGTCTGAAGGATGAGTTACTCTATTCGAGATCAATGTCTTCGTCTCATAACATCATCATCATACTTCGTGAAAGATATATGTACAACACTCTGAAAATCTACCGCTCGAAAAAGTGGGCGTTCTTCGGCGTGGCAACCGAAACCGACAGATATAGATCTCCTCCCATCCTCCTAGGAGTCAGCTTTGGCTCCCAGAGCGGGCTTTTCAACGGCTCCTGAGAGGGCAAAGGCCAGTTCCCAGGGCTCTGATTACGTGCGCCGTTCCCATATCCTCTCGGAGGCTGGCGACGATCCTGCGGAGGGGTTCCAGATGGCGTGATACGTAGGCCTTTCTCAAGACTGTGGGCAGCATGATGACCAACCCGCTTCGCCGCCAGAGTTGAACCGCTGAGTGATGGACTGTGTGCGTTCATCCTACGGTCAGCTGGTGTGACKGGGTCATTGTCTCCGTGATTCCTACGCTGCACGACGATGGGAGCCGGCCACAGTTGATCTTTGTGCCTGTATTGTGGTTGAGGAGGTGATCTGGGAACCGTCTGGTTGCTACCCCTCGGAATCTTGGGGTATCTGATGCTTGCGATGGGAGATTCTGCCACTGGTGTGAGTCGCTTGTCACCTTCATCCGCTTCACCAGGCGGAGTAGGCTCGTCTGGATCTGTGCTTTCAAACGACGTTCGTCGTGACATGTCCGAAGCCATCGACGTCCGCACGGCTACTGGCGGAAAGGTGGGCTTGGTAATCACAATGGCTGCCGGAGCAGCTCTTCGGACCTGCGAATGCTCGTCTATGGGTGTATAAGGATAGAAATCCTCGGGCGAACCACTGTCTGGGCCTTCGTAATAGTTCAAGAAGCTATTCGTGCTGGAAGCAGCTTGTGGAGTCTCGTAGAATGGTCTTGATGTGGATGCGAATGTGTTTTCTCGAGGATTTGGGAACTTTGTAACAGCCTCTATCGCACCGGATCGCGTTGCCTGTCGAGGTATTTCCAAGGACAGCGATGGCTGCAGTGCCGCTTCTGGAGGTTTGGTGAATTGATGAGCGTATTGTGGCTGTCGTGGATTCTTTGGAAGRCTGGGAATGGGGCGTTGTACTATGGAGCACCTATCTTCCTCAAAGATCGTCGCTGGAGTTTGCACCGTCACTGGCTCTGCTAACGTTCTTTGGGGCTGTGGGTGGATTCTAGATGGTTTCTCTGGTAGAAGACGCGAGACGGTTCTGATGCTGCTGCTGCTTCGAAGACTGTCCCGTGACATGGACTTCCTTGGGGCGGTTGCTTTCTCGCGACTCTCATAATGCTGAGATTGCCATGGCTCTCCGCCCGTCTCATAAGTGGGTATCTCTTGGGGCGCTTCAGCGGTGTCATGATGATGTCTGGAGTCAGGAAATGTGAACCAGGATTTGTGTGGCGTCTTGTCGTCTGCGAACCCATCCCAATGCTTAAGGTCTTCGGGCTCGGAAGATTTGCGACGTCGTCTGACGCAAGCCATAATGTATGCGAAGGCGATTGCAAGCACAACGAATCCGACCGCCGCTATTGATATGCCAATGACCTGAGCACTCGTGAGACCATTTGTTGAGGCATCGCTAGAACTTGAGCTTGATGCTGCAACGGACGAGGACGTCGATTTCGGTTGCTGCGTTGAATGTCCTACATTGGGTTGGATGCTTGCGCTAGTCGTCGTTGCAGATGGAGATTCCGTTGAGATTGTACGTGTCGAGCTGGATTGCGTGGTTGCGGGTGGGCTGAGGACTGTGTGGGTTGCCTGAGCAGCATTGCTCTGTCCTGAGCAGATGCCGAAAACTGCCTGTTGCTCTTCTTCTTGTCGGCTTGCTGGGCCACAACCGCTGGTTTGGAGGCAAATGAGGCCGAGCTCTCCCAGGGTCAAGCCATATGAGCTGTAACTCGAGCACAAGCAGGAGAGGTCGCCATTCGAGCAAGCACTGGTATCCTCGTACCCTTGAGATATGTATGTTGAAAGACAAGAATGTGCGCATGATGGTACCACGCTCTGCAGCTCTTGGGGAAGCGTGGGAACCGTTGTAGAGGATTGGCGAGAGAACTTCCGAGAGGGCATTGTGAGAGGTCATAAAATATTAAGAGAACACTTATAGTATTAGAGCTGACCAGCAGCAAAGAACAGAATACAAGGAAAGGAAAGAAGCACGACTGCAAAAGATGCTATGACATTGGTGTAGTTGAAGATTGTCTTCATGAGAAAGGTGACTGACAAACAGTATATCGTGGATCTCACCGCTGTATTGTTGGCGCCTTTGCCGTCGTCATCGTTAGAGCTGTTCGTCGTCTACGCGCTGGCGGCGCGTACATGTATCGACGTGCAAGCGGATGTATGGCTTGAAGTCTGAGTGGTAAAAAGAAGGGCGCCTAAATGGGGCCCGTGCACATCGTATTCCACATTCATCTTTACTCCGAAGTAACATGCCAACAAAGCACCACATGAACCCTGGTGACGCCCCGCATGCGAAGGGTATCATGCATGAGGTATCTGAAAATAACGCCCGCCATATGCCCGTAGTCCCACGCTTGAAAACATCGCAAACAAGGCTCTCGGCTTGCCAATCAACCAAATGGGGCACTCTCTTGCAAGTCTTCGACAAGCTCAGCTACATTGCTGAGGTATTCTCCCAGCAGCATCTGCTTTTCGTCTGTGGTTCTCGTGTCTGGGTTTACCTCGTCGACTTCCATGTCTCCGGCATGTGTCCTGGATATTTCTGCTCGAATGTCGTGCTTGTCGGGATTTCTCTGCAGCACTGCAGTATTGGGTGCACTCGTGCTTTCAAATGGGACAACGGGAGCTTCTGGCATGAGGTAGAAGTAGAGGAACTCGAGTGAGCGCATTTTGACCTCCTTTGTAGTTGACCGGCTCTTGAACAAGCTGGTGACCGTGAGCAGCCCATCGATAGACTCGAAGGTGCGTGTATTCCGCGGACAGTCCAGTAACGCAGCCACGAGTACTAGCAGCGTTTGCGACTGCATCTTCGGTGGATTGTTCGCATCGAGGAGATCGAGTAAAAGGTTCATGTATGTGGCGCGGTCGAAGAGGCACTTGCTGGGAGGGTGCAGCAGTAATATGCCTTGGAGCAGGTCGAGTGCAGCGAGGATGAGGAGATCCGTATCGTCTGGGTTGCCCATTCCCATGAGACATTCSAGTGTCGATAGCAGGCGTGAGGCAACTGATTTAGTCGTTAGCTGACCGGCTCTCGGACTGCTTGAATGTGTTGTTCCTGACCATTCCATTGAAAGCCATTCTGGAGGCGGAAGAATTCTCGAAAGGCCGCATCTTGCTTCAGCTCTCCAAGCTGTTTCGGTCCATCTTGCTGCTTGTCGTTGAGCGCCGATGACTTCCTCTTGTGTGGTGATCGCCCCGAGGGTTTGGACAGGATGATCTGGGCCACCAGGCCTTCAATCTGCCGGATTCCTTTGCGGATCTTGGTCGAGTCGCGCGACGATATGTTGTCGAACGAGAGCGACAGCAGTGCTTCCATCGCGTCGGCTCGATGCGAGCGATCGGAAGCGCGCGATAAAGTGCAATGGAGTGGATCTCTTTCTCTACGGCCACCAATTGTGGATTGTTATGTCGGCTAATCTTAGCAAGGAAGACCCTAACAACGCCCGAGCCGCTCCCRGTCAATTCTTGTTTCGTAGGTACCTTAGGGTAAGGGTTGATGTAGCAGGCATCTCAATGTTTACATCGGACAGCGCGGCTACCATCTATTCTAAGATATGTAGAGTATACTCTCCAGTGTTTAATTGGTACTGCGGTTGTTGCGGTGTTCTGGGTGCATGTTATGACCGGAATGATCGTCCACCACATTTGAATCGATACTGTCGTTACCTGAATGGTCCAGCTTCCAACAATATACGGCACAGCGATCGTATCGCAACAACCCATATGGGCATATTTGTAGTGCATTCACTTTACTTTGAGACCGAATGAAGCACAACATGACGACAGCGAGGTCATTTCAACGCCTATCAATAGAACACACTCTCACTGCGGCTCCATCAAGACTGCCGTCCAGTCGAACTTCTCCCACTTCTTCCTGAACCCTTCCACCCTCCTATCATGCTTCTCCCATCTTCCCTGCCGCTTGATGACCTCTGGTCCCTTGTCCAACATCCCACCGATGATCTCTCGCGCGAACAAGTCTCCCTTTGGCCATCGACGCTCATCCTCAATAACATGACCCATACCGCCGTCCAGCGAATAGAAGACATGAAAGTATGGCATTTCCTTCACCATGGCTTTGCGGAAAGCCGCCTTACCATACCCTGCCCTCTGTACCAGCGCCAGAGTATCAATGATAGGCTTGTGTTGGCTCCACTGTTCATCAGACGCCAGAACGGCTTCTTTGAAGTAGGCAGGAGCATTCTCAGCCAAGTGATGAGGAAGCGGGATAGCATTGAGAGCCGCGTGACCTTTTCGGCTCGACATGAAAGCAGCATTCTCGTAAAAGATCACACTCTTATCTTGAGCGTGATAGAATCGTGTGAGTGACTTCATAAAGTTTCGGATTTCCTCCCACTCATCGTCATCGCACTCGAGGAGGTTCAGTCGGTGTTGTATGGGCGCAATAACTACCCCACCCTTTGCAATCTCAGGCTCCGTAGCGAGTGTCATGTATGTGCGAGTCGCGAGACTGACGACCGGAGCCACAGGGGGCTGACCTGACTCCTCGTGATAGCAAAGCGGGCAATTCTCTAGAACTCTCTGCATCTTCTGGAAATCTCCCACGGCAGCGTTCCGCAAATTCGTGTCAGATTTGACCACTTTCTTCGACAAGTCCGTCGCATTGTCATCCATGTAGTCCAGATCATTCTTGAACTTGCCGTCCTTGGCGATGCGCTCGGCGAATGCTCTGCCCTCGCCGCCATTCGCGCCTCTGGTTCGTTTTTCATGCTTGACCATGTCCTCAATTGACATGTCTTCATTCTCCTTGACCAAGCCACGCTCGCGACCGCGCTTGCCCGATATGGCAATCACCTCGCCGGAGCGATCCCCGGCAAGCATGCGGTTTTCCATGGTGCTGAGAACCACGACATCAGATTGCGAGGAATTCGCCAGTTTTTGGGCCAGATTGAACTCCTTCTCGAGTTCGGCGGCATTGGGAGCATTGCGAAGTTTTGCCTTCATCACCTGAGCCTTGAGCTTGTTCAAGGCCGACACATCCAACGGCGTGGTCGTAGTAGCTGGCAGGACTTCTGCCAATACCTCTGATTGGGGTCGCGAGGCATTTTCGGTTGCAGCTGCAGCATCTTGAGCACCACGTAACTTTTCGGCTGCCATCTTTCTCTCCTGGTAGAATTCGCCGGAAGGCTTCTCGAGGCCGACATAATCCTTTCCATACATCTTCCTCCTGTCTAGCTCACGCTCCTCTTCGCGAGCGTCGTCGAACTCTCGCATGTCTCCAAATCGCTCCAATGCTACATCATCAATACTCTTGCCGCTCTCCTTCGCTTGGCGATAGACCGCTTGAAGCTTTGTCATTCGCCATGAGCTACCACTGTCGCCGAACGTGTAAGTAACCTCGTGCTGAGCAGGTACATCCTTAATCTTATCGTCTGTCCCCTTTCCCTCTCCCTCTCCCTCTCCCTCCGAGTCAAAGTCGTTTTGGAGGTCCGCAAGATGGCGATTGATGTCGCTCTCCTGGACCTTGAAGTCATGGGTGTCTTTGGCACTGACAAATTGACCACGGGGCGGTGACTTGGGCTTGCGCTGTACGTAGTCCACGTCGAGCGCACCAGGTTCTTGCATCCAGGCATCACGCTGTGGGACCTGTGTGCTCTTGAGATCCTGGTCTCGCTGGTCGAGCAGGTTCTCCTGTGGCGGTGCTACGACGGATTCCTTCTCCACCCACTCGTCCCCATCATCTTCATCGCCCTTGTCGAAGACTTTTACCGGATTATCGCTCTGCGTCTCGCGGCTCCGGTGCCCACGCCCATCATCTCTCTCGCGTCTGTCCCGCCTAGGCGACCCGCTGCGATGTCTTTTGTGACGTCGCTCTCTCCGGTCATCATCATCTGTGCGGTCTCTATGGCGTTTGTGACGTCGCTCATCGTCCCGCTCCTTATCATGATGTGAACGATGGTGGTGACGGTGGTGCTTCCGCTCTTCGTCTCGGTCTCGCTGCCTATGCTCTCTTGATTCCTGTGATTTGCCTTGCGCCAGCTCTTTTTCAAAATCCTCCAATCCCATCGCGCCTGTTGTGCATCAAGTGAAGTGGGATGTCAAAGTCAGAGCTCGTCAAAAGCCAGCCCTGTGACGGCACTTCGCGCTAGCAAGATTTCGACCTCAAACTCAGATCATCACATGAAAGAAACCTTAGTTGGAACATCTTCGTTCACCCTTTGCGCAAATACCGATCACAGTCCTTGGTTACGGCTGACCGACGACTCAAAGACTGGTAGACTGCTGAGAATAGATTTCAGACACAACTTGCCCTCAAGCCAACACAGAGAAGGTTCCACTCCCTCTTGCACCTAGTGGACATGGCGTCCACCGAGGCCGCGCAGGCTCCAGTTGTTGTAGTATGCGTGGGAATGGCGGGATCTGGCAAGACGACTTTCATGCAGAGAATCAATGCCCATCTCCACGAACAACACAAGGAAAACTCATCAACTACCGCTCCACCATATGCCATCAATCTGGACCCTGCTGTTCGCTCCGTGCCATTCGATTCTAACATCGACATTCGGGATTCGGTCAACTACAAGGAAGTGATGAAGTAGGAGAAGACGCAGTCATGCTACTCAAACACGGCTTGCTTACATGTATGCAGACAGTACAACCTAGGACCGAACGGTGCTATCCTGACAAGGTAAATCCACAGCATCCAATGATCACGAGATCATACTGACACTTCGAAGTCTCAACTTGTTCAGTACGAAATGTGACCAAGTTATGGGCATCTTGGAGAAGCGTTGCCTGCCACAACCACAAGAGCCATCCAAACCACTTCCAAGCCACATCATAGTCGACACGCCAGGTCAAATCGAAGTTTTCGTGTGGTCTGCCTCTGGAAACATATTGCTCTCATCTCTCGCATCGAGTTTCCCCACCGTCCTGGCCTACATAATCGACACTCCACGTACCACCGAAAACACGAGTACTTTCATGTCGAACATGCTCTACGCCATCAGCATTCTCTACAAGACCAAACTCCCCATGATTCTGGTATTTAACAAGACCGATGTCAAATCTGAAGAAGAAGCAGTCGACTGGATGCGCGACTTTGAGAAGTTCCAACAAGCAGTCCAGGACGAAGAGGAAAATCAGCGCGAGGGAGGTGGCTACATGGGTCCTTTACTCAACAGCATGTCTCTGGTGCTGGAAGAATTCTACAACCAGCTTTCGGTTGTAGGCGTTTCTTCCATGACGGGAGATGGTGTGGATGAATTCTTCGTGGCAGTCGAGGCGAAGCGAGTCGAGTTTGAGAAAGACTAMAGGCCAGAACTTGAGCGGAGGAGAGCCGACGCCGAGGAGCAGAAGAGCCAAATCCGCGAGCAGGAAGTGAGCAGGATGATGAGCGACATGAAAGTCTCTTCCAAGGCGAAGGGAACTGGCAAGTATGCCGCGCCCAAGGACGAACCGGAGACCATCAGCGATATGGAAGACGCCGAGAACGAATCGGATGAGGACTACCAGGGCGAGGCTGCGGAGAATATGAACGAGGAGACGGAAGCAAACAACACTACTTTCGAGGAAGCGCTGAAGGCTAGGTATGAAGAGGCGATGAAAGATGGTGGTGGTGCCGCTGCGGCACAAGCTGCTGMTGCCAGCTACATCAGAAATAGCCAGCGATGAAGATGACGATGCTCTGACCTCTGGGTCGGTTGACTTTTACTATTAGCGAAGGCGTATCGGAATTGGGACAAGCAGATTTCACACATCAGCGCCAAAAAACGCTCCATTGAGATGTCGAGAATATGCACAGTGGACAAACATGCTGTAGGAAACCCTGTGAGTGGATTGCTCGAGGACTTTATTGAGGGAGCAGTGTAAGGGTGGTTTCTTGTCTGGGCCGTTTCGAGCTTCTCACCATGTTCATTCCTCTCCATCGCCTTCCATACCAGCCCCCTCGCAACGAGCCACTCAGCCTTGTGCGAGCCAGCTGGCTTACAATCTATACCGAGAGAGCTTCTCAATATGATCTCATCGTCTCGAAGAGGGTATCTCGAATATGGCGTGCTGAGCCCGACTGTTCCTATATACAGATGTTGATGAGCATCAGGAAACCCCGAGATGGGCCATTGCCTTCAATCCCCTCGCAAAGGAGCGCGTTCCCGACTTCTTCACATATAGCTTCCACATGCGGAACCAAGACCAGCAAAACCTTAACTATTCTCCAACTTCTTCTACGACAGAACAACACACACATTTTCGCCGCGGCTTATATCACACTATCCCCTCGACCGTGCAGCCAGTATAGTATACCTCAGAGACCGATCCGGTCGCCCATCTCTAATTTCCACACCCACTACGTTTTGAACCCACGATTCAAGCGCCTATAGTCTCGAGCATATAGCTAAACCCGTCGTGCCGGCGATCCCTCCGATCGCAAGAACCTAAACGATTCAGCCAAAATCACGTGGGAAGTTTCATAGTTGCTCGTGAAACCGAGAGGGTATACAGTGCACACGGCACGTCCGAGTCGTGATTGTGGTAACAGCAAGCGAGAGCGAGCCGGCGTTTGAAGAGACATGCGACATGTCAGCATTTTCAGCGCCGCGCGAGAGGGTAGAGACCTAGAAAGACCGGGCGAACCTGAAGATACCTACCTACCTACCTAGGTACCTAGAAAATGGAAAATGGGACCCTCGATGAACCCCGAAAGGTGTAAATGGACTTCATCTGTACATGTACTTTTTCCAACTTCTTTTGGAAGCCATGTAACAAGTGCACACTGAATATGGAAAAGAGAATTGTGTTGATAGCGTAATTGTGTTCATACGACATTTCGCTGCCTACGAAATTTGCTCGAAGAGACCTCCTAAATCACTCGGCTTCGCGGCGCGTGTTTTGTTACAGAGCGCGCAGTCATTTCGTCTCATGCTGCCCTCCAATACATGCTTCCAATGATGGTTCTCGTGTATCATCATCCTGCACCTTCCTGTTACTAAACTTGCCAAACTTGCCTTCCTGTCCCTCCCATCCTCAGACTTGCCCTGATCTCTCACATGCCTCGGCGCTCTGGGTATATTCGCTCAAAAAAAGACAAATCGCTCTCGTTACTCAAAATAGGATATGTAAAGTGGAACAGAGACCACATGAGGTGGCCACGATGTTGGTATATTATGGCTMACTGCTTTGGGTGGCCTCGGACGAAGGACTCCGTGACTGGGACTTCTCTGACATTCGACGGTGCTCGCTGGCAGCCAGTGCGAGACTATCGAGGCCGTTTGTGAGTCCATTGGTCAGGCCATTGGGAGATGGATATGAATAGTGGAGAGTGTCGGGATCTACCATTGGAGCGGTAGGTGGAACGAATTCGAGCGAGTTGGCGAAGCTTGAGCGGTGGAGTGGCGGTCGCCCAAGACCCATGTCAGACATTGGCATCGGTAGCGACGATATTGGCCCAGTGTCAACGGTGCCCAGGAAGTAAGGTCCGGCGGTGGGAATGAGCATYTGGTCGACCACTTGTTGCTGCAAGTTGATCGCATGCTGTGCCTGGGCCTGGACCGCTTGCTGAATCTGATTTTGTTCCTGCTGTACGTGGGCCTGTTCAGCCAACTGCTGCTCCATCGCTGCCTCGACATGGGGCTCCGGCTTGATCATCGTCTTCCTTGTGGGCTGCTTGGTAGGCTTCTTGACCTTGGAGTCGTCGTTGGTTGTTCGCGAGTTGCCGCGGCCGTGTTGATGTGTGCGACGGTGCTGTTCCATGTTGTCCTTGCGAGTGAACGCTTTGTTGCATTCGGGGCAAAACGCGTCCTTCTTGCCGGTATGCTTCTTCGCGTGGCGCGCCGCGTGACCGGATGTGGTGAAGAAATCGGAGCAGCCGACTTGCTTGGCCATTGGGCATGGGTACTGATTCTTCTTGGTTGGTGCTTTGCTGCTGCCCGACTGTGCGGCGGCGCGCGAAGGCTCGGATGCCGAAGCGGGTGAATTCGAGGTGCGGAACTGCTGAACAAGCGCCTGCTGCGGCGCTAATTGCTGCTGCTGTTGCTGCTGCTGTTGTTGCTGTGGAATTGGCATCTGCGGCATGGGATAGGCCTGCGGCATTGCGCCAGTCGCATCTGGAATTGGTGGGTACATTGAAGCATTGGGATCGTCCATTTTGGCTGTCTGAGAATTCGCAATGTAGTATTGGTGGTGGATGTGTTGTTTCGGCGGCGGAAAAGAGGTGTACGAGGGTGTAAGAGGCGATGGCGTGGCGAAACCGCGGGACGAATCTTGCGACTCGCTGCGGATCAGTAGTGGCGTTTGCGGGGCCAAGCTGGGAGTGGAAGTGCAGCTGGACTCCCTCGACGAGCGTGAGCTCGTATGCGAATGTGAGTGCACAGCAAGAGGTCGCGGTTGGTGACAGAAGTTGTGCGAGGGTACCGCAATGGGGTCACTACTATCGTTGAGTAGTGAGATCTTGCGGCCGGTACAATTTCTACCGTCCATCATGTGCTAGCCAGGATTCGTGACGATTCGTCGGTGGATTGGACAGGTCAACACTGGAGGAGTGGACTGTGAGCTCTGGTGGATGGAGGGGAACAGTGTTGGTTGGTTGGTAGGTAGGTAGGCAAGCAAGTAAGGTGAGCTGGTCTTGGGGATGCTGTTGGATGGGGAGGGCGCGTTGGTAGGCAGACGGACGAGTTGCGTGAATGACTGGGGAGCTGCGAGCGGACCTGAGACCTGCGGGGCGGTACAGCTAATAAAAAGAGTACAACAGCGGCTCAAAGGGTCAGAGAGCGGCAGGGCAGGGAGTCTTCATCGCGCCGAGGAGCGCTGCGAGAGGAAGAGATGATCTCAGACCCTGGATATGCCAGCGAGACAGTTTAAATGGACAGGCTGTGGCAGACGGAAGCCACACCACTCTACCCTAGGTACCGATGCAACGACTGGGTTTTATTCAAGCGGATGCGCCGTCGTGGTCCAACTCCCTGCGCCCAACCTTAAGTCGAGAATCCCAGTTCAAAGTCGCTGGCAAGCGAGGCCGCTAGCAAACACATCGGCGATCGCGTGGATAAGCTGCAAACCGCTACAGGGTTCGGAACGTAACCCCTCCCACAGCACCACCTCCGCTGCGGTGCCATCACATCGTGTGAGCGCGTTCAGATCAATCTTCACACTGCATTTGTCTCGCTGATGTCTTCGCGGTGCTGCGTATTGATGAACGACAGTAGTGGCTGTTTGTTTTCGTGTCATGCGTTCGCCGCGGAGCGCTGTGAACATCCTTGTCGGCACTCTGACCATTTGGTACTAGCCTAAGCATGCGATCGAGATCGAAGCCGTGAGCAACCTCTCGCCCAAGGAATCCCTCACGTCTGCAGAGTAACCGGAAACAACACGGCGGGCACGAGCATTTCACCACCTCACCTCCTGCTTACCGCTGTTCCATGTTATRAACATCTTGATTATTGTGATCCACATCACCAATGGAATACTGCTTACAGGCTGCAGTTATATGCTGACTCTTCTGCCTCAAGCGCTGCCGCTAACCCTCGACGTCATTGGTCCTGGCTCCCGCGCTCTCCAGAGTTGGCACTAATGCAGTCCCACGCGCGCGTACAGGATGCAGGACCCACGTCCCATACTACTGTACGCATGCGAGAAGCCGGCGACTCCAGCCCGAACATGAGACCATGAGACCATCCCACATCTCGAATCCAAGAGCGTGAGATCAACAGCCCTGCCGGTGGTGTGTTCCAACAAGACATCTTCGAAACTATCGAAGTTGAAACATCTACGGGAACAATCCAAATGCCCGTAAGCACTCTCTCTCATCTCACCTGGCAGACCGCGGGCCTTGGTTGAGCCACTTCTTCACACAGCGGCTATGTCCCGAAATGGAAATGGACTAGCACAACGTGCGGTCAAGCCTCACCGGCGCATTGGGTTTGTTCGATCTGCTTCTAAATCGCCGATGACCCCTCAAGGATCCTCTGCAGCGGTGTCAGGTCCGGATCACCCGTCTGCAAGAGCATCTTCGATCTGTCGCATGCTCCGCGGGTGTGCGTTACGGGGCCGTCAAAGCGTGACAGTGCTGAATCGTCACGGCCTGCCCTCCGTTATGTGCCGACCGCAAGCTCGGTCGCCGTGAGATTGTCGAGAATCGCCATCTCGGGGCCTGTGGCTGGTGTAGAAATATTGATGCGTGACGCAATGTCTGTGCGACGATGTTGCGAATCGATGATGTTGCTGATTTTGCGCGATCAGTACGTGTTTTCAGAAACATCCGCCAACGGCGGTCTCTCACGATCGGACTCGCAGTGGAGCACGCATGGCCTCGTATGGCTTCAGCTCGCGATGGTGAAACTGCGGTGAGAGGCTTTCGTTAAGGTGGCACGATTCAGTGCAGCGCCTTGCACGGCTCACACGGCTTACTTGTAGTCACCTCGACAGGAAACTGCATCCATCATGATCCGGCCTGGAGTCCGACCTATCAAGCGCTGTCGAAAAGAGCTCTTCACGTCGGCTGTGCTTTCTTGGCTTTCTTTTCGACCCTTGTTTTTTCCTCGATTTCTTCGAGATCGGCGATTCCCACCGATCTATGATGTGACTTCTCGAGAACGTGGTACTGAGCGATGTGCCTCACAGGAGGTAGAAGCAGGTCCTCACCGTCTACTTCCGGCCCTCTTCCCCCATGGCGACGGTGAAGCGGGCGGCAGAGGAGATCTGTGATCTCCAACGGACGAGATGGTACCTTGCACTACTCCAGCGGTAGATCTCAGATACCGGCCGGGAGACAACGACTCTTTGATGAGACCGGATGGCTTCAGACATGCTGTGAAACAGCAAGCTAATTGAGACCATCTTATGTTAATTCCAAGTTGTCGCCTGTCCAACTACCTCTTTTGGAAGTCGAATGGCACGTAATAAGATGCTCTCCTCCTTTCCAAACGCTCTCCGCCCGTCGCAGTCCTGCTCAACAACAGGCATGAAGCTTCCCCCCAGGCTAGCCACGGACTGTCCTCCGTCGCCACCTCCTCCTAGGCGAATGCTCCGTCTCCTGCAGGGACAGAGTACACCCCCTCTTAGCGGTGGCTGAAGAATCTGTAGAGATAGATCTCAGATGCAATGCCTTGCTGATTGGATCATAATCATCGAGGGTCATACTTCCCTGCGATTCCTCCCATTCTGCCGGGCTTCCCTTTAGCGGTCTCGCTTCAGCACGCGAAGATGAGCGCTGAGTGATCAGGGTCACGGTGCAGCAGTGTCCTTCTTGAGTCTTTACGGTGGAGACTTCGCGGCACCTGCAAAGGGGAGTATTTGTGATCGTCAGCAAGCTTGCAGTCCGGCCGGGGAATTGGTGCAGCAGCTTCTTTGAGCAAAGGTCGCGCGATGCCTGTGCTGTTTGATCTGAGCATGTTTGGAGAGGCGAACCGCACTCTCCAAACTTCTTGCTTTGCATAACCTGGTACTTTCAAACTATCCATGATTTCTTCAAACGCTACGCTTCGGAAGCGTTTCGAAGGTCAACTTCACTCTTGAAGCTGTGTGTTCGGGGAAGCCGCCGAATGGGATAAAACTTTCGTTTCTTTGATGCGAGGTATGAAGGTACGTACGTACGCCATCCGTTGTGCGAATCCTCATGTTGATTGCGTCTTAAAGATCTTGATCGAATCGCCGGCGTAAGCCTTACATGTTTATTGCCTGTTCACTTGCTAAGCAGTCCGCTAGCTGTTCAAGGCAATCCGCCTCCGGAGTTGATCGCTTCGCGGACTTGAGACCTGTGTACCAGAATCAGCAACATTACTCCAAAAGAGCGACATGATATTACGTGTTGGGTCGGTTCTCAGCATAGCGTTCATAGCTGTCGAGGTATAGCTCATCGTCGCTTGTTGTCTTTTGCACGGGGTCACTCTGCGTGACGGCCTAGGTGTAGTGAACCCGAATCAACAAGTGCTCCCAATAGTGAGTCTGACAGTTTTTCTCACCTGAACCCATTTTGCCCAGCGGCTACCAGGCTCTGCGTCTGGCCATCCTGCTCACATGAGAAATCAGCAGCAGATTCCTGAAGGACATGTAATCTTGCGTATAGCTCGCCGTAGCTTTTTGCTGCGTCCGAAAATGGGGGCAGTCAAGGTCATCAGACTTCCATCAAAAGCGAGCTGCATACCTCTGTACGGCTTCAGAACCTTTTCGAGTCTAACAATCCAAGGAGCAATCTGTACATCCACAAAGCCCATCTCGTTTCCTAGGAAGAATGGGCCCTCCTTGTCGGCAGCATCTACCAACGTTGATATATGGCCCTTCAGTTCGCCTGCAAACTTGACCTGATTATCGGCATCCTGAGCTTGCAGGTACTTGTAGAACGCCGGGATAATGTGTCGATTGATATGATCACACCAGAGGCGGCAGTGTGCTCGTAGCTTTGGGTCTGCTGGAAGGAGTGCTCGGCCTGCATCGAGATCCTCGAGGTATCTGTAGAAACAATCAGAAATCCCTCAGCAAGTCAACAGTCTGTCTAAGATACTCCATCAGGACAGTACTCTCGTAGCATCCCCATTCCCCATGACGCAACGCTGGCACGAGACCTCTGGGGTTGATGTCCAGGAGAAGCTTTGGCTTGCGATAAACATCGACTTCGATGTATCTTGGACGATATCAGTTTGCCTTCAACCAAAACAAAGAGGAGCATCACTACTGGTACTGAAGACCCTTGAGCTCCAGGCTGATCCAGACGCGGTGTACGAACTGAACAGGGATTCATCAGTGGGGGGAACACATGCAAGTGTTGTTGATTGTCCTCACAGGGCAGAAGCAACTATCGACAACAGTCAGTAACCATGTCCACAATCGTGTTGAAAATGCGAGATTTGAAAATTCACGAATCGCGCTCTCTGCGTCTAGCTCATGTATTCGCAAGTCTACGGTGGGCATATAGCTGTCCTCTGTGGCAACGGAGTGCAAGCATGCATTCTGCGAGTGCTTACCTGCCATATAGCTTTAACTCGTTTTCTGCGGCATGACTGTCTGCAGTCTTCTTTGCTTCACCGGTAGGTTGCYTGTGATCTGACCACAGCGTGTAAGCCCCATGACACCCTGTTCTATGGAAGTTCGAAGTTGGAGGTACAAGTCTTCTTCGTTGCGTCTCCGCCCTGATTGGGATCGAGATCCTGCTGAGCAGACTGGTCGCTCGACATGATTACGTGTACGACGAAATCCCAATGCGACGTGCGGTTCTGTAGTCCTGCAGTCGTTGACTCCTAAGGTGGTGTAGGGAAGATGGAGGGGGAAGGAAGCGGAGGCGGGCCCGGAGGAGCGAAATTCGAGCAGCGCACTCCAAAGTAGATTCACGAACAAAAATCAGGGCACCTAGACCTCAAAAGACACCCGCGAATCTTGAGCTTTCCGGGTCAACACCACACGCCTCACATTTCAACCGACCCTCCGCACGCCGCACACCGCAAATATGGCGGAAACTACAGCACCCAGCACGCTCCTTGCGCTCAAGGAATCACCCCTCAAAGAGGTCCAAATCGAGGCCTTGGTGGTGATGCGCATTATCAAGCACTCGACGTCAGCCTTCCCAACACCAGCGACCGGATTCCTGGTCGGAATGGACGTGAACTCGCAGCTACAGGTCACCAACTCCTTCCCCTTCCCAGCTGCCGCTCCCGATGCTGCCGCCGCCGCCGACCCATACCATCAGCAAGATTCCGCCGCTCTGGCGGCTGCCGCGCCGCGGGCTAAGAGCAATGTGGCATATCAGGCAGAGATGATCAAGTTCCTTCGTGAGGTCAACGTGGATGCACAGGGTGTGGGCTGGTACATCAGTGCCAGCATGGGCAACTTTGTCAACCAAAACTTCATCGAGAACCAGGCATTTTTCCAGCGCGCAACCGATGAGCGCACTGTATCGCTGGTATTCGACGTGTCAAAGACCAGCCAGGGTAGTTTGAGTTTGAAGGCCTACCGCCTGTCACCCAGCTTCCTTGCTGCATTCACCGAGGGCAAGTTCTCATCTGAGAGGTAAGCCGGCGAACCAAAGTGATATCCTGCAAAAGGCACCATGCTGACATCTTTTCCTTAGCCTTCAGCAATCCAAGCTTCGCTATGGAGACATCCTTGTGGAGCTCCCGATCAAGGTCCACAACACACATCTCCTGACTGCGTTCCTGCACCAGCTTCCACAGCAGCCATCTCAGAAGACCACTCTGGACTTGCCCACATCTCTCGCAGACCTCGACAACGACATCAACATTGCACAAAACCCTCTGGCTCCAAACCTCGAGAGCTTGGACCTATCCATCGACCCATTCCTCGAGAAGACCTGTGATCTCCTGCTAGAAAGCATTGAGAACCACCAGACGGAGCAAAATAACGCTCAGTACTACCAACGCTCCCTCGCCCGTGAACAGGCTAAAATCCAACAATGGCAGCAGAAGCGCAAGGCAGAGAACGTCCTGCGCACACAGCAGAAGCAGCCACTCCTTCCCGAGGACGAGTGGCAGAAGCTTTTCAAGCTGCCACAAGAGCCTTCACGTCTCGAGTCACTGCTCGTGGCGAGACAAGTGGACCAGTATGCTAGGCAAGTGGACGGCTTCACGGCCGTTATCAGCGGAAAGATGTTCGGCACAAAGGGCAGCCTTCTTCCTGGCGAATTGGCTTGAATGACATTGCCAAATGGCCGGTTAGGGTCTGCATAGCGAGGCGTTCAGGGGATTAGAATGAGGGCTCTTCAGAAAAGCGTTCGCAAAAATTCGTCTCGTTTGATTGATGCCATACGAATGTCGAAATGTTTACGAGATACTCATGATGGTAGTGTGGGGGAACGAGTTTTCTGAGGATCGGGGTTGCGAGAGCGTCTCGCAGGACTCCAGCACGACGTTGAGATGTCGGTCGATACCTTCTACAATATCCCGCTACTTTGCTATGCTCACCAAGCCCTCGGATACAGCAGAACAGCGATCGAGGGATACTTGTTTGGTGAAACGGCAGTCGCCTCGCAGCGTGCCACGGATAGGGTTGAGCATTTGCAGGGATGAAATCACAGCTTAGCTTAGCTCAAGACAATGAGTGTCTACAACCCGTGGCTGGATCACATCTCTCCACACGTGTATTGAATCTTAGGACCTGAGTTGAATTTGTCTGCCCTGGTTGATGCCTCGAGATCGCGGCGAAACTCGCGCAGCCACCGCATTGATCATGCAAGCGTCAACGACGTTCCTTTCTCACACAGATACACGCCACCACACTGGGTAGGGCATCGAACGAGTTTTGCAACTCAGCTCAAACAACACGGTAGCGTCCGGGACCACCTGCACCACCCCTCGCCTCTGTCTCCTGCGCGAGCAAAGTCCCCTCCCTCAAATGAGTCGTGAGCTCCCTCATAGCGGAAGCCACCGCAATCTCCGTATCGCCTTCGACAAGAATGTACAGTTTGGGCTCACCATCAACAGGCTCTTTGCCAGGAGCGACGTAATTACCTTTTGTAGTGATGGAGGTCCCGGTGGCCTCGAGAATCTTTGCAACGTTGGTGCGATTCGTCGTGGCCCAGCGGGCTTTTTGAGGGAAATCGTTGATCTCGAGCGTGGCGTGGAAGGCACCGGCGTCGGGGCCGCGATTGTCGGCGGGAGCGCCTGGTCTTGTAGCTCCTGAGATGGTGTCAGTAAAACTTGTGATGGATCCGTCTTTTGTTCATGCTTACCTTTGGCGCCAATCCGACTGTTGATAGCAGCCGCGGCGGCAGCAGCTCGAGCGGCGGCATTGTTGAGCCCGGGTGCTGGTGCAGCTACAACTTCAGCCTTCTGGACCTGCATAGCTCGGTCCAAATGCGCGGCGAGGTCTTCGCGGATGCCAGTAGGAGCCACAGGTGCGGGAGCTGACTCTGATGGTGGTGCGTCAGAAGCTTTGACAATTCCGGAAGCCTTGGCAATGAGTTGCTCGACGTTGCTCTCTTTCTTGTCCTTGTCCTTCTTTTCCTCTTCATCGTCTGGCTCGCCTTCAATCTTGTACTGGCTCTTGAGATGCGCACGTTCGACAGCGCGAGCGGCATCGAATTTCTCGACACCATGGCCACCGAACCCAGAGCCCGACTTGCTAGCCTCTCCCGCAGCGACCTTCTTCTTGTGCTCGGCAGCCATGTCCTCGAGCACGCCGGGAACTTCCTGCTTGCTATCTTCTAGTGCACGCATGAGGAATCCTGCATACTTCTCTTGATCAGGAGTAACAAAAGTGACGGCAGTGCCAGTGTTGCCGGCGCGACCAGTGCGGCCGGCGCGGTGCACGTAGTCCTCTCCATGATTAGGGCAGTCGTAGTTGATGACCAGCTTGAGCTGCTTCACATCCAAACCACGCGCCGCAACAGACGTCGCAACCATGATTGGAATCGAGCCGTTCTTGAAATCGACAATTGCTTGATCACGATCGATTTGCTCTCTTCCACCGTGTACCGAAACGCTTGGGTAGCCTTTGATCCCGAGCTCCTTCAGTAGATTATCGGCGCTCTCTTGCCTGTCTACGAAGATGAGTGAGCGAGCATCCTCATCACTCTCGTACAATTCTCCAAGCAACTCAAGAACTCGATGGAATTTGGTCTTCTCAGCGCGGACCTCGATGACTTGTGTGATCTCCGCCGCAACAACGCTGCGACCACCGACAAGGATCTCAATAGGTTTGGTCAGTGCCTTGCGTGCAAGTGACTCCATCTTCTTGGGGAACGTGGCGGAAAAGAGGACCGTCTGTCGGTCAGGACGAACATTACCGAGAATCTTGTTGATTTGTGGTTCGAAGCCCATGTCAAACATACGATCGGCTTCATCCAAGACAACGTAACTCACACGGCGCAGATTAGTCACTCGGCCGGCATTGGCAGCTAGCAGATCGATCATGCGACCGGGGGTACATACAATGACCTCTGCTCCACGCTTCAGCTCGGCGATCTGATCCTTGATGGGTGCGCCGCCATAAGCGCATACACCACGAAGACCGAGTGCTTTTAGATACGGCTTGCACTCGCGGTGAATCTGGACGGCAAGCTCGCGAGTTGGGGCCATGATCATTCCAATCGGACCTTCAAGATTGGCAACCRGGCGCTGATCCTTGATGTGTCGGAACATTGGCAGGATGAAAGCCAAAGTCTTTCCAGAGCCAGTCTTGGCAATTCCAATGGTATCCCTCCCTGACATCAGGGCTGGCAGAGCTTGAGACTGAATAGCCGTAGGGTTCTCAAATTTTTGATCGCGAATCACGTCCAGAACCTGAGCGCCGAAACCACACTGAGACCATTTTGTAATCGGTCTAGGAGGATCAACACCACGAACAGTAATGTTGTCCAATTCGGCTCGCAACTTATCCACTTCTTCGTCTTCCATTTCGCTGATCTCAATTGACTGGCTGTAGAAGCTCTTTCGGATAGGTTCATATTCCACCTTCGCGTGATCAACATCTGGAATGTCCTTACGCTTGTGTTTGGGGTTGTTCAACAAGTCTTCTGGATCTTCGCCAACCGCTTCCAAAGCGGGCCCGTCCTCGTCATCGAACAGCTGCTTTTCGCGGTTTGCGCGCTTACCGTTGAGTTTAAGAGGCGCTTCAGCCTCGATATCTTGATCAAGATTGCTCATGAACGCATCGAGAGGATCKATTTCCTCTTCATCGACATCCATGCCTCCGCCCTCTGTGGGGTTTGTTACAGCCGCAGGTGCGATGGGCTCGTCAGCATTCTCCATCTCAACATCTTGTTGCTGCTCGGCTTGGGCGTCCTCTGCACGTTTCTGTGCGGCTTCACGAGCTGCTTCAGCTTCTTCTTCATCGCTGCGGAGGTCATGATCGTGGTCGTCCTGGTTATCCTGATCGTCATACTCCTCGACAGTGTCAGTACCACCAATCGCTGACTGAGGGAGGTCAGGGAGCTTTCTAAACTTGCGCTGAACGTCCTCATCATCGTCGAGAGTAGCCGAGGATTTGATCGTGGACTTGTCTGGCCCCTTCTCGCCGGAGGCTTTGTTGAGCCCGAATCCCGTCATTTTAGCATCGCCAATCGCCACGGCCGCTCTTGGGGCTGGTTTGACAGCTGTAGTGGGAGGCCTCATCAAACTTTTRACATGCGGAATAGAGGCATCAACTCCGAGCGGTAGATTATCGCCCTTCATCTTCGCGACCTTCTCTTCGGTACGCTTCTTAATTTCCTTTGGGTCAAATGCTGCTCGAGGCTTGGTAGAGATCTCGGCTAGCGCCGGAGCTGGAGTCGGCGCGGGTGAGGGAGACGCCTCTCCTGTCTGAGCTTGGGACACCAGAGGTGATCCTTCAGCTTTGTCTGGAGCAGCACCTGCCTGCTTGGCAGCTTTCTGAGCTAGCATCTTTTCTTTCCAGGCCGCGACCTTTGCAGCCCGCTTTTCCATTTCCGCCTTCTCAGCGGCGCTCGGCTCATTTGATTGCTGCTCAACGGGCGCAATGCTGGCCCGCGAAGAGGGTGGACGAGATCCATTCTGTTCGTTTAGTAAATGCTCGGTGTATTGACGTGAGGGCGTGAGACATACCTCGCTTCGCGCCGGATGGCTTGCTTCGCGTCGACGTTTGCCGTTTCTGTCAGGGTTACCGTAGTCATCGTTGTCACGCTCTTCACCACGAGTGCTCCGACGTCCGCTGCTTCTCACCAACGATATGTCTCTTTCTCGATCTCTGTCTCCGTCACGCCGAGGACCCCGACGGTCACGATCTCGGTMCGTCGGGCGTCTGTCCCTATCTCGTTCCCTCTCCCTCTCCCTGTCTCTGTGCCGATCGCGGTCGCGGTCGTCGTTGCGATATTCGCGGCGGCCGCCATGCTCACGATCACGATCCCCATCGCGGCGCCGTCCATGTCCTCCGCGGTCGCGATCATCGTAGCGCACCTCACGGCTGTCCGATCGACGGTGTCTCCGGTCGTCGCGACGATGTTCGTCGTCTCTCCTACGCGGTGGTGAGCGGGCCATATCTCGCACGCCCTGGATCGTCCGTCCCTACAGCAGATCCCACTGGTCACGTTGCTCGCCGTCGCCGTCTGCCGCTTCCAATTCTCTCTTAATACTAGTTTTCTTCGTCTTGCCACGTGTTGGCTGTTTTCGCCTGTCACATGCGAATTGAATGGGACTCCGCGCAAGAATTGTGATGACGTGAGGTCGTAAGGATGATGTTTGATGAAACGGGAAGTAAACTTTAATCTTCGTCTTGGTACCGGGTACTCCAACCACCAGCTCCAGCTCCATCCCCATTTCACCTCATAAACAAACAGAACCTCACGCGCTCACGCGACCACGGGCGTCGCAAATCCACCGTGACTTCCTCCAGCAGGTCAGCCTGGCATTGAAAGAAGTGAAAGCTATACAGCACCTATCCGACTGTCGCACGCCTCTACCTTCGCCCTTTCCCCTCAAATTGCGATGATCGGACGAACCATGCTACGCTGGCCAGCGTCGACGCGCGTGCTATCCACGGCGCTACCTCATACGGCTCCAGTATCAACACGAATCCTGGCGATCCGTACCTATGCGACACCCGGCCGGCCCAAGAGTGTCGTTGGTGAGCCTTCCCGCCCAGTGAAGCGCGCCGTCAAACGCGCCGCCGCTAAGCCCGCCGATGGCACGTCGGCGGCAGAGAAGAAGCTCGCTGCTAGTAAGCGCAAGGCGGCCGCGAAGAAATCGCAGATTGTCTTGACAGAGGAGCAAAAAGCGGAACAGAAGGAGCGATTGGCAAAGGCACAGGCCGCCATGAAGGAGCGCCAAACCAAACAGAAGGCAGATGCAAAGAAGCGCGTCGAGAAGGATAGGGCCGTGGTGCTCAAGAAGCTTGCGCTCGATCCCCCAAGTCGTTACAAACCCAGCGCATACACTTGCTTCACGTCCGAAAAGATCAAGGCATCGGGTTCTCTCACTGATGAGGATGGTCGAAAGCACGCCCTTGGGGATCGCATGAGGAGTGTCGCCGCCGAATGGAAAGCCCTCGGCCCGGCAGATATCGAGGTTCGTACTCGGCGATACATTGTTTGATTTCAACCACTTACACTCACGCAGCACTACAACCACATCGCGCGTCTCAAGACTGAGGCAGCCAATGCCGCGTACAAACGCTATGTCGAGAGCTACACGCCTGAACAGATTCGTCAAGCCAATGCTGCACGAAAGCAGTTAAACAAGAAGAACCCGACGAAGGCTGGTAAGGGTCTCAAGTATCGGGAGATTCAAGATGAGCGTATCGTCACGAGACCTCGAAACTCATTCATTCTATTCGCCCTCAGTCGCCTTCCCAGCGCCGACTTCAAAAATATCTTGGCAAAGGACCGCATGCAGCTGATTGGCAAAGAGTGGAACGCGTTGTCTGCTGATGAGAAGGCGGTGCGTATTGCCGGAATGAATGTCGCTGCCCATCACTCGAGTGCTGACATTTCTTCACCGACAGAAATTCGAAGAGTTGGCCAAACAAGACAAGACTCGCTATCTCGAGGAATTCAAGAACACTTACGGCTACGAATATGGAACGGAAATCAAGTCACCTGTTGCAGCAGCTGCTTGATCGCCGAGATGTATGACGATTGTCGACGCGAGTATTGCTGGGAGGAGGAATGGCTGAGTGGGCAGGGAAGTGTGATTTTCTTTGTCAGCGTTGTTGATGGATTGCGCCCTGGTGAGGGGTCAGGGGGCTACGTATATGCTGGAAGGCTGGTGAGGAGAGAGAACAGGCGGAATTCGCTGGGGCAAGCCTGCTTTGTTCTTGACACAGTGAGAATGGACTGTAACTTATGCTTGCAAAGCTTCGTATATCGCACTCTACTGATTAATCGACTGGAACTGGAAGTTCCAATTCATATCCATTCTAGGCTGGTATGCAAGCTTGCCGACCAGTCGTTGACATTCAACTTTGACAGTGCAACAGACGAGACATCAATGTAACTTAGACCAGACAATTAGAGCAGGTTGAACCTGGGCTGTGTGGATGTTGAGGACGTGCCCAGCATCATGAGATAGGGCGGCCAAGCGGCCAGCTTCATTCTTGCTTTTTGCACGTCTTGTAGGATCAAACATCATTTTGACCACTCTGGAAGAACAACTGCGCTGCACGCAAGAAGCGACGATGGGGAAACCTCAAGTTCTTTTCATCGGGAAAATCTACCAGTACGTATGACATGTTGACGAAGAGGAAAATCTGGCGTTTCCTGGAAAGAGACATTTATTTTCATTTCTGATCGAATATCTGAAAGACCAAGGCTGACCTCACAGCGCCCACAATGCTTACAACGATCTCGCCGCGGATGTTGAGATCATCACTTCCAATGCCTCATGCAGAAGCGAGTTCATTGAAGAGTGCAAGAGCGGCAAGCTCGACAATGTCGTTGCAGTGTTTCGCACCTTTGTCTCCGTTTCCATTACCGGCCTGTGGGATGCAGAATTGGTGAATGCTTTACCGCAGAGCATCAAGTTCTGCTGTCATAACGGAGCGGGATATGACCAGATCGATGTCGCTGCTTGCGTGAGTCGTTCAAGAGTAGAGATCATTCTCGACTTGTAGATCAACCAAGCTGACCCTCTTGGTTTTCAGTCAGCGCGGGAACCTCCTCTTCGGGTGTCAAATGTGCCTACTGCAGTGAGTCAACGACGAGAACTTAGTGTGGGATGGGTTATATGTTAATTATGCTTACCGTTCCACAGGTAGACGATTCCACTGCCGACACAGCAGTGTTCTTGCTCCTCGGAGCATTGAGAGGTTTCAATTATAGCATGTCCACGCTCCGAGAGGGAAAATGGCGAGGTTTGTCGTCTAGTCGATACACCTGTCGAACGAGATACACAAACTAATCCAATGTACCAGGAAACCCGAGCGCACCAATGGGCCACGATCCACAAGGAAAAGTCATTGGTATTCTTGGGATGGGAGGTATCGGACGAAACATGAAGAAGAAGACTGATGCTTTTGGCATGACAACCATGTGCGACTCCTTCTCCAACTCTCTTTGAAGCAAGCTAACGAATTCTCGAAAGCTACCACAACCGCAACAAACTCAGCGATGAGTTAGCCGGAGGAGCACAGTACGTTTCCTTCGACGAACTCCTCGCCCAGTCAGATGTCATCAGTCTGAACCTCCCCCTCAACAAACACACGCATCACATCATCAGCGCAGAACAATTCGCAAAAATGAAGAAAGGAGTCATCATCATCAACACCGCACGTGGAGCTGTCATGGATGAAGACGCTCTAGTCCAAGCCCTAGAATCGGGGCAAGTAGGATCTTGTGGACTAGACGTCTTCGAAGAGGAGCCGAAAGTCCATCCAGGACTTCTTGCAAATCCTAGTGTTATGCTTTTACCGCATATGGTAGGATTCCCCCGACTTCAGTCTATAAACGCTGTATGCTGATCTACAACACAGGGAACGCATTCGATTGAAACGTACATCAAGATGGAAACTTGGGCGCTCGACAATGTACGACAGGCCATCGAGTATGGAACGCTCAAGAGTCCTGTAACGGAGCAGAAGGATCTATGATATTGAGCATTCTTTGGAATAGGGAAAGCAGGGGGCGGACTCGAAAGTACGTGTTTGAATCTCGATCAACACGGAAATCATTAGAGGCTTCGAGTCCTCCAAGTCAGCACAGTGCTTCGGAGTTCTGAAAAGAGTCAGATCCAAAATCATCAACTCACCTTCTCGTCAAAACATGAAATCACTGCCTTGTAGAACTTGAAGCGACAAAATTTGCGCACGAAGGCTAGAAAGTGCTCGCTCGCTAATTTCGAAAATGCGCCCCATATGCTTAACAAGGAGAATATGCCGAACTGCGGCAAGTCGCTGTGTCTGCCACAATCATGCACAATCAAGTTGAGCTACGAAGCAGCTGGTTCCGGTGAACTCCCACAACCTATCCGTTGGTCGAAATGTACTGCTGATCAGTACCAGAAATCTCGTCTTACTGCTTCTGCAGCTTCCAACTCCGCATAGACATTGAACAGATCCGCTGGATGACCTGCGACGTTCCTCGCTGCTCTTCGTTCTCAACGAATTGATGAGCGACCTTGAGCTTATTGAGATCATCGGCGACATCATTGTTCGAAGCCGAGATGTGTCTTTGGGGATCGAAGCTTGGCAGACGGCCGCCAATGTGTCGAGCGATGGCGATAGAATAGAGCACGTCGCGATTCTCCAGCATGGCGAGTATACCTCTGATCACTGCCAAGCTTTCGTTGACGCCCTGCAGGCCGGAAGTCTGATCGTCTCGATAGCTGACGAACTTGGACAGGTGATGCCAGAACGATCGCTCGTTGTACTTCTGATTTACTGCGGAAGAGTCCTGCGCTGGAGTGGAGGGCGTCTGCGCTTGAGGTGAAGGTGAAACTTTGTTCGGATCCAGGAATTGGCCAGTCATGAGACATTCGAGGCTATCCACCCGAGGTAGCAACTCTGCTAGTGGTGGGTCCATCTCGCCATTGGTACAATAGGTAGCAGCATGGCGTGGTAAACACGCCAACTGCCACACCAAGCGAGCCTCGAGCGATATGATGGCGTTATTATCGACATCTTCCTTGGCAGACATTTGCTCAATGACCTGTGTAATAAAATCCTGAAGCACCGGATGGTAGTTTAGATAGGCCGGGCCTTGCCGTGAATACCAGCCCGTCTCGAATAAGCGGTCAAGACCTTGGGCGTAGTTGAACTTGTAGAACTGGCCAATTTGTTCCTGAGTTGTGGATGTCACGGGAGGCGGCGCTTCTCGCAATTGGAAGCGCGGCGGGACATCATTGATAGCGAACAAGTCATCGATTCGAAGCTGCTTGACTGCGGTCAGATGTCAGCACTGCATAGTGAAAGCGAGTCGACGTGACATACCATTCCGCTGTGGCTGCAAGGCCGCCGGATAGTTGCTGCTATGCGCCATGCGAGATAATTGGGGTGATCTAGTACTCAATTCGGGATCCAACGGAGAGCTATAGCCGTAGCTGGAATCAGGGCCTCGTGGTTGTGCAGAAGCGAAAGGAGCCCCGGCTGAAGGGTAGGGCGGCGTCTGCCATTGAGGAGCATGTCAGCGGTGATGCTCCAAAAGGAACAATGCGCGACAGAGTTGACAGCGATCGGCTCGTGTCACAAGTAAGCGTTGGAGTCACTCACTTGATAAGGGTTGGAGGGTAAGGAAGAAGGTACGGGGCCGCCTTCATGTGGTGGTGGTTGTTGGTGGTACTGCTGTTGCTGGACCGGCCGTTGCTGAGATTGGAGCTGATGCTGCTGCTGGTGCTGCTGATGCTGCTGTTGATGCTGCTGTGGCTGTGGCTGCGGATGTAATTGTTGTTGTTGTTGGTGCTGCTGCTGCTGCTGTTGGTGTTGTATATGTTGAGGGTGTTGAGGGTGATGAGGCGGGAGAGGTTGAATGTTGGCCGGCTGAATCGGCGTCTGCTTGAAGATGGGGTCGTAGCCCAAACACTCTCGTTTTGATTTTTGACAATTTCGACAAGTCGGATGCCCTTCGTCGCACTGATGCAAGAGTTAGCCAAGTGTCGCGTGATGTCGTCTCGTAAGTGCAGGCGGTGCGGTCGAGAAGAAGTGCGGACTAGTTAGAGATTTAGGCCTTCGCTTGTCGGAAACGTGCCGACCAGCTCTGGAAGCAGACCTTGGACGGACGATACGTCCGCTTGCCGCATAAACGTTGATCCTCGTGTCTTGCCATCCATACCGCTCTTCAACGTGTTGTCACTAGTTCCATCGACGCATGCAGGCATACTGGCACCACGCCCGCACGACTTGCCTGTACCGCGCCCGCGCGCACACAGCTTCACTAACCTTGATGCGCCGTTTACGACATGTGAGGCAGCCGGTCTTGGTCCGCCGCTTGATCTCCTTCTTGTGTCGACCGCCCGATATCTGCCGCTCGGATGGAGTCTGCGGCTGGATGGGATATCGCATCGCGCCATTACTCTGCCCGTTGGCCGCCTGAATTTGCACCTGCTGGTTGTTCGCCATGTGCTGAACTGGCGGCGCGCTCTGGTACTGGTACTCTGTCGGATAGGGCGAAGGATGGTGCGACTGGCCCGCTGCGCCATTGCTGAGCGTCGCCGCAATGTACTGTCGTGGCTGCGACTGCATGCTCGGTGCCGGTGGGTCGAAATGTTGTATTGGAGGAAGAGACATTACGTTCGGAGGCGCCGCAGATCCCGGCTGCTCGTTGGGCTCGTTGGGAGGGGCGTACTGTCTGTACGCGCCCGCAATATCATGCGCCCTGCTGGCGGCTGAAGAGACAAAGAGCGGTTCTGCCACGCTCTTCCCATCACTCTTTAACGTCAACCCTAGGAAACTACTGTAGCGAAGCGAAGCGAGCGTGTGGGGCGTGCGCTAGCATATCCTTCCCGTCCGGGTCCGTTCACCTTTATTGATTGGCAACAGCAACATCTCCTCCCTGTCCTGTGGTGAGGACAACCGAGCCCTTCGCACCGCTCCCTCGCTACACAGAATACGACCTGCTCCATCGACTGCCAATCTCCGCACTCAGGACGAGATGTTGTAATCATGATCGAACCCACCCAGCCCTGTTCCTGTTGTAGCCGAGCACACACCGGCCTCTAACTCGTTTCACACTAGCACCGCAATCAAGTGCTTGAGCACGAATCAGCGGGCATATCCACCACAACATCCTTGATCCCTCCACAACGTGACTGTTGAATGACAGCTCGTTTACACCCCAGTCAATTTTCCAAATCGCCTATCGACATGCGTCAACGTGCATCTAGCAGACACCAGTCAGTCCGCAACAGGATCGCTGGATGACCAGACGCTCCACAATGCACATTGAGCTCACTCGTTCATGCGGGTGTTGAGTCCACCAAGGCAGCAGCCACCCATCGACCCACCACGGCCGTAAAGTCGTCATACCAAGAAGCTGWAGCAACACCTCTCMTTCGACAACGGACCGTGATTCGCCTTCGAGAGGCGCGTCGCTGGTGATGCGCGCAGGCATGAAGAAGTGCGCATCACGCTCATGCGGCTGAATGTGGACGCATGTGGAAAGAAATGGACCTTCTGAGATGSCCAGCTTTTTGAAATGATTAATCATGGTAAAGTGCGGTATTTGCGTCCGGCAGAGGCAGTCTCCCAACTCCGCAGAAACTCCGCCGGCCCAAGTGATTGATTGCTTGCGACCCTCAAAGCGCGTGAGCCGCCGATGCGTGCACTCTGTCACCTCTGCGCATGTGAATGCCATGGAAATGCGCCGAAAGGCCAAAGTGGAGTGCTTCGCTGGTATACATTTGTGCATTGTCTATCACAACACATGCATCGAACCCTGATCCAGTCCACTGTCCCACCCACCCATAGACTCCATCACAGAATTCCACTCAGCATCAGACATACCGGCCATAACATCTCCCATATCACCACCACCAATCAAGGTGCTAAATCCACTCCCCTGCGCCACAGCGTCAGGAACGCCCTGGACTTCGCTGCCCCAATCGTGTGGCGCGATGAAAGCTCCACCAGGTTGCTGCACACCTTGCAGACTATATCTTGAAGCTGGGAACGCAGGATCGAACATGGGGTCCACCTGAAGTTGCTGTTGTGGCGAGTATGTTGTACTAGACGCATGTGAGGATCTTCCCTTCCGTGAGTTGGAGCCGGAAGCTTGCTGATCGCCTTTGTTCGTCTCTGGACCTGTATCCATCTCAAAGATGAACGCCTCAGACATTCGCTGTCGGCATGGTACGTTCAAATGTGTCGTGCCGAGATTTGTACTGCCATTCATCTGTCCTGCGCCATCCGAATTGGCCGTGGCATCACTTGGATCGATGATGTTTTGGGTTGGGCTGTTGAATGCTGCTAGACCTTGGTCTCCGTAGGTAGGTGGGCCGCCACCTTCCATTGGCAATAGTCCGTTTATGGCACAATCTTCGGAGAAATCGTCGAATATTGCCGATTTGCTCTTCTGCTGGACTCGAAGATCATCCAGCGCGGCACTCTCCAAATCGACGTCCAACTGTACCAAGAATGATTCGGTCAGTGGATTCTTGCGTTTGATCGCGTGCATGGCAGACAGAAGGAATCGCAGCGATRCCCCGACTTGGTGGTCGTTGGGTCTTGATCTTAAATACTGTACGAAGACCCGAGCCGCGACGTATAGACAGAATGACAAGAACGGATTCATCTACATGGCAAATTAGCTCTGTCCTTTACGTATTTGATTGAGACACTTGCAGCGGACAGATCAAGATGACTGATCGTGCGCATGATACTTGCAGTCTCCGCCGCTGCCGTTAAGCAGCGAACCTTGCTCTCAGCAGAGATGCGAGCAGGAATGCGATTCTTATGGTTGTCTGCTTTGTATATAGCCGCCTGAAATTTGTTAGCTGCAACGCCCGCTCAGACTCCCACGATACATACCTGATGCAAGCAGATTGTCGAAGTATGGATGTTCATATTAAGAAAGACTATGTTGGGATTATTCAATCCCATCGGCAGTCGTACCTGATCAGGTATCGACAGTGATGTGTTGAGCAAGATTGAGTCCAAATCTCGATGTCGTGTCCAGAATTCTCCGTTCAAGTCATCGTCCTGATCCCTCGGACCAGGTCGATGGAGGTGGGTAAGATTGCGGCCGAACAGACATGCCATGAGCACGACACCTCCAAAGCTCGAAAGATCTGCTGGTCCAGACGGCTCAAGAGCATCCTCGAGGAATGGCTTACTCTCCGGCTTGGTCATGTCAAACGCTTCCTCACTGCCGGGCATTCTGGTCTTGATGTCAACTTCTTCAATCGACATGGGCCATCCCGTTCCGATCGAAGAGTACCGATCAACGCAAAAGCACGCCCAGAAAGTTCGTCTTCGTTCCTCTTGCTCGGTCCAATCCCTCACTTGAGGTAAGCATTGCTTGACTTGCATGGTTGCTACATCCAGTCGGTTCAAGCCCATCATGTGCGCCATGCGAGAAGCTCTACCAGAAGACATCCAAGCTCGCGGGAAATACATGTTCTTGAACTCGTACGTCGCGAGCAGGACCCATGTTTGGACATGTGCTACTGTGAGCATGCTCTCGCCATGACCTTTCATCTCGTCCTGTTGAATATACTTGCGAGCACGATGGTAGAAATGTTCTTTGACGCCTTCGTACTTGTCTGTTAGGGCTGCAGCATTACACCACATGGCGTATCGCAAACAGACTGGAGGTCTTGTATGGGGTGCTAAATGCATCGCCGCGTAATATCGTGGTCGATGCATCATTGGCAGCCTGAAATATTCAGTATCTTTTCTGTGAGGATGAAAGTAATACTTACGAGGTGTGGAACTTCTCGAAATATATCTGATTGAGCTCGTCGACGACCGACTGAATGGGCAGAGGCTCATCAAGACCCAAGGAGATCAATTCCCATGGATATGTTTCTTCTGCAGGAACAGTGCCGTCGCCAAAGATATCCGAGGCGGATGTAGACAGAAACGGCATTGCTTGCGCCGGCATCTCATATTGTGGCCCGTCAACGGGATACACGGCGGGAAGTACAATATCATTGCTCTCATTTGACGGACGGTCGCTCCTCTCAGTGCTGGTCACCGCTGGCGGATCACCTTTCTTCAGCAACGTCTCGACTTGCGCCAATCTGGCTTCCAAAAGCTTTACATAGCCTCTCTTCGGACCTATCCAAACTGTTCAGCATGTTGATTGCTAAGCCGATCCACACAAAACACATACCACTCTTCTTTCGCACCTCGTCATACGAGCAGAAATGCTTTAATCGCGAACAAGTGGAACAGGCAGGCTTCGCTCCGTCACATTTGAGCTTCCTCCTGCGGCAAAGAGTACAAGCTGCACATCGCTTGGCTTTCGAGGGGGCCTGTACATTCTCGTCGGAATCCTTTCGTCCATTGGAGTTGTTGGTAACTTGCTGCGAGAGGTCGTTGAAGTAATCCTCACCCGGAGATTCGCCTCTTGTGTCATCCATCCTTGTCAGCTTTCGACGAGGACAGAAGTGCGCCGAGGGAAGGAGTTGTTGCAACGCTATGACCTTTTTTCTTCTTCTTTTAGAGCTCAGATATTACCAAACAGTATGCCAGTCGACCGCGATGATCAGAAAATTCAGCTGATGCTCAACCATTATGCATGTATGATCCTTCGAAGCACGCGTACATCCCCGGTTGCCTCTGGAGGATGCAACTCATGGGATCGACAACATTGCTTACGAAATCTAAGACTCAACTCATACCACCTACAACCACCGCTGTAGCTACCATCCAGTCATTTTCCAGTTCAACAAGCCTACACATTGATAGCCTTCCAACCAACGTGTCAAGAAAGAAAGCATGTAAGTGAAGAAGACTTTCTTTCGTGTGCTCATGCTACAACTCCATAACAAGCCATGAAAACACGCTCCCAGAGCGCCCATGCTCCCCGAAACTCCGATGCTCCCTCTAATAAACAGGTTTGGAAACGTTTGCATCGAAATTGATCCAATGCGACATCGAGAGACACCTTCCCGAGATTCTGTTGTTCTTCTGTCGACAATCCTAGGTCGACGTTCTCCGCGCGTTAATCAAAGCAAACGGCGCTGAGACATGCCAGCAAGCTTGCCCGCACTCAGTACTGCCTTGATCCGCAAATTACAAAACGCCGTAAGAAAACGCCTCCCAAACGCTCACAACCCCATCGATGTGTCACCTTCGTGGACAGATCCACGAGGTCCTACACGAGGACGTCCGAAATCTAAAGAGCGACGCACACTCGGTGAGCCCTCTGCAGGCAATGTGCGAGCTGCGATGACATCTTAGCAAGGTTCGCGACAATACTATGAGCGAGGAGTCTTGCCACCACTTGAGTGCGCAGTCACATCGCCAAGGTATGTCGGAGCCCACTTCTTCGCCCACTGGCGGAGGACAATGGAAGCTAAAGGAGGGTCAGCAAAGTGCACATGCGTATGGACGAAGACGGTTGCTTACCCTTTAAGAACTTCTTTGAAGCGTACTTGCGGAAGAAAGCCTCATGTATGACTGGTGACGACAGGTAGTCCRCCATCAGCTTGAACACGGGCTGAATCTCCGACTCAGTGTAGCCAGCGTACTTGGCCAGAGTGCAATCCCATTCGCCGCGATCGAGAGCGAGACGAGCGAGATACATTGCGGCTGCAGCAACCTGCGAAGGCGGGTGCTTCAGGAAGCGGTGGTCTAGACAACCGATCTCGAGGAGATATTTGCCGAGTGTGCGGGTCTGGATGTCGTAGTTGTCTGCCTTGGAGATACGACGGAGGAAGTTCATTGGGTTGGGGTAGGAGAGATCGTAGTCGAGGGTGGTCAAGACGAAGCGCTCTGCAGAAAGGATCTCGGTGTCCTTGAAACCATCGTCGGCGACGTGGACGAAGTTCTGGACATGTGGCGACAGGACCTCCTCGTACTTGGACGCGATGAACATGGCAGTGACGCCAACGAGCTGGAGACGATCAAGCTGGACGACCTTGCAAGAGAGGAAGCGGTCGATGATGTTGACAGCGAGGAAGAGAGTCTCCGGGAGGAGGCGGAACCGAGTGTGGACCTCCAACAGCCAATCAACCAGGATGCCACGCATCTTCCACTCGAGCTCGCCTTGGTTGTCCATGTAGTCGGCATTGGGCATGGTGGAGATCTCAAGCTCCTTCATGTAGTCAAAGATCTCATGCACGTACTCTGCGACCATGAGGGGGTCGTCCAAGTCTTCAGTGTCGAGGTCCTTGGCATCCTTGGTGAATTCCTCGAGGGACATCTCTGCATCATCTTCCTCATACTCCGAGTCGATCTCAACAGTCTCAATGGGAGCCGTCACGACCTTGGTAGACGACTTGCGTTTGGGCGCAGCACTAGCGCCGTTCTTGACCGGAGGTGCATTCTCTACATCCTCCTCATCATCCTCCACCACGCGTTTTGGCTTGGTGGATGACAGATCTCTCTTTTTGCTTGCAGGACCGGTGAGGCCATTGCCTTGGCTGACGGGACGCTTTAGGCCCGAAGACGCGTTGTTCGTGGTCTTGCTGCCCAGCGCAGTGCGGGTCGATGTGGTGCGCGCAGGCTGTTTCTGAATGCCCTGCGGCTTTGAGGTCTTGGACAGGCCACCCTTGGCCAATGGGTCCTTCTTTGCATCCCCCTTCTCGACATTGCCCTGCTTGGCAACATTGCTCACGTCTCCTAGGACGGCTCGCGTGCGGCCAAGGGTGGCAGCAGTTGTGAGGGTAGCGGTGGAACGCTTGGTGCCGAGCGCGGCCTTCTTTGGTGGGTCACCAACAGCATTGCTGTCCAGCGCAGCAGCTTTGGCACGCGTCAGACGAGTGGTACCGACATTCTCCGCGTTCTCGTCGTTCACGGCCCGCCTTGCAGGTCGTGCCTAGCAAGAAAGTTAGCAATATGCACCGCGACGGTGAGATCACCTGCAGCGGGACAGTACATCACTTACGGGAGGCATTGTGGGTATGTGTGGATGTTTGGATTAACACGCGTAGACTCGGAAGGTATGAGGCACGCGTAAGTGCAAGYTAGGCGCTGTTTTGACGGACTATCAAACTTTCACGTCAGCTTTGTTTTGCACGTCATCAGACGGCGTCGACGACGCGGTGGAGCTCACATATGATGCCGTGATGCAATGCCAATGGTCAGCAGTGCGCGGGCGAGGCGGTCGAGGGTTTGTGCGGTTGAGTATGTCGGTGTATCAACATGGACTGCTGGTGGATGGCTGAAGGTGTAGATGCTGCGTAAAGGACCTGCGAAGACTGCGGTGGATCGGGCTGCAAAGATGCACGCGCTGCAGTGGACGAGAACCAACGAGGCAGACGGGGCAGACCAGACGGACAGGTGCTGATGGTGTTAAGAGCGTGTGATGTTGGTGCAGGATGGTTGGAAAGGTGTTGTTGACGCGCCCTGGCTTCGTGAGTGAGGTTCGATCGGATCGACTGTGCTCTTCGCGGCTTCAGCGGGAGGGACCGAGCGCTCGCTTGTTTACGCGATGAAGTTTCCGATGGCGTCGGGCGGTCAAACGCGAGATGTTCGTGTTGCGAGCAGTGCAAAGGTAAAATACAGCAAGCAGCTTGAGGCTACGCGTGAGAAATGTCGACAACCAGCTTTTGTCTGCAGCAGAAGAGAGGATCGTGGCTGACTCTTACCGTGGTTGCGATGGACAACGGGGGAAGGAACGCGATTCTCGGCGTCATTGGCATTCACACCGCCTGCCCATTCGAGATTTGACTAAGCTGCACCCGCCATTGAAGTGAAGCATGTTCACTTGATGCAGCACCCGCGCCATCGCCGAGAATCATCCCACTTCCACCTGCGTTCGTGGTAGCAATCCACGAGCAGTTGGATGATCATGTTGCAGCCGCGGATACGAGCGGTGTGCATATCTKGCCGCTCGCTGACATCCTCCTTGCGGCGGACATATGCCACCGAAGCGACTCCCATCCAGGCCGCGACTGTCACTCCAGATGCCGTCGCCTTCACACCATCTTCGGCGCCAATGCGTAAGCAGGGCGGATTCCAGATGAAGACGTACAAGCCGCGCACACCAGGTCTGCGACATCTCAAGCGCCCCATTAATGATCATCTCTGGAAGGGCAAACCTCATGCAAAATTGACATTTGCCAAAATCGGACATGGCAAGGGAGGGCGGAACAACTCAGGACGAGTGGTTATGAGACATCGTGGTGGTGGTCACAGACGGAGAATTAGGACTGTTGATTTCACGCGAATGGAGCCTGGCAAACACTTGGTGGAGCGCATCGAGTATGATCCCAATCGCTCGGCACATTTAGCGCTGGTGGAGAATCCGAAGACGAAGGCCAAGAGCTACATCATTGCAGCCGAGGGTATGCGTGCAGGAGATGTTGTCGAGTCCTATCGGTCTGGCATTCCACAAGAGTTGCTGGCTAGTATGGGAGGTGTGATGGATCCTGGTATGCTCGCCGCAAAGACTGCATTCCGAGGCAACTGCTTGCCTCTGCACATGGTACCTCTGGGGACTCAGGTCTTCAATGTGGGCTCAACTCCTGGCAAGGGCGCGGTTTTCTGCCGCAGTGCTGGAACTTATGCTACAGTCGTGGCGAAGGAGGAAAGGGGAAAGAAAGTGGTGGATGTCACGGTCCGACTACAAAGTGGTGAGATCCGCAAGGTCAGCAAAGATGCATGTGCTACTATTGGCGTGGCAAGCAATCCGCATTGGCATTTCAGGCAACTTGGAAAGGCTGGCCGGAGTCGTTGGTTGAACATCCGGCCTACAGTCCGTGGTGTGGCGATGAACGCAGTCGACCATCCTCACGGTGGTGGTCGTGGTAAGAGTAAGGGTAACGTGCATCCAGTGTCTATCTGGGGCACTCCGGTACGTTCAACTATCTCCTTGTGCGAAGACTAGCACTAACGACTTCTGCAGGCCAAAGGAGGTTACAAGACGAGGAAAAAGCGCAACCCCAACAAGTATGTTGTTACAGAGAGAGTGCGCAACCAGGGAAAGCGACGGGCCAAGAACTAGTTATGTTGTATATTGTGGTGTGGAGACTGGTCATGCATACCAGGGAGTTGCGGCTCTGTATATCTATCAATGTTATGCCAACATGCCCCTGTACTTTGAATATTTGCGAAGCTAGCTCAAAATCTGGGGAACCGCGGCAAGTTACGTCGTCCATCTCGAGTGCCCTGCGAGAAACACGCCTGCATCTCGTGACATCCACCATCAATGTCTCCCATAGATGATCACTATCCACAATCCTGCGCATTTTGCGCGATAAGGTAAGTTTACGCATGGGCAAAAATTTCAAGCGATTCCCGAAACATTTTTCCCTCTCGCATGTACGGCGCGGCATTTCGCAGCGGAGACAGTGAGGCTCTAAAGCGAGACGATGGAACGGACTGCGAAAGCTGCTAACAATCATCTCCCCCTCTCAGCAAAACATATGCGCCAGACTCATCATCACCAGTCCCAAGCGCCCCTAATCCCGAATTCCTCGACCCACAATGCCATCTAATACTCTCCACCAAACTGGTGCTCGCATTCCTCGACATAATGCCCATAGCACCCGGCCACATACTCCTCACAACGCGTAAACATTATCAGAAGCTCTCCGACATACCCAATACAAGTGGCAGCTCCCAAGACTGGGTCCGACGGCGAGAAGCCGCCGAAGCTCGCGAAGCAGCGCGAGAATTAGGAGAGTGGTTGCCCGTCATATCGCGGGCGCTATGTAAAGTCACGGGGATAGAGGATTGGAATATCGTGCAGAATAATGGGGAGAGAGCGGCGCAGGTGGTGCCACATGTGCATTTTCATCTGATTCCGAGATATCAGGAGCGGAATGGGAGTATTAACCATGGGATGTTGAAGAGTTGGACGATGTTTGGGAGGGGTTCGAGGGAGGATCTGGATGATGATGAGGCGGCGCTGCTGGCGGGATTGTTGAGGGAGGCTATAAAGAAGGAGATTGAGGGCTGGCATGGGCAGTCGAAGTTGTGATGGTGAAGTGGACTGAGGAGGAGGAGCATAAAATACCCATGAGAATCTGCTTGTTAGGGAGATTGCACTTTTTAGACTGAGAGCATGGTATTTGCAACAGCGGCCATGGTTCGTTCTCCCACAGAGAGGCATCGTAATGAACGTCTCTCAAGGGTTTCACGCAACTCGACGCTGCGATCATCAGCAGCAAGCAATAGACTACTCGTAACAAAGATTGCATACCATATAATCTACACAATCTATCACATCCTTGCATTTTTCCGCTAACCAGCAAGGAATGTAATCCAGGTATATGCAAGTCATGCCATGCGGTGTTCGGATCCTCACGGAGACGCGGTCCGATCAACAGATCTCGATTGCGATTAATGAGATCGATTCATAATGACATCAACGCGCCTCACGCGCCTCGAGTCGCTCCCTGAGTCCAATTTTTTGACCAAAACATAGGWGAGTCTTCTTGTGTTGTGTTTTCTTGCTTGCGATCGTAAACTGACCTCACCAATTGCCCATTTGAATGCTGTGTGTTCTACTCGCGCGGCGAACTGAACGACTGCTGCTTGCTTCACCATTTATTCGATTCACTCTACTATTCATTGCCACTTCCAGACGTACAATCGGCATGGCCCCAAAGAGAAAGGCTGCTCTCACAAATGGACATGTCTCGCCGCCACCTCCAAAACGTCGGGCATCAGCGAGGAATATCAGTACTGCTGTGGCGACAGACCCAGATCTTAATGCGGACGTGATCGATGCTCCAGACGCGTTGCGTGCTTCTCCCGATAGTGATRTCAACGAAGAAATTGTCCCTGGCGCTGTGAAGGCGGAAGAATCGCCACTCAGCGATGTGCCAGATTCCATGGAGCCAATTGAGCAGAAAGCGACGAAGAAGAAAGCCCCAAAGAAAGCAAAGGTTGAGAAGGACGATATTGAGACTCCCAAAAAGAAGCCCGCGAAGAAGGCAGCTGTGAAGAAGGAGCCTGGAAGTGCAGAATCGAAGGACACTGTAAAGAAAGAACCCAACGACGACCCAGTCGATCCAGAAGCAGAAGGCGACGATGTCGCAAACGAAGAAGAGATAAAAGAGGCCTTGGGAAGACCTCCACCCGTCAACAGCGACTATCTACCACTACCATGGWAGGGAAGACTTGGATATGCATGTCTCAATACATATCTCCGCAACAGCAATCCGCCCGTCTTCAGCTCTCGAACCTGTCGCATCCAGTCGATCCTCGAACATCGCCATCCATTGCAAGATCCAAGTCAACCAGAACATGCGACCAAGAATAGACCCGACAAGAGCAAGCCTGCAGATGTGGAGCTAGGAAGACGATATGTGGAGGCTTTGGGAGTTGCCAATGCGAAGGATATTGTTAAGATGATTCGATGGAATGATCGATATCATATCAAATTCGTACGTCTCGACTCGCTGTTCGATGGAACCTTGCTAATAATCGATCCTTCAGCTGCGACTGTCTTCAGAGATGTTCCCCTTCGCATCTCATTCCGAGTATGGTTACAAATTGACACCATTCGCCAGCGAAGCTTTAGCAGATGCTGGCAAAGTCATTGCGGAGCTTGGGCATCGAGTCACAACTCACCCGGGACAATTCACACAACTTGGAAGTCCTAGGGCCTCGGTCGTCGAGAACGCCTTGCGTGATTTGAGCTATCATGACGAGTTGCTGTCATTGCTCAAATTGCCTGAGCAGGAGGATCGGGATGCTGTTAGTGAGTACAGACTCTACTAGATCGATGGAAGAACGAAAACATGCATGCTAATGAAGTGTACAGTGATTCTGCACATGGGCGGAATCTTCGAAGGCAAAGCAGAAACACTGGATCGATTCAGGAAGAACTACGCTGAACTTCCCGCTGGCGTCAAGAAGCGATTGGTCTTGGAGAACGATGATGTTTGCTGGACAGTGCACGATCTCCTACCCATCTGTGAAGAGTAAGCACATCTTCACTCCAGCCCGATCTCTCGACCACCACTAACAACCCTTCGCAATAGACTCAACATCCCCGTGGTGCTCGACTTCCACCACCACAACATCCTCTTCGACTCCACCCAGATCCGGGAAGGTACACAAGACATCATCTCCCTCTTCCCCCGCATCAAAGCCACCTGGGACAGGAAACAAATCCGCCAAAAGATGCACTATTCCGAACCTACCCCCGCAGCAATCACAGGTCGTCAACGCCGCAAGCACAATCCTCGAGTCTTTTCGCTCCCTCCCTGTGCGGATGACATGGACCTCATGATTGAAGCCAAAGATAAAGAACAGGCTGTCTTTGAATTGATGCGCAATTTCAGATTGCCAGGCCATAACAGTTTTACTGAGGTATTGCCTTATATGAGGGACGATGATAATAAAGTGGCAATGGCTACTGCCAACAAAAAGAAGAAATCGAGTCAAGATTCGGAGCCTTCATTCGTGGCAAATGATGATGTCGGAATGGGAGGACCTGAAGGCCGTGTGTATTGGCCGATGGGAATGGAAGAGTATCTCCGACCTAAAAAACGTGAAGTCAAGAAAAAGGCAGAGCCGAAATCCTCAGAGCAGTTGAAGAAGCAGGCTTTGGAGCTTTATGTTGCGAGGGAAGCTGAGAAGGCCGCAGCGAAGAATGGAGAGGCTGTGAAAGAGGAGGTCGAGGAGGAATCGGATGTGGAAGCCACGCCTGCGACGAAGAAAGCCAAAGCTGCGATGAAGAAGAAATCTAAAGCTGATGCGCAGAAGGCGGCTGTGAAGGTTGCTGCTGCGGAGATTAAAGCCAATAATGCACAGGAGAAGAAAGTTGTTGGGAAGAAGGGTGGTGGGAAGAAAGTTAAGAAGGAGGTGGAGGAGCCTGTGCTTGAAAGTGAGGAGGAGGATGCAGATGACATGCAGCTGGATGATGAGGATGAGAATATGACAGTTGATGTGCCGGCGGTGAAGGCTTCCAGCAAGCGTGCTGCAGGGAGACGCGGGGGAAAGGCAAAGGTGAATTATAATGAGGATCGTGGTGAGGAATCAGGATGAGCTGTGGCGGGTGATGGAAATCGGCATTCAGCTTGGAATGCTTGATGCCACAGACACTGTTGAACCTAGCAGCGAATCTTCGAAAGCGTTTCCTTAGACTACGACTCGTGTGAGCTCCGTGCAGCTTCAATTTCGATAGGCGCAGAACACTGCCGTTGCCATTAGCAGATGAGGTAGAACAGCCGTGCGATGTCTTTGCGAGTCATATCAACATGCGTGTCGGCGTGGTACTCCGGGTACGATGCGGTAGTTGGCTTTCGCGCTAGGCAATTGATGTCTATGTGGAACGGCGCAGGAGTGGCATGAGTCTTACCGTACACTCACCTGAAGTTTCGCCAGGCTGCGAGGGAGATTTCATTTGTTCGTGCCTCACCGGATGTGAGAACACCACCTGAGCCTTGGGATTCACACCAAGCCTCCAGCATTGGTGGCGGATCGAGAATCCGCAGAGTCGCAATCTTGGATCGGCAACGACATCTGCGCTCATCTCATCTGAAACGTGGTATGTTACCTCTGCCGGAGCACAATCAAGCTCAACACGGCTGGGAGCATTATGCCGCTTGTGGTAATTGCAAGCAATACGGCAGTCCCTGGCACATAGCCAAGACCCGAGCGACGTTCAGCAAACAATGTTTGCGGTCTGAGACATGTGGAGCAGTTCGAGGACCGATCCGCGATATAGAGCTTGGACCCTGCAGGATTAGAGCCGGTCTTCCCGTCCAGCCCAATTTGAGGAAGCGAGGAAGCGAAGAGACCATCTCACCATCTCACACACTAACGTTATCTTTCGGGCACTCGCCTCTTCATCACATGCTGAAACGTTGACTGTGTGGAGCAGTCGCCTCTGCTTCAAACATCCGGGGTAGCACATGTAGGCAGGCACTTGGGTGGAGCTCGCACGGCATTTCAAGGTTCTCTCGTCTAGGTGTGGAGGCCTCGACGCGACTCGTAACGCTGCGTATGCCAATATCCGTGAACATGGGTTCTAGAYGCGCAACGCGCCCTCCTGAGTCGCGACTTGCTTACAAGCCGCGGGATATTGATCATTCGAGATTCGAGATTCAAGRGTCGAGATTGTGGAGATTCCACGGCGCGGAGAGTTCAATTACCATGATGAGCGCCGTCGATGGCGGAGACAGCGCACTTGGGCCGCAAATCGACGGTATGGTCATTTTGGCAGGTCGGGCTCTTCGGCGGCCGTCGCGGTCATCAAGATTCAAGACCCTGAGGGGCTGTCTACCGTGCAATTGTCAGGACGGGGAGCTCGAATGCTTACTCCCGGCTACGCAATTCGTGAAGCCGATAGCCCTGTTCGCACATGAACTTGTGTGGAGCTGCGGCAGTGCGCGTGGTACACCATCAACGCCTCTCTGCGGAGCCCGGCGGTCGAAGCACAGTGGATGGAGTCGCCAACGTGCAGTCCAGGCGGAGGTGCGTGCAGCAGGATCATGTCGATCACCAAGCACCTAACTTAAGATGTGGTGGGAGGTAGGTAGACCAGGGTCTGGTCTCGTCAGTGGACACGGGAAACAACGGTTTTGTTGCCCGCCGCGTCCAGGTCCAGCTCTACCAGTCCCAAACAACGACACGCGGTCGAACCGGGGAAGCCGCGATGGCATCTTTAGACGCATCCGCCTCTTCACGCCATGTTGTAGCCGGTTTGTACGCTCAACGGGTATACCACGACGACATTGTGTATGCAGACGAGGGAGAGGTCACGATTCATGACGATGTTGATAAAGGTGGAGAAGCGGGCGGGCATTTGTTGACGACGAATCACTGTGAATGGCCGTGGCGCTGATCCCATCCTCCAAACGCCGTGCGTGCATTGCCAATGCAAGGGACTGCAGAGGGCGATGCCGGACGCAGCCAATGGGAGATGTGGAGGCGGTTTGCGAACACGCGAGACCTCCACGCAGAGCCGAGATCACGAGTGCCCAAGTGGTCCGGCTAAGACGTTTGCTGGAGGGAGATTCCCTGCTGGCGCGGCCGCCATGGGCAACCGCGCAAAGGCCGCAATGGCTCGTTCGGGGCTGAGCGAGCTTGGCTGGGCACGAGGGGGCGTCGTCGATCACTTTGATTGAAAGGCGTGTGCGATGATGGAATCATTGGGTGGTGATGGCGCTTGGATGGGGGGAGGGTCCAGCATGGGTGCGTGCAGCTGCCACCATGCCAGGGCGGGATCGGTACAGTACATACTGCAGACTCGTACATACAGGTGAAGATGCGATGCATTGCAGATTTGGAGAGCTGCTGCGTGTGTCGTATTCGGCGGACGCTTCTGGAGGGAGGGCAGATTATGCCGATCGTGTTGCGAAAGCGAGCTAGGTCCTGCGCAAGCCAATCCAATTCCATCGGAGTTTCTTTGCCCTAGCCCAAACCTTGTTCGCTCCGGCTGAGTGAGGCCTAGAGAGATTCATCTGTCGGGTTGGTTCTTCTGCCTCTCCACTCGGACAGACTCTCTCTCCATCCACACCTTCCCACGCCCACCCCTCCGATCTCCTCCTCCCTCGCCCCTCTTCTTCTTCTCCTTCTTCCCTTCCAATCCACCGGGCTCGACTTGTTGCTGGCCAGCGTTCGCCGTGCTGTGCCGCAAGCTCGCTGCCGTCCACTCCTTTGGTGCTATCATCCCTTCGATTGGAGAGAAAAAGTCGCCTGTGCCGCTTCGCTCGCCTGCCTGGTTGCAGCTATTCACTCATATCCCCACTTGTATGGCCCATCTGGCGCCTGCGCTGCTGCCTCCCGCGCGCCTATCGTACTGATTCCATCCGGCAGATAATCAACACGCGCCGATCAAACTGCCATTGCTGCATTGCTATCTTGGGCACCTGCTCTCATTACCGCCAACCGTGCCGCTCGCAACTGTTCGGCTGGGTTCACCTGGACCGCATCCCGTCGCACCCTTCTCCCCTCGATGAGTGTGCTAGTGATTGACACATTGCTCTCGCATCTATCCCTATCGCTGTCCTAATCGCGGAGCAAACTCAACACCATGGCCGAGGTCATCATGTCGCCATACTCGGAAACAATGACTCTACCATTGGCGACCCAGGCGCCAGAGATCCACATGGTGTCGAACCCACAGTTTGTGTTTCCCATGCGTTCACCATCATCCCAAGCCGCCGAGCTCTCCACTTCTTCCACCGGCCCTTCCCATCGACGGCCAATGTCATTCCACACCAGTAACGCAAGCTCGCGACCGCGAACTGCAGAGAGTAGACATATGCGAGGTGTATCCGCTTTGCCGAGTTTTAGCTTCAGCGCGACCGACGCATCAGGTCTACAAGCCGAGCAGACCGCGCAGGCCGACCAACCCGGACAGTCCGGAAAGAATGAGACTTTACTTGCTACACCACGCGGAGGACACAGGAGGAATGTCAGCGAGCTGGTGGGTGGCGTCGGTGTTCGTGGTGCGATCAGTGCCAGTCCAACCAAGACGACCGCCATACCCATGACTTCAAGAGGAGGACACAGGCATCGTAGATCTACCGCCATCTCTGGACACGACTTGAGCTTTCTCATGTCGCCTGCAGAGCCCGAGCCGCGATTGAGCAGCAGCCTCCCGAGTACTCCCATGGATCACCCTGGGCATGTATCTCGCTCTTCGACGGCCACCGCGGATGGATCTGGCCCGGTGCCGCTGCCGGAATCTCCTACCCGCCCTCCATCCAGGCCTCGAGTGGAGTTTTCGGATAATGTAGAGTACATACCCAGACCACTCTCTACCATCTCATCCGAGACTGAAGGCTCGATGTCGACCAGACGAGGTCATTCTGTTAACAACAGCATCTCGTCTATGCTCAGCCTAGGCACACCCAGTCCGCCCGTAACGCGAGTCCATACCCGAATGGCATCTTTGGGAGCGATGCCGGAAGACGCCCAGCTTCAATCGCACAGATCATCTCTCGAGTATCGGAAGCGTGGTGACAAAGAAGGCCATTGGCTAAAAGGAGAATCTCCAGAAGGACACCAACGCCGCCCAGTGACAGAGTCCGGAATTGCGCCTCCGAAACTTGCATTTACACTTGACGCCGCGCCTACTAAAGCTCTCCCACCTCACAGAAAGCGACAGTCGATCGGCCACGCTCTTGGCTTTGACCGCCGCCGAAGCGAACCTCTCATGGGAATGTATTCAGGAGAGTCGTCGCGCCTATCGGCTTTGTCATTACAGGAGCCAGCGCATGTGGACCAGTATGATCAAGAGGACCCAGAATTTGACAGCTCTCGTCGCTCTTCGACCCGGCGCATCAAAGATTGGGCATTCTCCAAGATCTCGCGTATTGCGAGCAAGCCACACAGTGAAGGCAAGGAGAGCCCGTCGATCAAGTCGTCGTCTCCCACCACATCTCCCTCCATGCCCGACATCTCACCTGCGATTCCGGAGCCAGTCGCTGAGACAGATCTTGATGCAGTGTTCAGCGAGGGATCCGAAATTTCACAACCTGCCTTTACACAGGTGTTCCCAGTAGCCGGGCTTGGTATTCCTCCATTGAGCCAACGCAGGAGCTTCCCTTCACCAGATACGGAGGATTACGGCTCAATGTTAGATCTTGACGCGGCACTCGGGCCATTCAACACGCCATCTTCCCAGAAACAACGACGTGGATTGCACAGCAGTCGTGGCGCTCGGGACTTTTCCATACAGGGCAGTGCATATGTGCCAAGCCACGGGCGAACCTACAGCGCTCCTGTGCTGTCAGCCTTCGACCATGGTAGAAGTTCTAGTCCACCACAGGCGGCCATGGCAGATGTTTTTGAAGAGGAGGAAGAGGAGGAGCTTGTGCTACCAAACGCCGCGCAGGAAGAGCTCGCTCAAGATGAAGATGCATCGCTGGGTGTACATTTGGTCGACTCGGCAGAGAACATAACTACTGGGAATGTGATGGATTGCGGTGTTGACGATGGAACAAACCTTGGAGCTGCGTGGGACCCGGAGCAACTAAACACATACACAACATCGAACTCTCGGCTCTCCACGCCGCTCGCGGGCCACAGGCCGCAATCGATCATCGAAGACACCATCATAGAAGAATCCATCCCTCTGGAGCCGGCCATTGTCGATTTCCACGAAGAGCCTAGAGCACCTTCTCTCACAAAGTCTTCCGACAGCAGTGAGGCACCCACCATCATGGCGTCCTCTACAGGTATGCTGGATCTACCGGATGGGCAGCCGAATACGACGACACCCGAGACGTACCAGTCATCGGAGTTCTCGTCTCCTGACACTGGACGGRGGCAAGGCTCTTTCGACACATCTCGGCTTGGGACGTCGGCATCATCTATTGCTGACAATCGCACCATGAGCTCTTACACCACTGGAGACCAGTCTCATGACATGCACGCATCAACCGATGATGTACCTTCGCTTACGAGCAGTCGCTCTACAATGTTGAGTACGCTACATGCAAATTCCTCGCGACGGGATGTCACCAGCACTCGGACGCCATCTTTAATTTCCAATAACCTGGATCCCTTGACCGCAACGGCACGTCGTCGTAAGCGCAACAGCATTCAAAGCCTGTCCCAGCTTATGGGTGGTCCATTCGGGTCTTCTCGAGCTGGTGACCTGGACTTGGTGCGACCCAAGACAGCAATCGACATGGCAGCAGTGAAGAAGCCCAAGGAGCATAAATTGAAAAAGCTCATGTTCTGGAAGTCCAAGCATYGAGAAGCCAGCGCATCGACGTAAATGTTTAGATTTCATCAACCCAGCGAACCACAGCAGCAGTACGACTGATATAATTCGCACTTGCGGAGTCTTTTATTTTAATGACCCAGTGCTTGATTTTTAGGGCGGAGAGGAGGGCCTTTACGATGCATAGAAGGGGGTGTTCTACACGGCACTTGGAACACGCGGCCATGGATGGAGACCCACCCGAAACACACTTGAGCGAGGATTGATGGATATTTGCTGGGAGTTTTGGGAGCCATGTAGATGGAGGAGAGATTGACAAGGAGGGAAGGAAGAGAAAGCAACCTGCTATTATGACTGGGTGTAGCAGAGGATTGTGATTTAGAATCACTTTATGATGAGCATATGCTATGCAATTGACGAAATCAATCAATATACCTCCACCTTTATCTCGATCCCTTGTCACATCGATTGGAATGGTAGATTGGACAAACAACAAGAGGTGGATTCTCTGACGTGTTGTGGGTGAAACGGCGTGTCGAGTGAAACGCTCTACGCATGGTCTCCATCCTTGCTATGACCTGGCAAGACATGACGACGTTCCCGTACGCTTGTTGCACCGAAATAAGGCCTCCACACGCAAGCACCCGCGATCGTGGCTTCAAGGACCAGGCCGTGTGGGGAGATTATTTTCGTACTTTGGACTTGGAGGGTGAGAATCAAGTCAGCAATAAATAATAAGGTGGATGTGCGCGGTCGCAATCTTGCTGCCAACCAGGCATCTCACAACACCCACAACATCATTGACATCAAAAACCATGCAATGACGGGTGATTTGCTACGAAGTGTTGCCGTTGCACGTTGAAACCAAGACACGCAAGCAAAAGCCAATTTTCACGAGGGCTTGCAGATCGCAACACCAAGCTTCAGGGACGGGGGTGCTGATTGGCTGGAGTGGGGAATTMTTGATGGTCGGGGAAAGGTTGGCCAGTCTTGGGACGCGTCCCAGAGGTTGCCGCTACCTAAGTAAGCTACTACCTTACTGTACCTTCCATTCTCTTCCCACACAGGAGAGGAGAGAGCGTCTGATGTAAGAGCCTTTCTCCGGCAAGACCCAACCCAGTGCACCTTATTCATTCATTCGTGGGTTGTCCTCCCTCTTCCTCTCTTTCCTCTACCACCACCCGTCGCTCTTTCTACCATTGCTCCAATTTAACCACTTACTTCTTACCTTGTTTCTTAATCGATATCAACGTCTCTCGCTCGCTTCGAGACGTCCTTCTCTCACTCACTCTCCCTCACTCACACACTGATCGCACCCCTACCCGACCAACCCGGCCGCGGATACGATATTGAACCCTCCACATAACCCACCCACCCATTCACCCACATCACAATGAAGAGCGCTTTCGCTTTGGTAGCGGCTACGGCTGCATTTGCCAACGCCGTCGCAACTCCCGCCAAAGAAGCGGCATCTGGCACGAGCTCTGGAAGCCTGCCTGCCGTCTCGGTCAAGGGCAATGCTTTCTTCGCTGGCGACAACCGTTTCTACATCCGTGGAGTTGACTACCAGCCCGGTGGTAGCAGCAAGGCTTCCGACCCCATTGCAAACATCGACACTTGCAAGCGCGACATTGCCGAGTTCAAGAAGTTGGGCATCAACACCATCCGTGTCTACACCGTCGACAACACAGCCAACCACGACGAGTGCATGAAGGAGCTGGCGAATGCGGGCATCTATCTCGCATTGGATGTGAACACGCCCAAGTACTCGATCAACCGTGCCGACCCAGAAGTCTCCTACAACGACGTCTATCTGCAGAGCATCTTTGCTACCATTGATGCTTTTGCCAGCTACACCAACACTCTTCTCTTCTTCTCCGGGAATGAAGTCATTAACGCGGACAACAACACCAACTGTGCCCCTTACATCAAGGCCACTACGAGAGATATGAAGCAGTACATTGGCAACCGTGGATACCGTCAGATCCCTGTGGGATACTCGGCTGCGGATGTGGAGAGTAACCGCTACGAAATGGCTCAATACATGAACTGCGGTACCGATGACCAGCGCAGTGACTTTTACGCATTCAACGATTACTCTTGGTGTGATCCTTCCTCGTACAYCACCTCTGGTTGGGACCAAAAGGTTGACCAGTACGGCAACTACTCTCTCCCTCTTTTGTGAGTACCATCTTGAGATCATTGTATGGATCACAGCTAATGAAGATATCCAGCCTCTCTGAATATGGATGCATCACCAACGATCGCAAGTTCCAGGAAGTTGCCTCTCTCTACGACCCCAAGATGACCGGCGTTTACTCTGGTGGTCTCGTCTATGAGTACTCCGAGGAGGGTTCCGGATATGGTCTCGTCAAGATCTCTGGTGATTCTGTTAGTGAGACTCCCGATTTCTCAGCTCTGTCCGACGCCCTCTCCAAGACCAAGGCACCTCAGGGTGATGGTGGCTACCGACCTGACGGTCAGGCCAGCGAGTGCCCTACCACCTCCAAGACTTGGGWAGTCACTGACTTTACCGGATCGGATCTCCCTGCGATGCCCGAGGGCGCGCAAGAGTACATGCAAAAGGGTGCTGGAACTGGACCTGGTCTCAAGGGTGATGGATCGCAGAACGCCGGCGGCCAGAGCACTGGTACCGCGAGCGCTGGATCTGGTCAGCCCTCCAGCACTGGTTCAGCGGGAGGTGACAAGAAGGGAGCTGCGAGCACCGCACAGATTGGTTTCGCACCATTCCTTTGCACTGCTGTGGTTTTTGTGTCGACGCTGCTTGGTGCGACTCTGTTGTAGACCGTTTACTCTTGTGGCGTTGGACTTGTCGAGGATGGTGATTGGAAAGGACATGTCTGTGTGTGTTTTACATGTTACTGCTGTATACCATTGTCAGACGTAGTTTCTATCTTGCGAATTGTGGTTCATCTTGTCATGATGGCGTTGGAAGGATAGATTTGTATGTATCTGGAAAGAAAAGTCAAATGAATTGCCTTGAAAACAGGAGTAGTTTGAAGGGGTTGAATACCCGTTAATGTCTTTCCTTGGGTTGCGATAAGAGTAGAGCAACCCGACTGTTCCATAGAGGAAGGAGTGGTGGAGAAACTGCGTGTACTACAGTGGATCTTACTTCATTGAAGACTCTGTACGTTACATCAACAATACGCTTCATCCACCATCCACCATCCACAGCAACATCTCATTTCATCTTCAATGTTCCTTCTTTGCTTTTGGTGAACACGCACACGACGGGATTTCCCCCCTCTTCGGCTCCATCTCGGGACGAGAAGGAAGTTGACATCTCGGGCTCTCTTCACAGCATCCATCTCCATCTCCATCTCACACCGACCTCACAGGATTGCGTTCTTTGAGCTCGGATGCTGTCTTATTCCTTCCCCCATCATAGGGCCTGGACCTGACAGAGAATCGAGACCCATCCCCGCATACATTGGGACGGGACCTGGAGGAGCTGCACCTAGAGTATGTGGATTCACCCTGCATGCATGCATGMATTGCTCCGGAAATCTCCACCCCTCCATCCAGGAATCTCCTCACCTCCTCTACAGACCGAAAGCGCCATCTATGTGTAAGGTATTGGCAGGGCAGGGCAAAGCAATCAATCGCTCCCCGCTAATTGGACCTCTCTTCCTCGTATAGTTACGCCACTCTATCGATCGCGTGGTCTGTCTGCCAAGCCAAGCCAAGCCATGCGAGATTATATATTAAATACCTTGACGCCATCAACCCTAACTAATGCATCCACCATGTAATGTATGCCACTGAAGGATTGCATGATGCAGCTCCTCAACCAAGCAGATGCAGATGAAAATAAACAAGGCGTTTCTTATCACAATCCACAGCCTCGCCCTATTGGGGAGGTGTTACTGGCCAAGGTAAGGTAGGTGGGTACTACTACTGATGGTCCGGCAGGGATTGATAGTGTTTTTCGTATATCGTCGTTGGAATATACTACACCGGCGAGAGAAATGGGCTGCCGAGAAGGAAGGATGGAAGTCCAGCAGGTTTATAAGAGCAGTCTATTCTCACACATCCCGCGATTCAACCAATCTTCCCCTCCCCGAGAAAAGAAAAGAARAAAAAAATGAAACTCCTCCCTCTCCTCTCCCTAGCTACAGCAGCAGCAGCAACCAAAACCAAAACCACAACTCCAACAACCTCATCAACCCCCACCCCTCCTCCAAAATCCTGGTCCAACTTCGAAATCACCTCCCTAAAAACCCACCAACCAAACGGCGACCCCTCCCTCCCCTCCGACTGCGCCAACTTCTCCGACCAACAAGGCTGCTACATCATCTCCTTTGACCTCCTTCGTCCAACCGATAACCCTCTCCTCCCAGACCCACAAACAGCTTTTTGCGTCGCGACCTGGGCCGATAACAATCCCGCGAATTGCCATCTCACCTACGAGGGATGTGATGTCCCGTTTGCTGTGAATTCCCCGACGTGTTGGACGAGGTGTTGGCAGGATCGAAGACAGGAATTTGATCGGTTGAGTGGGTTTTTGTTTCGTTTGGGGAAGGGGTTTCAGGTTGGGGAGTTTGTTGTTGAGGTGCAGGGGGTTTCTTATGAGTATGTTCTTTTTGTTCTTGTTCTCATGTTTCCTTGCGCCTTTCTTTTCTTTTGTTCCCCCGTAGAAGGAATCGTGGTTTCTCTAGCTGACGATGATGATGCAGTCAATTCGCCTCCGCGACATTTCTATATTCGGCTTCGTATACGATTAGTAATTCCTCGGCCGAGGAACTCGTGTGTGAGATTGATGGGTCAGGAGGAGCAGGGAGTTATAGTGGGATTCCTGGACTACATGCTGGAGGGGATTGTGCGATGCCGGAGGGAAGTAAAGGGATTTCTCTCGCGGTGGAGTCTACRACGGATCAGTATTTGGGGGGGTATTGTACTAGATAATTGGGTATATCTCTGGAATAGAGGCATGGAAAGGAAAGGAAAGTAGACGAAGTGGAAAATATCCATACATCACACCCCTTCGCCCATCTTCAGGGATTTTTTGATGGACATTGCATCTTTCTTGACCTTTTCAGCTCTTGCTATGAGTTACATAGAATAAGCCGTGTGAGGTAGTACCAAATGGTTTGAGAAGAGGCTATCGATCATTTCGCAAGAAAAAAAAAGTTCGAGCTTCATCAAAAAAGCTCTCCATGGATCCGATCCGCTTCAGCTCAGTTCTGCCTGCCGTCTCAATTCCTGTTCCTCTTCCATCGCTTGAAAATTTCATCATATAGAGATAGACTCTGCTGTGGTCAATCTCATCCCATTTCCTTATGAGCGGGATGATTGTACATATGGGAATGCAAGATGGATGCCAAGTTCCAGCGTGGATTCTCTACAAGTTTAAACTACAATGCCACGCACATGCTAGTACAAGATGCAGAACAATATGACCGTGGTCTGTAGAGACCTTCTGTGTGATTATAAGAAAAAGGCCAGCGTCTCTGCCCTTCAAGAATCAATCCTCCAGGGCACTCCCTTTCCTTCTCCCCCAAACCTCATCGGCATCCCTCATGCCCCTTGACTCGGGAACGAAGAAACGCACAAACAACGCAAAAAACAGCGCCATTCCCGCAAAGAGGAAATAGACCCTGCCGCCGCCCAACCACACATTCAAAACGGGGAAGAACTGCGCGACGACAAATGTCGCCGACCAACTCACAGCCAACGCCCAACTCTGCGTCGCACCGACTGCCTCACTCCCCACTAGTTCACTGGCCAGAATAAAGGGAATGGGACCCAGCCCCAAACCAAACGAAGCGACGAAAGCTATCACAGCGGCGATGCTGAGAGCAGGGATGACGTGGATGATGGAGATGGCGAGGAGGAGGGAGGAGATTCCCATGCCGGTGATGGAGAGGAGGAGGCAGGTTTTGCGGCCGAGGGAGTCGGATAAGGGGGCGCAGGAGGTGGTGACGACGAGGTTGAGGGCGGCGACGAAGATGTTGAGGGCGGTGGAGGAGGTGGGTAGGATGGTGGAGAGGAGAGAGACGCCGTACATGATGATGGAGTTGATGCCGGTGAATTGTTGGGCGAGCATCATCATGCAGACTGCAAAGACTGCTCTTCTGCTTTCCGCGTCGTTGAGCACTCCCCAAGGGCCGAGGGTGGACTTTGCTGGAGGAGAAGGAGAAGAAGAATCGCCGTCTCCCAATAGTGTCGTCTGTTCCTCCCCTTGTTCCACCACCACCTCAGGACCGCCATCCCCACGAATCCTCCTCTCCACCCGTCTAGCTTCCTCCTCCCTCCCCTTCTCCTTCAACCACACAGGACTCTCCACACCCCCTACCAACAATCCAACCATCATCAACCCCGCAATGACCCCTCCCGCCGCCAGAATCCATCTCCACCACCCGGGTCTACTCCAAAACAAGCCCAACACCAAAGCAATCAGAATCCCCAAATTCGTCATGATCTGCGTCGCACTCCCCCACAACCCACTCTTCCCTCGCGGACAAATCTCCGCAATGTAAATCGGCACCACGACCGTCGCCGCCCCCGCCCCAATCCCCGAGAGCAGTCTCCCCGCCGTCAAGAGCATGATACTGGGCGCCAAAGCCTCGCAGATGGGCCCGATGATGGCGAAGAGGGAGGCGTAGACCATTGTGGGCAGTCGGCCGCGAGAAGCAGTCACGGGACCGGAGGAGAGGGCGCCGAGGAGACCGCCGAGGGTGAAGGAGGAGGTGATGAGGCCGAATTGGGACGGGCTCGTGGGGATGCAGGGCGGGAGGAAGGAAGAAGGGTCATGGTTGGGACGGAGGTTCTTTCCATCTTGACATGTCAGGACTTTGGAAGGGGCGTTAAGTTCTGCGAGGTGGAAGCCGAAGAGCAGTGGGCCTAGGGTGGAGATGGCGAGGAGGATGAGGAAGGTCGGCGTGAGGCTGCTGCTGGTGTTGCTGGTCGAGGGCATTTTTTACTTTTTTCGCCGAGATTGGATGGGTTGTCGGGAGCACTGTTGCCTGCAGTKCTGTTCGGGAGGAAAATTCACATGCTGTACATGTTGTCGGTGAGGTCCTTCCTTGCGAGATCACGCTCATCGCGTCCATCTCACCTTCCACCTGTAACGTGGGGTACTTGCGGGATAAGGTAAGGCACGTGCCGCTACCCGCCTCGAACCTAATCTAATCTAGCCTCGGGATGTGGGGAAATCTACGATGAGCGTCATTCACCTCGAACACTCTGATCCAATGCCACCTCCCCTCCTCTCTTACCTTCTTTCTCCTCCTCTCTTACCCCCCTCCTCCTCATCGTCCCACCATCTCCCCCAATCATGCACGACATCCTAATCCTCGGCGCCGGCTGGACCTCCACCTTCCTCCTGCCCCTCCTCCACAAACACTCCCTCTCCTTCGCCGCCACCACCCGCAATGGCCGCAAAGTCGCCGGCTTCCCCACCCTCCAATGGGCCTTTGACCCCAACAACACGGACAAATCCCACTACAAAGCCCTCCCCGCCGCCAAACATATCCTCATCACCTTCCCTCTAACCGGTCCCGGCCAATCCGCGCATCTCATCCACAACTACCAAAAAATCCACGGCCCACACTCCCACTTCATACAATTGGGCAGCACAGGCATCTGGCAGATTTCCCAACCGACATGTTGGACTACGCGCAAGAGTGCATACGACACGACCAACAACCGCGCAATTGCCGAGGACGAATTACTCCGTCTGGGAGGCTGTGTGTTGAATCTCGCGGGTCTGTGGGGCGGGGAACGCGATCCGAGGAATTGGGTCGGGCGTGTCGCGAAAGATAAAGCGGGCGTGAAGGGGAAGAAGAGCGTGCATCTCGTGCATGGAGAGGATGTGGCGAGGGGGATTCTTGCTGTGGTGATGCATGCGTGGAAGGGGGTCAGTGAGGGGCAGCGGTGGATGTTGACGGATGGATTTGTATATGATTGGTGGGCACTGTTTGCCAAATGGGCGGATGATAATCAGGAGGGGAAACAGGGCCCGACGGAGCAGAGTCGATGGGTGTATGAGTTGATGGGGGAGGAGGGGGTGGGGGCTTTGCCGAGGGATATGCAGACGTTGGGGAGGTGTTATGATAGTAGGGAGTTTTGGGCCACGTATGGCATTTCGCCCCTCAAGGCTGGGGTATGATTGAGATGAATTGAATGAGAAGAGTTTTTGGACGAGAGTTGATCATGGGATTTTAGGCGCTTGGTGCTGAGGATGTGGGAATCCGGGCCCTGTCTATGTTATGACCGTCATGAGTACCCTGAAAGATTGAGAGAGAGTACCTTGAAAGATTGAGAGAGCAAAGATAGACGTTGAACTCCTTTGAGGTACGGTACTGTACGAGTCGTCGATTCGTATGGAAACCAAGCTCCCTTTCAATGCAACATTCTAACCAACCTACCGCTTGGCATCTGCAAGACCCTCCTTACCAGACCATCAGCCAGGCCAAACAATTAAGGCATACCGCAAGGTTTTCCCCTCGCCCATGAGAAATTTCGAATCAAACTCTCCACGGCGATTCTTTGAAGAACCGTACTTAGTTTGCTTTGATGGGAGTAAGGTACGGTGCGCTTTGCTGGCTTCCTTTCACGCAATGGGTCTTGAAAGATTGATGGAATCTATTGCGAATCTAGGGAGGGATAAGGTAGTCTCGAGGCTTTGTTTTACTGGTCGAATTATATATAACACGACTTGTAGTGCAGTGCAGGCCGAGATGCTAGTATGATGGATGATAGACGATGGATCATCCGGCTATGGGATCTTTCGACATATCCGGTCAAGTGATGCGCATCTTTCATCATCGTTCAGTGAAGATGTATATATATATGTATATATAATTAGCATGTGTTCGCCGAGTTCCAACTTCGTACGTTACGACGCCTTCTCATTCCTTTCAAAACCCGTGGGACCGAWCATTTTAGTAGCGAAGATGAAATTTCTAGATGAACGAGGTGGGAGGACAATACTGAACCCATTGTAACATTTCACGATGAGTTATTTCCTTACCTATTCCCAGCTCCCTCTTTCTTCGTATACTGTACAAGGGAGGACAAGGTTACTTTCAAGCTTGTTTCAAATGCCAGGGGACGATCATCTGCCGATATGATCCGATTGATTGGTTGAAAAAAGTGGAAGGATCAGCCGGAGAAGAAGAAAGAACGTYAGGCTGTCGATTGTTGAGAGACATTTCTCCCTCTAAAAAAAGGCAGCAAATAACTTGTGCACCTTACCATCCGATCCGTCAGTACTCGGAATTTCTTGTCATTGCTCCTCCCTTTATCCCTCGTGTGTCCGAGACAGCCATGGCCTGCCTCGGGGTCATGAGTTGATTCTGCGGATGACTTCCGCCCGTTGAACGCCAACGCACCGCCGACAAGTTATTTTGACGTCTATGATGATGCCATTCGAGTCTTGTGTGTTTACTACTTTAGATCCGGGGTGTGCAACTCGAAAGGGAGGAGAAAAGTACCTTAGCCACCTGGCAATTAAATGGATCTGTTTTGTCACCTCATCACATCCAACGCGTAAAAATTGACAGCTCATCAGCATCCATCTGCCCAACTGTCGCGCCTTCCATCATGTATCTCCTCCCAATTTGACAGGCTTGACCTTGTCAGAGCTCGACAAATGGAGAGAGTCCACGTCAAAAGTAACCTGAATCTGGAATTTTGCCCCCTTGGCTACACCGCTTACCGAGGAAGAGCGACCGAGTTATCCTTATCCTCTCAATGTACTTGGAACTTCCCGGACGGCCCTCCGTAGACCATGCTCAATCCGTCCGTGGTCGCACCTTCCGCTCCCCTCGTAGCCATACATACTTTGTTGTACAGCTGGAAGCCGAGCACAAGGAAAGATCCGCTCTCTTGACATTCTCTAGCCCCGTTGATCAGCGGGATCAACGTTCAGATCAACGTGCCAGCGGTCTCGCATCTTCTCCCCATCGAGGCATTCCACTCCCACACACAAAGCACACCACGCACACAAATGATGAAAAAAAAAAGGTCAGCTAAAGTTGGCTCGTTCAAGCCGCTGACTCTGGCTCCGGTGCAACGGCCCTTGAGCTCTGCAGTGGTGAGTCGTAGAGCATTTTAGTTCTGGAGGTGTTGTACGGTGGGTCCACTTGGTATGTATGGTCACCGCACCGTCCTTCCATCTGTCTGCCCATTCTCTGTTTTCCCACCCCCATTCCACTCCACCCTTTTCTCTTCGTCAGCCTGTCAACCCCCAAAGCATCGTGAATCATGTCGTCCAGAAACATGTCGGAAGCCAGCACAAGCGCAGATGCCCCTCAAATGGTAGCCTTTGAGCCAGGCGATCCCTCCAATCCCTACAACTGGTCAAAAGGCAAAAAGATGCTCATCATCCTGCTCGGAACGCTGGTGGTCTTTAACACCACTCTGGCCAGTTCACTTCCCAGTCTCGCACAGCATGCCATCCTCGACCACTTCCACATTGATGGGGACATTGAAGGCCCACTTCCCAACTCCATTTATCTCGTGGGATACATTCTTGGCCCTACGGTCTGGGCACCGCTCAGTGAACATATTGGAAGGAGGTGGATTACCATGGGATCTTTCATCGCTTATGCCGCTTTCGAGGGCGCTTGCACGGGTGCGCCGACTTGGGGGAGTCTCATTGGACTTCGTTTGTTGACGGGTGAGTCGCCGCTCATCATGCATGTTTCATTGGAAGGTACGATGGATGACTGACTGACGTGGGCTACCGGGTAGGCATCTGTGGATCTGCTCCCATTTCTTTGATCGGAGGCCTTTTCGCCGACGTCTTGGATGATCCGGTATGGCGAGGGAGATCCATTGCTTGGTTCGTCACCATTTCCGGCGTCGGGCCTTTTCTGGGTCCGGTCGTGTCGGGATGTATGGTGCAGTTTGGATGGCAGTGGCCTTTTTGGTATGTTCTACAGTATTCTCCTGTCAAGAGTCCCGGAGATGATCCTCATCGCCGTCTCTTTCAATCAATATATATCTTACAATCACGACTAACTTCTCCCAAAAGGCTCGAAGTCATCTGCGCAGGAGCATGCGCCATCCCTCTCATCCTCTTCCTCCCCGAGACCTTCGCCCCCGCACTCCTCCAAGCCAAAGCGAAGAAATTCCGCAAAGAACATCTCGACAAACCACCAATCTACGCACCGCTGGAATTACAACAACACACAGGCTTCCTACAGCTAGTAACCCGCATCGTCGCAAGACCCCTCCAAATGATCATCTCAGAACCGATTGTCGCCGCCTGCTGCATATATCTCGCCTTGGTCTACTCGACAGTCTACATGCTCTTCCAATCCTTTGGCGTGATTTACCCTCCGATATATGGTTTCGGACCCCTACAAACCGGCCTCGCATTCCTACCCATGACAGTCGGAGCCTTCATTTCTCTACCCGTGTACTTTTGCTACGACGCCTACCTCCGCAACGCCAAATCCGCAAGAAAATCCTGGGCCTTCAAAGAAGAATTCCAACGACTTCCTCTAGCCTGTCTCGGAGGTCCCCTAATGCCGATCGGCATGTTCTGGATCGGATGGACAGCGCGGAAATCCATACATTGGATCGTCCCCATGCTCGGAGGACTCCCCTTTGGTTTGGGATTCATCCTGGTTTTCATCGCTCTGTATAATTATATGGTGGATGCGTATAAAATCTACTCGGCTAGTGCGGTAGGAGCTACGAGTATCGTTCGGAGCGTCTGTGGCGTTGTGCTGCCTTTTGCTGCGAGACCTATGTATGAGACTCTTGGGGTGGGGTGGGCGTGTAGTTTACTTGGTTTTGCGAGTGCGGTTATGTGTGCTATTCCGTGGATTTTCATCTCTTGTGGTCCGGAGTTGAGGGCTAGGAGTCGGATTTGTAGGGAGTTGGCGGGGGCGAGTGAGGAGGGACGGGGACGGGGAGATATGGGTGGGAAGCAGGTTTCGGATGGGGAGTCGCAGCAGGGGGGAGGTGGAGATGGAGGTGGAGAAGAGGAGGGTTGCGAGGATGATGCGGGATGATGGAGAGATGGATGATAAATGATGTTGGTGTTGTGAGGGATGGGTTACATGCTGATGTGGAGATTCCGTGATTGAGAGACGTGAATAATGATTGATGATGATGATGGGAATGAATGATGCTTGCTTGGTACTATGATTGTTGAGCTTCATAGCTTCTCGTTGTCGATATCTCAAGACAATGCCATATGGGAAATCTATCAACGAAAGTATCMATCCTATCCTAGACTTTCTTTCATAGAGCAGCTAGGTAAGTAAATCTTTTCCGGTTATATAAGCTAGCGAAAGTAGCAATTTAAACGCTCTAAAAAGGAAGGAGGTAGGTAGGTAGGTAGGTGGGTAGGCAGTAACTAACCAGATTCGTATTATAAAGATATTTTTGGAAAAACGGGTGGCTATAGAGTATATATTCGAAGATAGATATATGATGGCTGTAATGGAATATCTTGCCTTGTTCTTAGGAATGTAGAGCGTGTGTGGTATGTACTTGTTACCTGAACGTAATCAATAGTCGTGTATACTACTTTACTTCCCTGGCCTTTTTGGAATGTACGGAGGAGGAGATAGCTTTAGGGGGGAAAATATTGTTAGAAGAGATTCGGGAAATGTTCGTTTATATGAATTTATTCACTTACTTTGAATTTTGTAATCAAAGCTTTAGAGGGAAGGTCTTTTGGCATGCGATTTGTAGGGTGTTGAAGGAAGGGCCTTTATACTCGCTGAAAAGTGAAGCAATTCACTTATCTTTAAAAGTGAGTATCGAGAGAGTCGACTTTTAGCACTTGGTCCTTTCGCTATCCTATACGTTATAAATTCAAATCTCGTCGTCATAATAGAGCATGTACTGATTACAAATTTCAAGTGAGTGAATCCATGTAAGTGAATGCTCTCGTCTCCACAGAGCTCTACTACTATGCGGTGCGAATCCCATAACATGGAAACGTCCAGATTGTAGTAACGCTCCTATTCAAGACGCTTAACAACGACAAAATTCATATACATAGAAAAGTAAGATTATTTCGTCCCGAAGTACACACATGGGCCCTATATACAATGAAACCTTCCTTCCCCATCAAAATCAATGCAACGCCCCCGACCCCGTTCCCCCATAAATATCACTCAAGCAGGCCACGACTCTCCCTGATACCAATGCTCCACAATACATCCCCCATCCCACAAAAACCTATCCGTAATCAACCCCACATCCGCCTGCCACTGCAAATACGCATACGGAGCAATCCACTTGCTCCTCAAAGGTTGAGTGGCCATATTATCCCAAATGGGAGACATGTTCGCCCAAGCTGCATCACGGGTTGCGGCTTTGGGGTTGTGGTTCTGTGGATATATATGCCAAGTCAGTCGGAATCGTACCCATGAGAGGGGGGAAGGAGGGAG